TATATATATATATATATATATATATATTCGGGTGGTCTTCAAAAATTCATGGAAAATTTGCATTATTTTTTAACCTCACTTTTTACATGAGCTTTTGGAAGCCATTTAGTTTGTGTATTACTCAAATAGCGACAATTCTCATCTGTTTTTTTTTTCTGAACTTTTAAGATCAAGACATTGAATTTGACATTTAATTGATATCAAAACATTAACCCCATTGATAGGTTTAGTAAAGAAAACAGACCATCTAGATATTTTAACAGAAAAGGATTAATAAAGGAAATTGGGAGCTTTTGATTTGAAGGGCTGGATGAATGAAGTACTGGCTCAGTTTCCTTGAATAATGCTTGGGCACTCTGAACTGACCCTTGAAGGATGATGTGGCTATCTGCTATAATCATGAAATTGAAGGATGACCTCTGAGACTGGAATTCAGGAGCTTATTTCCTTATTTGTGACTTAAGAACAGTTGGAAGGATCTCAGTGCCACAGTTCCTTATACACTGGAGCACAGATTTTCTGCCGTAATGAGTGCTGCTAGTGGCTTTTGAAAACACTCTAAAACTAGAACCTGATTACTGGTCATTCAGTACCTTGCATGATAACAGAAAACCATTTTAATAAAACTTCAGGAAATAGCCTGTGCCTCGTTTTGTCTTCCATATCTTTAGCTAGAAAGTACATCTACATAGTGAAACCTAATTTGTATCCACAACTCCCAGTTGCAAGGGAATCTGAGAAATGTACTTTTTCAGCTTGCCAGCCTCTTAAGTCCAAGAGGATACAATGAAAGAGAGTAGGAATGGGTGATTAATGCTAACCAACTATATCCAGCATGACACCATTTCCAGATTCAGTCAGATGTGCTTGCCCAGTGCTCCAGAAATAATTCACTTTTGATACACTTGAAACCAAATATTATCTATAAGCCTTCCTATTCCCTCCCTTTCCTCTTAGTCCCAAGTACTTTTTTAGTTAATGACATCGCCTGGCAATCCTTGTTGTTAATTACTACCACATTTAATTCTGCTTAAAAACGTTTTTGTTTGTTTACTGTTCACCTGCTTTCTACTGCTCCAAATTCAGACTTTCTTGCCTTGTTTATCATGTATTCAGAAATACATTGTTTCTTTTTAACCTCAAATCCTTCATGTTCTCTTATGTCTGAGATGTTCTTTTTCAGTCATCTGCTGGGTAACTGTTATTCTTTTTTTTTTTCTTTTAACCTCTACAGCCACTAGTTCATATCTTTATAAATAGCTTGTTGTTTTTAAATAATTTTTCCGTCTCTTACCAGTTTGGATTTGTAGAAAGCAAAGATACTGTCTTATTTATCTTTAAAAAAAATTTTTTTTTTAATTTTTATTTGAGAGCTGGAGTCACAGAGTGAGAGGCAGAAAATCTTCCATCGCTGGTTCACTCCCCAAATGGTCACAGTGGCCAGAGCTGGGCCAATCCAAAGCCAGAATCCAGGAGCTTCTTCTACATTTCCTATGCAGGTGCAGGGACCCAAACATTTGGGCCATCTTCTACTGCTTTCCCAGGCCATAAGCAGAGAGCTGGATGGAAGAGGAGCAGCTGGGACTAGAACTGGCACCCATATGGGATGCTGCCACTGAATGCGGGGGCTTAGTCCATTATGCCACAGTGCTGGCCCACTGTCCTATTTATCTTGAGCCCTGTTTTCCTTGGGCCCAGGTTGAGGCATAGAATTTATAGAAGGCTCTTGGTAAATGTTTGATTAATGAAGTTGCATCATTAATAAACCCAGCCTAATCTGCTAACTTGCAATGTAGAGAAAATATTACTTATATGTAGTAGAGCTGCAACATTAATAACTTATTTTGTTGACAAGCATTAGGATAATTTGGAAAGGTTTGTTTTTTATTAAGAAAGTAATCACACTGATGGAGTTCATGGACTCAAAAGGCTTCCATATAGCCTTGGCAGCTCGTGACAAGAGCCTCCGGTGATCACTGACATCATAAATAAGAGTGTCGATTGTTAAATCAACAACAGGAGTCACTGTGCACTTATTCCCTTTGTAGGACCTCTGTCCTTAATGAGTTGTATTATGAAAGTTAACTGCAAAACTTTTCTTCAAACAGTACTTTATACTTTGTGTGGGTGCAAACTATTGAAATCTTTACTTAGTCTAGAGTTGGTCTTCTGTATATAAAGATAATTAAAAAATGAATCTTAAGAATGGGATGGAAGTGGGAGTGAGAGGGCAGGTATGGGGGGAAGAACTGCTGTATTCCTAAAGCTGTACCTATGAAATATGTAGTCATTAAATAAAAGCTTTCTAAAAAAAGTAATAATCCATACTTATTTTCAAAAGAAAATCAATTTGTTAGAGATGATAGATAAGTATATCATTATTATGATAATTTTTAAAATCTATAGCAGCATAGTATATATATTCATTCAATTTATTTTTAACATACAGACTTTTGCTTGAAATTCTTTATCACAGACTCTAGATAGTCTCTAAAAGTAAACTGATGGCTAAGATGATTCTACTTCTCTTTAATTTATTTAAGAAGCAGAGAGACAGAGTTTCCATTTGCTGCTTTACGCCTTGAATGACTACATTTGCTAGGGCTGGGGTTAGGCTAGCACTGAAGCTGGAAACTCAATCCAGGTCTCCCACGTGAGTGGCAAGAATCCAATTACTTTTTTTTTTTTTTTTTTGACAGGCAGAGTTAGTGAGAGAGAGAGACAGAGAGAAAGGTCTTCCTTTGCCATTGGTTCACACCCCCCCACCCCCCAAATGGCCACTGTGGCTGGCGCTGTGCCGATCTTAAGCCAGGAGCCAGGTGCTTCCTCCTGGTCTCCCATACGGGTGCAGGGCCCAAGCACTTGGGTCATCCTCCACTGCCTTCCTGGGCCACAGCAGAGAGCTGGACGGGAAGAGGAGCAACCGGGACAGAATCCGGCGACCCAACTTGGACTAGAACCTAGGGTACCGGCGCCACAGGTGGAGGATTAGCCAAGTGAGCCATGGCACCGGCTGATTTTACTTCTCTTTAAACACAGTGTTTTTGAGCTAAGCCAATTGTATGTCTTGCCTGCCACCTAGTTTTCTTGAGCATGTAGGGCTAAGTTTCGTTTTCCCTAAATTAAGTGTTAGATATCCCAACCAAGGACCTATTCCACCTTAGGGTAAGTTCACCTCCCCTCTATTGGCCTTTGAAAACTAAATATTTGTCTTTTTCTATTGCTTTGTGTTTCTAATGTTAGTTCTGTATTATGAGATAGGATCTTCTTTCTCTTTGCCAGGTTAGCGTTATGTGAAGATTCCCTTGTATTTAAAGTTTTGTCACACACTCAGCTTGTTACATGGGGTCAGTTTCCTCCAAAAGTTTTTTGAAAGTCTGTTTCTGAAACTATCCAACTGAAATCACATTAAAATCTGATGTACTAGTTTTTGTATGATTATAATTTAGATAATTAATGTGCTGTATTTATATTCACTTACAGCCATCTGATTCTGTTCACATTACAAATGATGATGAAAGATTTCTACATAATCTCATCATAGAGGAGAAAGAAAAAGATAGTTTTACTGCTGTGGTTATCACAGGGGTACAGCCAGAGCACATACAGTACTTGAAAAACTATTTCCATCTTTGGACGCGACAGTTAGCGTAAGTAAATATTACTGTTTAGCTTTTTTAAGACAAAATAATATGGATACATTGAAGTCTACTTGGTGTCATTTTTGTCCCAATTCCTTCTCTTCAATATGATATCTGGGTCTCTGATGTTGGTGTTAAAATGATTTTCCATTATTCATTCTGTAAATATTGTTAGATTGATCACCTGTAGTATACTGAGCCTTATTTTGAGGCATATATATTTTGACATCTATTATAAAGTTCAAAATGGGCTTCATAATTTATCAAATTTGACACTGTCACTCTTATATCCCCCTTTTGTGTTTCTTTTCCATAGCACCTATCTTATTCTTCTATACCTTGTGTGTGTGTATATATATATATATATATTTATATTTTAAAGATTTATTTATTATTTTGAAAGGCAGAGTTTCAGAGAGGGAGAGACAGAACTGGTTCACTTCCCCAAATGGCCACAATGGCTGGAGCTGGGCTGATTTGAAGCCAGGAGCTTCTTCAAGGTCTCCCATGTGGGTGCAGGGGACCAAGCCATTGGGCCACATTTATTTATTTGAGAGGCAGAGTTAGAGACAGAGGCAGAGACAGACAGAGCTTCCATCTGCTGGTTCATTCCCCAAATATATGCAATGGCTGGAGCTGGGCCAATCCAAAGTTAGAAGCCAGGAGCTTCTTCCAGGTCTCCTGCGTGGGTGCAGGGGCCTGAGCACTTGGGCCATTTTCTATTGCTTTCCCAGGCCGTAGTAGAGATGTGGATCGGAAGTGGAGCAGCCGAGACTCGAACCAGCGCCCATATCTGATGCCATTGCCACAGGCAGATGCTTAATTTACTACGCCACAGTGTTGACCCCTATACCTTATATTTTGATTTTTTTTTTTCGTACTGGGATGTCTGTTTTAATTCACTGCCAAATCCCCAGTGTCCAGATGAATAAATACTATATAGTAGATGTTCAATAAATGTTATGGGCAGGTGTTAGGGACAGTAGTTAAGCCATCAGTAGGTCCATCTGCAACCTATATAAGAGTGCTAGGGTTCAGATTGTATCTCTGGTTCAAATCTATCCTTCTTGATGCTGTACATCCTGGGAGGCAGTAGGTGATAGCACATGGACGCAGTACCTGCCACCCATGTGGAAGACCCGTATTAGGTTGTTTTTTTTTTTTTGGACAGGCAGAGTGGATAGTGAGAGAAAGAGAGACAGAGAGAAAGGTCTTCCTTTTGCCATTGGTTCATCCTCCAGTGGCCGCCGCTGCCAGCACACCGCGCTGATCCGAAGGCAGGAGCCAGGTGCTTCTCCTGGTCTCCCATGGGGTGCAGGGCCTAAGCACTTGGGCCGTCCTCCACTGCCTTCCCGGGCCACTGCAGAGAGCTGGACTGGAAGAGGAGCAGCTGGGACTAGAAGCAGCGCCCATATGGGATGCCGGCGCCGCTAGGCTGAGGATTAATCAAGTGAGCTGCGGCGCCGGCCCTGCAATTGTAGTTTCATTATAATGAAGGAACTTTGCACATAACACTAGATTGGAATATGCTGTCAGTCCAACAAAGAATAACCAGTAACTTAATCATTTTTGAAGTATTTAAGTTTTTTTTTTAAAGTTTATTTCAAAGGCAGCGTGACAGAGGGGGAGGAAGATCATCCATTTGCTGGTTCACTATCCAAATGGCTGCAATAGTCAGGGTTGGACCAGACTGAAGCTAGGAGCCAGAAATGCCATCCAGGTCTCCCACGTGTGTAGCAGCATCCCATGTACTTGGATTATTCTTCACTGCTTTCCCAGGCTTATCATCAGGAAGCTGCAAGAGAAGCAGAACAGCCAGGAATGAGTCAGCACTCTGATATGGAATGCTACTGTCAGAAGAGGAGCTTCACCTACTTCACCACAACACTATTCCCAATTGTTAAGCTCTTGGGACTAATGTTCTGGTGCAGGGGTTAAACTGCCACTGGCATCACTTACGAATGCTAGTTCAAGTCTCAGCTGCTTTGCTTCTGATCCAGCTCCCTGCTAATGTGCTGGGAAAGCAGCTGCTTGGGCCTTTGCCATCCCTATGAGAGATCAAGATTAAGTTCCAAGTGCCTTAGTTTGGACTGGCCCAGGCTGGGCTGTTGGTGCCGTTTGGAGAGTGAACCAGCGAATGGAACTCTATAAATACGTCTTTTTAAACAATTATTAAGCTTTTTAAAGTGCTTTTTATGTGATGGTACAAACTTATTGTTTATGATACTAATACTTATTTTGAGATGTCTAAAGAGTGGAAAGTTTTCACTGATTTCCTTCTATCTCAGAGGCGTTTTTTGTTTTCATTTATTTGAAAGGCAAGGTATCAGAGAGAGAGGAAGAGATCTTCTGTCTGCTGGTTCACTCCCCAAATGGCTGCAACAGCCGGGACTGCGAGCAGTCTTAAAAGAACCAGGAACTCCATTCACATCTCCCACAGCCCAAGTATTTGGGCCATCTTCTCCTGCCTTCTCAGGCACGTTAGCAGGGAATGGGATCAGAAGCAGGGCAGCTGTGATCCAAACCAGTGCTCCAATATGGAATACCAGTTGTAGGCAGTAACTTGAACAGCTTTGTTTCAGTGCCCCTTCCATCTCAGAGACATTATAAAAAGTTATTAGGATAATAGACTATTTGTAAAATTACAATGATTTTTAAAAACCGTTTTTGTTTATTTTATTTATTTGAAAGGAAAAGAGATATTTCCCATCCACTAGTTTACTCCTCAGTTGTCAACAATAGCCACCACTGGGACACGTTAAAGCAAGGAGCTCAGTCTAGGTCTCCCGTGTGACTAGCAGGGGACCTAACTACTTAAGCCATCACCTGCAGCCTCCCAGGGTGCGCTTTAGCAAGATACTGAAATCAAGAATGGAAGCAGGAATTGAGCCTAAGAAGTCTGATATGGAATGTGGATGTCCCAAGCAGTATCTTAAAACACTGAACCAAATATTTGCTCCGTATTTTTTAATTAAAATTCATGTGAAAGAATATTTCAAATTTCTATTTGAGGAATAACTAAAGATATGATATTTTATAGTCTTGAGTAATTCTGCCACATACAATCTTTTTTAACTGTTACATTACAAAAAAGATAGAAAGGCTTTCTGAGGTTGAGTCTCATCTGGAAGATCCCTTACAATTAGATATAGAATCTAAAGACTGTTACCTTCTAATTTTTATTTGATAAACTGTATTTCTTGGAATTGTAAAGTATGTGGGCTTTGAAGTTGGAAAGGCCTGAGTTGAAGCCCATCTCTCCCTAACTCTAGTTCTGTGCCCTTAGAAAGATTATATACATTGCTTACTTTATCTCCAGTGTCAGTTTCTTTCTTTCTTCTTTTTAAAAATATTTATTTATTCATTTATTTGAAAGATAGAGTTACTGATAGCGGGAGAGAGGAAGAGAGAGGGAGGGAGGGTGGTAGGGAGAGAAAGGTCTTCCATCTGCAAGTTCAAATGTCCCCAATAGCCAGGGCTGGGCCAGGCTGAATTCAGGAGCCCAGAATTCTAGCCTGGTGTCCCATGTAGGTGGCAGGGGCTCAAGCACTTGGGCCATCTTTTGCTGCTTTCCCAGGCTCCTCAGCAGCGAGATGGATCAGAAGTGGAGTAGCTGAGACTTGAACCCATGCTCATATGGGATGCAGTCATTGCAGGCAGTGGCTTAACCTGCTGTTCCATAAATCTTGCCCCAGTGTCAGTTTCTCTTATCTGTAAAATGAGATATAATAATATTTGGATCTCAAAATTTTTTATCATTAAATGGGATACTTTATTAAATTAATATTGTACTTGGCACCTAATAAGTACTGTTAATAGTAGCTATAAAATTTTTTGTTGAAATTTATATGAACTATAATTTATATGTGACTCAGAAGTATAAAGTTATTCTTCTGTATTTTAGGCATATTTATCATTACTATATTCATGGACCAAAAGGAAATGAAGTTCGTATGTCAAAAGAAGTTGGACCTTTCAGCAACATTGATATTGAAGTAAGATTAAAAATTCATCTTAAAATATTAGATTTTTGGGTGTTTCTTTTAGTCCTAAGGGACTCTAGGTAACAGAAATCAGTAAGTAATTCAAAACAGTTTCTCTTCTCCTTATCTTTTACCAAAGTACTTTGGTTACTTGATATTCTAATAAATACGAGATATTCTTAAGATGTATTTTCCTTTTTCTTTCTTTAAGATTTATTGTTATTTATTTAGAGTGACAGAGGGAGAGAGAGAGTTCACACCCCAAGTAGCTGTAATAGCTGGAGAAGGGCCAGGTTTAAGCCAAGAGCCTGGCACTCCAAATGGGTGTCCCATGTAGGTGGCAGGGGCACATGTACTTGGATCATCTTCCTCGGCTTTCTCAAGTGCATTAGCAAGGAACTGGATCACAAGCAGAGCACTTAGGGCTTGAACCCACAGATCTGACCTGGGATGCTGGCAGTTGCAAGAGGTGTCCTAACCTGAACAATTTGAATCTTTATCTACTGTAGTACTTATACTTATTTTCTCTGTCTCCTCTCTGTCCTATAGAGATGAATTGTTGCTGAACATCATTCCTTGAAGCAGGGAATGAAAGGGACGTAACAGTTTTCCTTTTATTCATAGATGTTTTACAGTGATATATACAATTAAAAGCACAGAATGCTTGAGTATTGACTTTTCAGTATCCTTGCTTACACATTAGAAAAAATTTTGTGTAGAATCTTGTCCCATTTCCTACTTCTAGTAAGAAACCTCGGATCGGACTTGCTGTTTCTTTGTTTACTTTTGATTTTTTCATTGATATATTCATTATTGAGGTTCTACTTAAAGCTATTTAACCCATAGATAAAGTGTATATTTTTCATAAGGCCACATGATTACTTGTATGAATGAAAGTAGTTTTTGCCTATTCTGTTGAATTATAGCTGAGTGTAAAAAGTCATCATAGAATATAATGATTTTTGTTTTATTTTTTATTTTAGATTTCTATGTTTGAAAAAGGGAAGGCACCAAAGATTGTCAACCTAAGGGATATTCAAGATGACATGCAGACGTTGTATGTAAACAAAGCAGCTGATAGTTTTGAATTCAAGGCTCATGTTGAAGGAGATGGTGTAGTGGAAGGGATTATCCGATATCATCCATTCTTATATGATAAAGAAACTTACCCTGATGATCCATGCTTTCCATCAAGTATGTTAATCTGTTCTCTTAGCTACAGAATTGGAAGTTGTAATTTAGAATAGTGATTTGTTTTTAAAATTATGGTTAGTGGTTGAGTCATTAAGGTTATTTTTATTTTTTATTTATTTATTTTTTTTGACAGGCAGAGTGGACAGTGAGAGAGAGAGAAAGGTCTTCCTTTGCCGTTGGTTCACCCTCCAATGGCCCCCGCGGCCAGCGCGCTGCGGCCGGCGCACCGCGCTGGTCCGATGGCAGGAGCCAGGAGCCAGGTGCTTTTCCTGGTCTCCCATGGGGTGCAGGGCCCAAGCACCTGGGCCATCCTCCACTGCACTCCCTGGCCACAGCAGAGGGCTGGCCTGGAAGAGGGGCAACCGGGACAGAATCCGGCGCCCCGACCGGGACTAGAACCCGGTGTGCCGGCGCCGCTAGGCGGAGGATTAGCCTAGTGAGCCGCGGCGCCGGCCGAGTCATTAAGGTTAAATAAAGTTTTTTTCTTATGCAAACCTTATGTTGCTGGTATTTATAATTTTTAAAGCTTTTTTTTTTTTTTTTTTTTTTTTTTTTTTTTTTTTTTGGACAGGCAGAGTGGACAGTGAGAGAGAGAGAGACAAAGAGAAAGGTCTTCCTTTTGCCGTTGGTTCACCCTCCAATGGCCACCGCGGCCGGCGCACTGCGCTGATCCGATGGCAGGAGCCAGGTACTTATCCTGGTCTCCCATGGGGTGCAGGGCCCAAGCACTTGTGCCATCCTCCACTGCACTCCCTGGCCACAGCAGAGAGCTGGCCTGGAAGAGGGGCAACCGGGACAGAATCCGGCGCCCCGACCGGGACTAGAACCCAGTGTGCCGGCGCCTCAAGGCGGAGGATTAGCCTAGCGAGCCGCGGCGCCGGCCTTTAAAGCTCTTTTATGTGCATTCAATTCCAGGTGAATAAAGCACTGGCTTTAACAAAGTGCTCTTTTCTTTTAGATCTCTTACTGAGCCAAACTTTTAAATATGTATAATATTAATTCTTCATATATTTTCCATATTGTCTTCCTTTTATCTTTGTACGTATTTATAAAGAAGTTTACACTTAATGTAGTTGTATCCGTTTTGTCTTTATGGTATCTGATTTTGTCTTGATGTTGAAATGATATCTCAAGATTATAAAAAGGTCTTAGTATTTTATGAGTAATGCATCTGTTTTCTCACTTTTTGTTTCTAGAGTGAGGTAGGGATTTGACTTAATATTTTCTATGTGGTGTTCAGTTTTCTAGCATCAATTATTGAATGTTACAATTTTCCCAATAGTTTATATTACCATTTTAATTATGTATTAAGTTCCTTTAAGTACACAGGTATGGATTGTTTACTAATAGGCACTGGTTTGCATTTTTACACGTGGCTAATAGTATCTCTTGCAGTTTACTGATACCTTTAGGATGAGACTTTCTTGCTGCTGTTCTAAATTTTGGAATCAACTTCTACTTTCACTTAAAAAACCCTAGTGGAATTTTTGGGATAATGTTGAAACATTAGCTATATTAAATTTTCTCATCAAGAGTACTTCCTTGATACATCCGTGATTTTGTAGATTATTCATTGAGATTCCCTGATTTGAATACCATCTTTGCCACCTTGTTTTGTGTATAACTTGGAAAGACTACTCCCTACCTCAGTTTCTTTTTTTCTTCCTTTCTTTTCTTTCTTCCTGTTTTAAGATTTATTTGTTTATTTGAAAGGCAGAGTTACAGAGAGACAGAGACAGAAGTCTTCCATCTGCTGGTTCACTCCCCAAATGGCCACAATGGCCAGAGCTGAGCCGATATGAAGCCAGGAGCCAGGAGCCTCTTCCAGGTCTCCTATGTGAGTGCAGGGCCTCAAGGACTTGGGCCATCCTCCACTGCTTTTCCAGGCCATAGCAGAGAGCTGGACCAAAAGTGGAGCAGCTGGGACTAGAACTGGTGCCCATATGGAATGCCAGCACTGCAGGCGGCAGCTTTACCTGCTATGCCACAGCACCGACCCCTCTACCTCAGTTTCTTTACCTGCAAGATGGGAATGGTAGTTCTTACCTCTGGAGGTGTTGTGAGGGTTAAATAAGAACATGGGGCAAGTCCTTAGAATAGTGCCAAACTGTTACATATATTATATAGAAAGTACTCAGTACTTTCTTTTCTGTTAGGTCTCTGATCTCTGTTTAATGTGCCATTTCTAATTTTTGTATGATTATAGACAAAATACTATAAAGATAATTCAAATGATATTTCACTAATAAGAACCAATAAGTTAAATGATGATCAGGGAGGTTCTCCCCTAAGAGCTAAATGATTTGGTTAGATTGAAAGGAACTTTTACGTAGAGATATCTTGTGGTAACTTTGGGGGAGAAGTGGGCTTTACTTTACGTGGGTGACTTGATGCTAGTTTAGTAAAGTGTTATTATGTTAGGATCATAATATTTGATCCTGATTTATTTGAGTATATTAGAATATGTTGCTGAGAAACATAACTGTGCTGATTATGACTTTGATGCATAATACCATGTCTTGCAATTCCAGTTGTGTGCATATTTAATGTTTATCTGAATATGGTCTTTGAAATATAAGTTAATATAAACTCAAATTTAGTAATATTGACTAATTTGTCCAAACTAGGAAAATTTATTCCTGCTACATCCTTCTTTTTTTTTTTTTTTTTTTTATTTGACAGGCAGAGTGGACAGTGAGAAAGAGAGACAGAGAGAAAGGTGTTCCTTTGCTGTTGGTTCACCCTCCAATGGCCGCCGTGGCCGGCGCGCTACGGCGGCCGGTGCACCGCGCTGATCCGATGGCAGGAGCCAGGTACTTATCCTGGTCTCCCATGGGGTGCAGGGCCCAAGCACTTGGGCCATCCTCCACTGCACTCCCTGGCCACAACAGAGGGCTGGCCTGGAAGAGGGGCAACCGGGACAGAATCCGGCGCCCCGACCGGGACTAGAACATGGTGTGCCGGTGCCGCTAGGCGGAGGATTAGCCTAGTGAGCTGCAGCGCTGGCCCCCTTCATATTTCTCTTAAGATATTTTTATGTGAGCATGTTTATTCTGATAGAGTTGTGAAACTTATTTTATTTATTTATTTATTTATTTATTTATTTGTTTAAGAGGCAAAGAAAGACACAGAGGGCGAAGAGTCAGTTTCCATCTGCTGCTTCATTTCCCAAAAAATTGCAATTCAGATCTCCCACATGGGTGGCAGGAGCTTATGGCTTTTAACTCTGTAAATAGGTTTTAAAGCTTGTAGGCTTAGCAGTTAGTGTTGCACTCTTTTTTTTTGAAAGTCAGAGTTACGGAGAGAGAGGTCTTCCATCCGATGATTCACTCCCCAATTGGCTGCAACAGTCGGAGCTGTGCGGATCTGAAGCTAGGAGCCAGGAGCTTCTTCTGGGTCTCCCACGTGGATGCAGGGACCCGAGGACATGGGCCATCTTCTGCTGCTTTCCCAGGCCATAACAGAGAGCTGGATTGGAAGTGGAGCAGCCGGGTCTCGAACTGTTGCCCATATGGATACAGGCGCTCAGGCTAGAGCATTAACCCACTGCGCCACAGCAACAGCCCCTACTGTTGTACTCTTAACACAGATTGATTATCATGTAACTGTTGACTTTTAAATGATAAGCATCACTGGTGATGTGGAATTTCCACATGGGGAATTGTCTTTCGTAGAACAGAGAATAAAACTACCTTCAAGTCTTATAGAGTTCGAAATATTGTTTGTGTTCTGTTTCTCTGAAGTAACTTTAATATTTCACTTAAAGAAATTGATAATCACTCATACTGTATAGCATAAGCATTTTTTAATTTTTTTTATCTAGAATTAAAAGATGAAGATGATGATGATGATTGTTTCATACTTGAGAAAGCAGCAAGAGGGAAAAGGCCTATTTTTGAATGTTTTTGGAATGGACGATTAATACCATATACATCAGTAGAAGAGTAAGTTATGATTTTTGCTAAAATTATAATGTTGTATAATGTCTTCTTTTTGCTAATACTTTGTTCTTTTCTAGCTTTGACTGGTGTACCCCTCCCAAGAAGAGAGGGCTTGCACCAATTGAATGCTACAATAGAATATCTGGTGCATTATTCACTAATGACAAATTCCAGGTCAGCACAAATAAACTGACTTTTATGGATCTTGAGCTAAAACTGAAAGACAAGAACACCCTTTTTACAAGGATTTTGAATGGACAGGTATGATTTTTAAATATCCATTTTTGAATATTTGAAAATGTCCTGTCTTAAAAATATATCAGTAGTGTAGATTTTTACTGTTATTTTGCATACCATGGAATTCATTTAATCAAAAGACTGTGGCATCTGAAAATTCTTTTGTGAACATCCATTTGGTTGTTTAGCTTGCTCAGAGATTTAAAACTGACTAGGCCATGTTTGAATAAAATACTTTTGTTGGATCTTGGTATTAAAACCTTAAGAAGAGGGGGCTGGTGCTGTGGCATAGCAGGTAAAGCCACTGCCTGCAGTGCTGGCATCCCATATGGGTGCTGGTTTAAGTCCCGGCTGCTCCACTTCTAATCAAGCTTTCTGTTATGGCCTGGGAAAGCAATGAAAGATGGGCCCCTGCACCCATGTGGGAGACCTTGAAGAAGCTCCTGGCTTTGGATTGGTGCAGCTCTGGCCATTTCAACCAATTGTGATCCAGTGGATGGAAGACCTTTCTCTTTCTCTGTCTTCTTTCTCTCTGTGTGTAACTCTGAATTTCAAATAAATAAATAAATCTTTTTTTAAAAAAAAAATAAAATCTTAAGGTGAATAGAAGGCACAGAGTCATACCTACTTAATGAGAGTCTGTATGAACAGTTGTATCTGTTCATGAGTTATGTTTGTACATTAATAATCTAATTGGGCAATTTTAATTTAGTCTTGAGGACTCGGTTAGAGCTGTGAAATACTTGGGTTAAAAGATGGCTTGAGATGGGTCAGTATTAAAATATGTGAGTTGATTAACACAAGTGTTTTTCCTCTGTGAAGACATTTTTTCAAAAACCAAATGGGACAGGGCGGGCGTTTTGGTATAGCAAGTTAAATTGCCTCCTCTGATACCGGTATCCTGTATGAGCACCAGTATGAGTCCCAGCTGCTCAGCCTCTGATCCAGCTCTCTGCTAATGTGCTTGGGAAAGCAATGGAAGATGGCCCAAATATGTGGGCTGCTGCCACTCTTGTGTGAGACCCAGATGGAGTTCCTGGCTCCTGGCCCAGTCTTGGCCATTGCAGCCATTTAGGTAGCAAATGGAAGATCTCTATGTCTTTCCCTCTCCCTCTCTCTCTGTAACTCTGCCTTTTAAATAAATATAAATAATATGTTTTTTTAAAAATATATTGCTAAGAGCTAATCATTAAGAGAATTGAATGAAGTACTGGCGCTGTAGTGTAGCAGGTAAAGCAGCCACCTCCAGTGTCGGCATCCCATATGGGCACCTGTTTAAGTCCCAGCTGCTCCTCTTCAGATTCAGCTCTCCGCTGTGGCCTGGGAAAGCAGTAGAACATGGCCCACGTCCTTGTGCCCCTGCACCTACATGGGAGACCTGGAAGAAGCTTCCTGGTTTCGGATCAGTGCAGCTCTGGCTATTGCAGCCCTTTGTGGAGTGAACCAGTGCATGGAAGATTCTCTCTCTGTGCCTCTGCCTCTCTGTAACTTTCTGCCTTTCAAATAAAAATAAATCTAAAAAACAAACAAACAAAAAGAATGAAACTAGTTTACTTTTATTCTACCCACGTAGCTCACAGACTTGAAGTAGATACTTCTTTTCCAGTGGTTTAATATTGAATTTCCAAAAATTAGTTAATTTCTTTAAGGGATTTATTTTATGTATTTGGAAGACAGAATGATAACATGAGTGAAAGACAGAAATAGAGAGATCTTCCTTCCATCTGCTGATTTAGTCCCTGAATTGCTGCAGTAGTTGGGATTGGTCCAAGCCAAAGCCAGGAGCCCAGAACTCCATCTGGGTTCCCCATGTGGATCCCATGTACTTTGGAAGTGGAGTAGCTGGGACTTGAACCAGCACTCTGATATGGATCCCTGTGTTACAAGCAGTGGCTTTACCCATGTACCACATACCAGCCCTCAGAGTTAGATTATTATATTAGGAACTTAAAATTACTGGTCAGTAAATAGAATACATAGCCCATAATTTAAGAGTCAGTCATTCCTATAAGATGTTGAAATTAATTTTGTTGTTAAAGAAGATTCTGAGTCATAGAAGTTTAAGATACTTTTAATGAATTATCCACCAAGAAAGGTCTTGTAGACATGAGTTAATACTCAGACACAACACACTTGGAATTTATTCTTATAATATGGTTTAAGTTATCCAACATTTATTAAGCAGTTCGGTCTTCTCAAAGGTTATCTGCAATAGGTTAATTGTACTCCTTTATAATCTTTAGATTTCTAATTTTGAAAAATAGATACAAAGAAAAGTGAAAACAATATTATAATGAATATCCATATACTTTTCTCCCAGATGTACTTTTTCATTTTTTAAAAAGATTTTTTTTGTATTTGAAAGGCAGAGTGACAGAGGAAGACATATAACATACATACACACAGACATACACATGGTTGGCTGCAATGACTGGGGCTGGGACAGGCCTCCCATAAGGGTGACAGAGGCCCAAGCACTTGGACCATCGTCCACTGCTTTCCCAGGCACATAAGCAAGGAGCTTGATCAGAAGCAGAGTAGCCAGGACCCAAATGGCACTATCACATGTGGGATGTGGGCATTGGAAATGGCAGTTTAATATGCTGCTATTAGATCACTGCTGGCCACTATATCAACTTTTGATATTGCCATGGTTATTAAATTGTTCTTTAACTGTTATTGAGTTTCTGTAATTAGTAGATATATTGGGTAATTTGGTTAATCATGAGTCCTGAGAGTTTCAGCTTATCTTTGAAATGCAGTTTAAGAATTTAGTAGGCAGGGGGTTGTATTCTGGTGCAACAGGTTAAGCTGCTGCCTGCGATTCTGGATTCTGGCGTCCCCATAGGAATGTCAGTTCAAGTCCCAGCTGCTCAGCTTCTGATCCAGCTCTCTGCTAATGTGCCTGGAAAAACAATGGAAGGGTCACCTATGTGAGACACCTGGATGGACTTCTGAGCTCTTAGCATCAGCCTAACCAGAATTGGCTATTACAGTCATTTTGGGAGTGAACCAGAGAATGGGAGATTTTTTTCTCTCTCCCTCCTACTCTGTCCTTTTCTTCTGTATAACTCTGCTTTCCAAATAAATAAATAAATGTTTAGGATAAAACAGCATTTGGCAGGTAAATTTTCCTGCCTGAAGTTAAAATTTTAATATTCATAGCAGTTTGGCAAACTGATAATAGTCCTTTGCAGGGGTGATTGTTTGACCTGGTTTTAACCAAATGACCACAATGGCCAGGGGTGGGCTAGGCTGAAGCCAATACCCTGGAGCTTCATTCAGGTCTCCAACATGGGTGTTAGGGGCCCAGGATCTTGGCCATCTTCCACTGCTTTCATTGGTGCATTAGCAGGAAACTGGTTTGAAAGTAGAGCATCTGGGACTTGAACAGATGCCCATATAGGATGCTGCCTCATAGGCAGCAACGTGATCTGCTATGCCACAGCACATTTCCCAAAATTTTTTAAATACTACTTTTTTTTTGACATCTTCTAAATTTCTTCAGAAGGAACCAGCTAAACATTTTAATTTTTAGTTAGATTTTCTGAGTACTTGGTACTTGAAAAGGAAAATTAGAATGAGTGACAAATGTGAATGGTTATATGTGTTTGCTAATAGACTACTTCAAAATTTTACAGGAGCAGCGAATGAAAATTGATAGAGAATTTGCTTTGTGGCTAAAGGACTGTCATGAAAAGTATGACAAACAGATCAAATTTACACTTTTTAAAGGAATAATTACACGTCCTGATCTTCCTTCTAAAAAGCAAGGCCCCTGGGCAACATACTCAGCAATAGAGTGGGATGGAAAAATGTACAAAGCAGGACAGCTGGTATGTTTAACTTATTTTTAAAATTAATTTTATTAGAATTCAAAACTAATTTAGATGTATTAGAATTTAACAACAAAAATAATGCATGTATTGGCTGCTCAGGAGCCAGGAAAGAATGAAAAGGACAAATCAATATTAATTACCTAATTTATAGATTAAAACAAAAAGCTGTTTTTTGCCAAAGACTTAATTATCAAAGTTTTCATATGAAACTTGACTCACAGGGAGATTCTTCGCTATTTTTTTGTTTTTTAACATGTTGTGAAATAATATTTTAGCTTTTTCTGGGGGACCACCTGCTCTTGTGTTGAGCACTTGCCAACATAGTAAGTCAGTATATGTTTTGTCTGCATTGTGGAAGATGTGGAGATCTAGGACTTATGCTTTATTTTTTGGGATATTATATCTGGATATTGGGAGTAATATAAATATAAGTAGAAATAAGTAAGGGGATAAGCTCAATGAAGAGTGAGGGTGAATAGTGTGCTGTCGAAGGAGAGGAGAGAAATTTCTTACTCTGAATGGTGTTGAGGCGTGGGAGAAGAGACCTCACCGCCAAATACTTTGGGCAAGAAGTGGCATTTGCATGGGCCTTGTGAGAGGTGAAATCTCACATTAAAGATAATTAAATAGGTAGAAGGATATCTAGTCAATCCATTTATGTGAGGGACACATCAGGTATTTAAGGCAGTAGAATTGGGTGAGATCACCTAAAATAGTGACTGTAGTATTTAAAGACCCAAGGACTGAGCCTGAGAGTTTCCCTCTAGTTAAGGTTTAGAATGAGGAGGAGGACCTGGCAAAGGAGACTGAAAGGGATAAGCTAGTGAAGTTGAAGCAAAGTAGGAAAATATGGTATCTTTGAAGCCAAACAAAGAGTTAAAAGGAGGAGGAAGTGTCACCTTTGTGAAATGCTTTGTGGTGGTTGTGTCAAATGCTTTCTAGAAGATAGCTGAGCATGTTTTAAGTGCATGGAGCTGTTAAGGGTTTGGTTATACTGCAACATTGTGTGTATGGAGAACAGTTTTTCAGAAATAAGGCTGGAGTGGTAGATTAGATCTAAACTATTGAAGTCATTATTGGGAATCTTGAAATGGACCAGGTTTTTCAAACCAATTAGGAAAATGAAATACAAGCAAATTTTGAGCTAATGTATTTGAAAAGGAATGTTAATTTGTGAAAGATTATGACACTGTTATATCCTTATGACACTGTTCATTGAAAGCAAGATTTTATGGGGAAAATAGTTGTAGATACTTTGGCCATTTATAATAATTAAGTTTAAACACATGTTATTTATGACATATTTATATGAAGAAGCCACTTTACAAAAATTTGTTAAAAAATAAGTGAAAAACTTCACAGATGTGATTTTACTGGAAGATCTTTCATTAGTTTCCTAGTGATAGTTGTAAAAAGATTTTTCTTCTGTAACATAATCCTATAAAATAATTATTAATCCTGTCAAAATATTAATACTGCTGCCTTTTTAAAAAAAACTATTAGGTCAAGACAATCAAGACACTCCCCCTCTTTTATGGAAGTATAGTAAGATTTTTTCTTTATGGTGATCATGATGGAGAAGTATACGCTACGGGAGGAGAAGTTCAAATAGCAATGGTAAGACAGCACGTTTGGAAAGTTCTTTTTGAAAGTCTATTGGTACCACTTATCTTTGCATAAGGGATGAAATAAAGATAACTGTATTTTATTTTACTTGTGTTTGATATTTCCATTGAGTCAAGTGAACTTCTCATGTGAATTTTTATGTGTCATATTTGGTATTTTTAACAGTCTAGGCATCTGTATGCCCAGTGTTTTATGAATGTACTAGGGTCCTTCAAAAAGTTTGTGGGGATGGGCATTTGGCCTAGTGTGATGACATCATTTGGGATGCCCACATTCCACATCAGAGTACCTATGTATCAAAGTTCTGATTTTGCTTCCAAAGTCCTGCTTCTTGCTAATGTGCACCCTGGAGGGCAGCAGATACTTAGTATTTAACTACTTAGGTCCCTGCCATCCACATGGGAGGCCTAGATTGAATTTTAGGCTTCCAGCTCCAGCCATTTCAGATATGTAAGGAATGAGCCAATAGATAGTTGCTCTCTGTCTGTCTACCTCTCAAGACAAAAGAAAGGCAAAAGCAAACTTTATAGAACACGAATTAAGAGATAAATTTCATTTTGGTATTTTTTTTAAATCCCTGCATAGTTTTTTCGTAAAATTAATTTTCCATGAACTTTTTGAAGTACATATATATATAGGTATATATATATAATTGCTAATTATCACAGTCATGTTATAGAATGTACATTTCTTCTAGGATTCCTCAGACTGGTAAATTTTGGAGGCAGAATGCTCTCTCAAGAATAAGTAGCTGCAAAATTAGTCGGATTTTTTTGTTTGTTTTTTCGACTACACCATGCTCTTATTAATTGAATGGTTGTGTCTTAGGACTATGAAATTTACATAAAAAGTAGAAACACTTCGGGTACTGTAAGAATAGTTACTATGATTTAATACTCAATTAGATAATGTACTGTATTTCTTTGAAAGAAATAGGTGTTTGTTTTTATTGAAGCTGAATTTAAATACTTTTCTTTAAAATATTATAAATTTATTTTATTTATTCAGGAGCCTCAGGCATTGTATGATGAAATAAAGACCGTGCCAATTGCAAAGCTGGATAGAACAGTTGCTGAGAAGACTGTTAAAAAGTATGTAGAAGATGAAATGGCAAGGTAAGTCACATTTTAAGATGCATGACAGGCTGGCGCCGCGGCTCAATAGGCTAATCCTCCACCTAGTGGCGCCGGCACACCGGGTTCTAGTCCCAGTCGGGGCGCCGGAATCTGTCCCGGTTGCCCCTCTTCCAGGCCAGCTCTCTGCTGTGGCCTGGGAAGGCAGTGGAGGATGGCCCAAGTGCTTGGGCCCTGCACCCACATGGGACACCAGGAGAAGCACCTGCTTATGCCTTTGGATCAGCACGGTGCGCCGGCCGCAGCGCACCAGCCATGGTGGCCATTGGAGGGTGAACCAATGGCAAAAGGAAGACCTTTCTGTCTCTCTCTCTCTCTCACTATCCACTCTGCCTGTAAAAAAAAAAAAAAGATGCGTGACAAAAAATGAAAAACTTAAAGAGGAATTGTAGTGCTTTTAAGTTTTTGGTTTTTTTATTATTATTGTTATTATTTATTAGTTTTAGCATGATTTGATGGAAAGGACACGGGCAGGGAAACCAAATCCTGACTGAGGAGTCTTGCGGAGGAAACAGGGCAAACAACCCCATGAGCGGTGTGCTCACATCAGGGACGCCGTCTACTCTTCTGACAGTGTATTTGTATAGTTTTAAATGCTTTGAGATGAACTTCTTGATACTACAAAAAGTTGAAAGGGATAGTTATAAAAGTGGAATCTCTTTAGATTTGTAGAGAAAGAAGGGAAATATATATATATATTTTTAAAGATTTACTTATTAGAGGAGAGGCAGAGAGAGAGAGATCTTCCATCCAATGGTTCACTCCCCAATTGACCGCAACAGCTGGAGCTGCGCTGATCCGAAGCCAGGAGCCAGGAGCTTCCTCTGGGTCTTCCACATAGTCTTCCAGGCCATAGCAGAGAGCTGGATCAGAAAAGGAGCAGCCAGGACTAGAACCGGCGCCCATATGGGATGCTGGCGCTTCAGGTCAGGGCTTTAACCTGCTGTACCACAGTGCTGGCCCCAAGAAGGGAAATCTTACACCTAAAGTGTTACTCTTAGAAGAGATGGTATGGTTAAGGCGTTAAAAAAAAAAGAAAGTGGTTAAGTCTACAACTAGAAGAAAATCATAAAACCATCTGAGAGTTAAAGATTTGTAAAATAAAAATGAAGTAGAAAACAAAACTCTATTTTTGGTTCTTCTGCTTATAATACTGTGATTTTGATTGTTACTGAATTCTTCTATTCTTAAAGTTCATCCTATATACCAAAGGTTAACTTATACTAGTACTATAGGCAGAATTTCTGGGTCTTGATATAAAAGAAGTTTTATCTTTATTTTTCAGTAACCATAGCAATGGTGGAGGAATAAAATATCTAGATTAGTTTTATAGAATTCCAGATTTAGGTTTTTAAGATGTATCAGCAGTAACATTATAAGTTTATAATAATGTATCTTTCTGACTAAGACCACAATTAACATGGTTTGTAAATATCAATATACTCATTTCCTAATAGGCTTCCTGATAGATTGTCAGTAACATGGCCTGAAGGTGATGAATTGTTGCCTAATGAGATTAGGCCTGCTGGAACCCCCATTGGTATGTTTGGCTTATTATTTTTTTAATGGCAAAATAGTGCTTTACTTTTGTCTTTTGTTTCTGATGGATAAAAGATGATGAAAAGTTAAAAATGCAATATGAAGACTTGACATATTCAGCAGATTCTTTAGATGTAATTAAGACATTCTTTGCTTTAATTTTGGACTTATAGGTGCATTAAGAATTGAAATACTGAATAAAAAAGGGGAAGCAATGCAAAAGCTTCCAGGAACAAGTCATGGAGGGTCAAAGAAACTCCTGGTTGAACTCAAAGTTATATTACACAGTAAGTAAACAAACGAATTTGGATCATTTAATATTTTTAAGGATACAGTGCATACTTAAGTGTCTTCATATAATTACTAATGAACTAGCAACCCGATCAACACAATGAATTTGATTAATTTAGGAACTTGGGGTGCTGATAGTTCCTTTTCTGGGTGGCTATTTTTCTAGCCTTTTTCTCCTTTATTTTATCTGAAATTTTCCTGTGTACATGACTGTGGGCTAAAGTGAAGATATGGTAGATATATTTAGATAATCATTAAGGGCCTTTCCTTAGCAAAAAATACTGGTTCTGTGAACCAGTGGGCCAGAAGCCTGTTCTCTCTGAAGAAGGGAAAAGAGCTCAGTATTTCAGCTCATCTTTTAGTTTTCTAAGCTTAGGCACCTTTTCGCTAACTTTCATGTCCATTGTTTTTTGTCTTGAGTGCTTAGAGTATTTCTTCTCTCTCTCTCTTTCTCTCTCTCTTTTTTTTTTTTTTTTTTTTTTTTTTTTTTTTTAGATTTATCTATTTATTTGAGAGGCAGAGGCAGAGAGAAAGAGAGGTCTTCCATCTGCTGGTTCACTCCCCAGGTGGCCACAATGGCCGGAGCAAGGCAGGAGCCAGGAGCTTCTTCCGGGTCTCCCACGCAGGTACAGGGGCCCACTTCTGCTTTTCCAGGCCATGGCAGAGAGCCAAAACAGCAGTGGAGCAGCTGGACTTGAACTAGCACCCATATGGGATGCTGGCACTGCAGGTGGCAGCTTTACAACACTACACAACCAAACTGGCCCCAGATATAAGAAATTTTTTTAAAAAATTTATTTATGGGGCTGGCTCTGTGTCACAGCAAGTTAATGCCCTGGCCTGAAGTGCCGGCATCCCATATAGGCACCGGTTTTAGTCCCAGCTGCTCCTCTTCCGATCCATCTCTCTGCTATGGCCTGGGAAAGCAGTAGAAGATGGCCCTAGTCCTTGGGCCCCTGCCCTGACGTGGGAGACCCAGAAGAAGCTCCTGGCTCCTGGCTTTGGATCGGCACAGCTCTGCCCGTTGAGGCCATCTAGGGAGTGAACCAGTGGATGAACGACCTCTCTCTGTTTCTACCTCTCTCTGTGTTTCTGTCTTTGAAATACATAAATTTAATCTTTAAATATTTATTTATTTATTTGTTTGAAAGGAGAGTTACAAAGCAGAGAGAGAGAGAAAGAGAGGTCTTTCATCTGGTTCACTCCCCAGGCAGCTTTACCTGCTATGCCACAGCACTTGCCTCTAAAATGTTTTCTTTAAAAAAAAAAAAAAGATTTGTTTATTTGAAAGGCAGAATTAGAGAGAGAGAGAGAGAGAGAGAGAGAGAAAGATCAATTTTCTTTCCTCTGGTTTGATCCCATGTTGCTGCAACAGTGTGATCTGGGCCAGTCTTAATTCAGGAGCCAAGAGCTTCATCTGGATCTCCCATGTTGGTGTAGGGACCCAAGGACTTAGGCTGTGTTCTGCTGCTTTTCCAGGCCATTAGCAGGGAGCTGGATCGAAGTGGAGCATCTGGGTTTCAATCCAGTGGCCACATGGGATGTCACCATCGCAGGAGGCAGCATTACCTGCCATATACAGCCTTGGCTCCTTAAAATATTTTCTTATAATTTGAATAATCTGTTCTATCACTGAATGTTTATATGGGTTATAGATTTTGACACTATTTTATTCAATATGTGTTTATTTCCAACATTTAAAAAAACTAATAATACTGCACATGTTTATTGCATAAATGACCTACTTGGCCTCTTCAGTTTTATTTACAATTTGACCATTTGTCATTTTACTAATATACTCTCTTTTGACTTTGTAACACCACAGTGTATACTTATTTCTCGTTCTCTCTTTCTCTGTTTCTGTCTTTGTCTCTGTCTCTCTTTCAGTTTGAAACTGTACATTTATTATCTTTTGGTTCTGGAGGTCAGACATCCAATACAAGTTTCACTGAGCTAAAATCTGAGTCAACTGAAGTACGTTGCCTCTGCATATGCTAGGACGCTTGTTTTTTCAACCTTTCAGAAGTCACTCTTAGTCTTTAACTTGTAGCCTTTCCTCCTCCTTCTTTTTAGTTGAGAGGCATAGAGACATTTCTCATCCACTGGTTCACTCCTCTAACACAATGTCCATTGCTAGGCTACACTGAAGCCAGTAGCCAAGAACATAGTCCAGGTCTCTCTCTGTAACTCTGTCTTTCAAATAAATAAAAGAAGTAGAGACAGAGAGAGAGGTCTTCCATCTGCTGGTGCACTCCCCAGATGGCTGCAACGGCTGGAGCTGCGCCGATCCGAAGCCAGGAGCTTCTTCCGGGTCTCCCAAGTGGGTGCAAGGGCCCACGGACTTGGGCCATCTTCCACTGCTTTCCCAGGCCATAGCAGAGAGCTGGATTGGAAGAGGAGCAGCTGGGACTCGAACTAGCGCCCATATGGGATGCCGACACTGCAGGGACAGAGGTCCAAGCACTTGGGCCATCTTCTGCTATCCCAGGCCATAGCTGAGAGCTGGATTGGAAGAGGAGCAGCCATGATTAGAACCGGCACCCACTGCGCCACAGTGCCCACCCCATAAAATAAATCTTTTAAAAAAAAATCTTAAAAAAAAAAAAAAAAAAACTCCAACAAGGCACTTTGTTACAAGGTTCCTGATATAGCAGTTATGTCAGAACCTTCAAAACACAAGGGCTGTTAAAACTAGAGTACCGTAAAAGAAACTTCTGCAGTTTCAGTCTCTTGTCGGCCCAATCCTGAGAAGCAAGGCAAAGCATCTTTCCTGCAAATGCAATGTGTCTCCAGTATTTCCATCTAGTTGAACTTGCAGAGATGGGTGCCCAAGACAGATCATGAATCTATATACCACCTTGGCTCTGTCTCCCTTAGTTATACCTGAAGAGTTTAATACCCATCCAAGTCCAAAGGTGGAAGAACATATACACTGGTATGATAATGGGCAGGAGCGGCTGTAGAAGCTGAAGCTGGTGGTGCTGGTACAGCCCTGTGGGAAGTTTTCTTCCACAGAGGCCGAGTAGAAAAGACCTGCTACTTTGTTTTAAAATGAATATGGTATTTAGAACATTTAGTTGTTGTGGTTTTTAAAAATTATGATCTAGTTCTGCTCTGTTTCTTCTTGCTCCTTATCTTGATTATCTTGATGGGTCATCCTTGCTGCCTGTGGTAGCATATTAGGAATCCCATCAATGACTGGATAGGTTTTTCCCAGCTCTTTATTAATTCATTTGTTGAAGCTTCATATCTGAGCAGCTTCTGGCTTTATATTCTTTCACCTTTAGTGGCTTAGGATACTAGCCATCTCTCTACAAGACTTTTTACATGATCTGGCCTTTTTTTGTCTTCAACTTCATCTCATCCTCACTTAACGTATTTCTAACCACAGTTGATGGCTTTTGGTTCTCATTCAAGCCAGGTTTTCCAATCCTGGACAACGTTTTGTTATTTCTTGTGTCTCTAGGTCAGGGGTGGCAGACTATTTGTAAAGGATCAGGTAGCAAATATTTAGGTTTCGGGGGCATATGTGGTTTGTCTCAACTGCATAAGTGCCATTAGAATGAAAGTAGCCAAGGACAGTACAATTGAATTTCCCATCTCAATGCTGTAGAAGGTTGAAACCCCATGAAAGAAGGCATTGGTTCAGGTTTTTTCTAGTGCTTTGCATACAGGAGACAATTTTTGAAAATGTAAGAATTATTTTGAAAAGTAAGAATTTTTTTGAAATCAGCAAATTGCTTTGTTTTTCTAGAGAACATCTCATAGTGATGTACTGTCTAGTTTCCATGATAGATTCATAGTTGTACCCTTTAAAAATGTGTTCCTTCATATTTTTGAGAGAGAGAGAACTCCCACCCACTGGCTCATTCCCAACTGTGAGTTTTCAAAGCAGATTTTAAATAAGTTGTATCAAGATCTTGAAACATTTCTTGGAAGAATTTTGAAAGGACATGAATTATGGCTTTATCATCCTAAAGACAAAGCACAATCCAAACAATGGCTACCAACAGATGGAAGTGGACTGCTCAAGGCAAAAGCCATGGCAACAGGATTTTGGGATGCTTAAGACATTTTACATGTTAACTTTTTATTCTAGAAAGCCAAAGAACATCTGCTTATTAAGAACTTTATGAGAAAGTTATCCAAACCTTGAATTATAAAACACCTCTGAAAACTTTCCAGTGAGTCCTTCTCCACATGACAGTGCTCCTGTGCTTACCCTACTCCACTTAAAAAACAAGGACAATTTTGCAAGAATTTCAATGGGAAAGCATTATGCATCTTGCCGTCTTGATTTGAATTCTTCTGACTTCTTTCTTTTTGTTTTCTAAGAAAACTTAAATCCATTTGTGTTCTATTTAATGATGTTAAAAGGGGACTGCATTGACATGATTAAATTCCTAGGACCCTCTGTTTTTCATGGATGGGCTTAAAATGGCTGGTGACTGGTATCACTTACAAAAGTGTCTTGAATTCGATGAGGCTTAAGTTGAGAAATAAAGTTTACGTTTTCATTTTTATCTTTTAATTCCATTTGCCCACACATCTTTTGAATCTCTCATGTGTTCCTTGCTTTTTTACTTTAACAGTAGATCTTAAAGATTACTGTCATTAAACTATGCTATTTTAGTTTTGAAGAAAACCTTTAAGGAAAGTTTTTTTTTTTTTTTTAAGATTTGTTTTTATTTATTTCAAAGAGTTACAGAGAGAGGTAGAGACAGAGAAGAGAGAGAGAGAGGTCTTAGATATGCTGGTTCACTCGCCAAATGGCTGAAACTGAGCTGATCTGAAGCCAGGAGCTTCTTCTGGGCCTCCCACATGGGTGCAGGGGCCCAAGGACTTGGGCCATCTTCCACTGCTTTTCCTGGCACATTAGCAGGGAGCTAGATCAGAAGTGGAGCAGCTAGGATTCTAACTGGCGCCCATATGGGATGCTGGCCCTGCAGGCTGGGGCCTTAACCTGAGCATTAGCTTTGTTCCACTCTGCTCCCAATTCCAGCTTCCTGCTAATGTGCACCCTGGGAAGCAGTAGGTGATGGCTCAAGTAGTTGGTTTTTGCTGACCACGTGGGAGATGCTGATTGAGTTCCTGACTCGTAGGTTTAGCCTGGCCTAACCCTGGCTATTGCACGCATTTGGGGAGTGAACTAACAATGAGATCTATCTATTGTCTGTGTGCCTTTCCAATAAATGAATAGAAAAAAAAAATTTAAGTACATCTGGGACTGTCATGGTATAGTGCTAGTCAGCATCCATTTCAAAGTGCCTGTTCGAGTCCTGACTGGTCCTCTTCTGATCTGGCTTCCTACTAATGCACCTGGGAAGGCAATGGAGGATGGCCCATTTACTTGGGGCACTGTCACCCAGGTAAGAGACCTGGATCGAGTCCAGATCTGGTTGTTGTGGCCATTTGAGGAGTAAATCAGTGTATGGAAGATCTCTGTCTTTCTCCCTCTCTCTGTTGCTCTGCCTTTCAAATAAGTAAGTAAATCTTTAAGAAATAATAAAAAATATATCTGCTCATAAATAAAAAAACTTGAAATAAGGAGATTTTACTGTGAGTAAACATTAATTTCGGCTATTTACTTGAATAGGATAGCATTACATTTTTGGAGCGTCAAAATAACTTAAATTATATAGCAAATAAAGATATTGTATTGATATATCAATGTGACATTTCATATTTCTGATTTATGCTTGGTTTCTCAAGGCAGTATTATTTCTTTTTCCATCTTATTAAGCTTCAAGTGGAAATAAGGAAATCATTTCACACATAAGTCAACATGGAGGAAAATGGCCTTACTGGTTTAAAAAAATGGGTGAGTTATCATTCTGAATATTTAAAAGATATATCAGTATTATGTTGACTTGGTTTTTAATTTCTTCTTAATTTATCTAGAAAATATTCAAAAGTTGGGGAATTACACATTGAAATTACAAGTTGTATTGAATGAAAGTAATGCAGATACTTACGCAGGAAGACCACTTCCATCTAAAGCAATTAAATTTTCTGTGAAAGGTAAGCAGACCACTAATACCCAATTATATGTGCTGAAAGTTACATTTTAAAGAAAAAAAAATTCAGTAAAGGATATTTGAACAATTGGGTAACATTTTGATTTTTAAATGGCTTTATAAGTCTACAAGATAATCGTCTTTTTTTACTTGGAAGTTGTTCTGTTTCACCTTCTATTGTGGCTGGTTAAGTCTAAAGTTGTCCTGATCTCTGATTCTTTACATAATCCTAGATGTTTTGGGAATCTTTTATGCCTTGTTTCTAAAATTTTAACTGCTTTGGTTTGGGTCAGTTTTCATCCAGTTGTTATGAACTTCATTATCCCTTTCAGTCTGGAAACTCCTGTTTTCTTTTCTAGTAATTTTTCTTCAGGTACTTTGATTTCCTACTCTATTTAATCTCTTTCTAAAACATCTAAGTTTTGAATCTCTTGACTGGTGTGCTGATTTTCTTTTTTCTATCTTCTGCCTCTTGGTTCTATTTCTCTATTTTGAGATTTGCTTAACTTGATGTTATGCACTTTCTATTGAGTTTTCCTTTTCAGCTACCATGGTTTTGTTGTTGTTTTAGTTTCATTGTTATTCTCTTTTGTAAACATTTTCTTCCTCCTTCATGGATTTAGTATCTTTTTGAATTTTCTGATGTCAATAATAGTGGGGGGATGGGGATTTTTAAAGCTTGTTTTCTTACCTTTTTCCTATTTTCTCTGAGTCTCTCATATTAGATGCTCTCTTATATGACTAATGATTTATTCACATTTAAGAAATAGGACACTAGAGAATGTGTATTCCATTGAGGGAAATTATGCTGTGAGAGTTTTTCAGTCTTTACTCTGGCAATTCAGATACCCCCAAGCGAAGACTTCTAGTCTCTTGCTAAGAGGGTAAATATCTGGGTTCTATCATTTTGGGACCCAAACTGGGAAGACTGTTGTTGGAGAGTCATATTTAGAATATAATCATTCACTTATTTTCAGTAAGCTATACTATTTTTGGAGTGCTGTGACCCTCATTTCCTTACAACCCCTTTCTTTCAGCACTTGATTGGTCTACCACTAAGGGATGGGGAATCTGGGAATTCTTTATTTTTTTTAAGATTTATTTATTTATTTGAAAGTCAGCTACACAGAGAAAGGAGAGGGAGAGAGAGAGAGAGAGAGAGAGAGAGAGAGAGAGGGGAGAGAGGAGAGAGGAGAGAGAGAGGTCTTCTCTCCGATGGTTCACTCTACAATTGACTGCAACGTCAGGAGCTAGGCCGATCCGAAGCCAGGAGCCAGGAGCCTCTTCCGGGTCTCCCACGTGGGTGCAGGGGCCCAAGAACTTGGGCCATCTTCTTCTGCTTTCCCAAGCCACAGCAGTGGAACAGCCGGGAGTAGAATGGCACCCATATGGGCTGCCGGCACTTCAGGCCAGGGTGTTAACCTGCTGCACCACAGCGCCGGCCCCTGGGAATTCTTTCTTGGAGTTTTGTAAATCCTCCAGTTTTTTTGTTGTTTTTGTTGATGTTTGAGGATTTTATGTTCTTGGATCTTTCCAGTAAGTCAGTTGTAGCTTTCAAATGCAATTAGTATTGTCTTTTTCTCGTTTATTGTTTATGTAGATTTAGATCTCTGAAAGAAATCTGTATTTAGTGTCACAATGAGGGGATTTTGGGGAAGAACTGATTTAAGTGCTTTTGATCACTGTGCCTAGAAGTACTACCATTAAACTTTTTTTGCTTAGTTTTTAATTTAGGGGGAGATTGTGGGACATATTTAATAGTATAGATGTGCTATAGTTTAATATAGTCTAATTTCTTTTGTATTAATGGATATGTTCTTGACCTCTAATGAATTTTCTGACCAATTAATTTATTTTTACTTTTGTTTTTGTTAAAGAGGGTAAGCCAGAAAAATTTTCCTTTGGTCTTCTGGATCATCCTTTTCGTGTTGGAGTTCCATTCAATATTCCTCTGGAATTTCAGGATGAATTTGGTCATACTAGTCAACTAGTAACTGATATTCAGCCAGTTCTTGAAGCAAGGTAATTTGAAGGGTCAAGTTTTGTTTGTCTTTTCATATTTGCTAAACAGTTACTGTTTTATAAGCTGAAATGATTTGTGTGTGGATGTTGACTTTATTATAGTTGAAAATGTGAAGTGAGGGCCGGTGCCGTGGCTCACTAGGCTAATCCTCCGCCTGCGGCGCTGGCACCCCAGGTTCTAGTCCCAGTTGGAGCGCCGGATTCTGTCCCGGTTGCTCCTCTTCCAGTCTAGCTCTCTGCTATGGCCCAGGAGGGCAGTGGAGGATGGTCCAAGTGCTTGGGCCCTGCACCCACATGGGAGACCAGGAGGAAGCACCTGGCTCCTGGCTTCGGGCTGCACCGGCCGTAGCAGCCATTAGGGGAGTGAACCAAAGGAAGGAAGGCCTTTCTTTCTGTCTCTCCTCACTGTCAATAACTCTCTGTCTGTCTCTCTCACTGTCTAACTCTGCCTGTCAAGAAAAAAAAAATGAAAATGTGTAGTGAGTTTTATGATATCTGGGAGATTTATTTACTTTAGGCTGTCTTCACTGCCAGGTCATGTGTAGATTGTTTCATTGAAGTTCATCTTTTGACTAAATTTACTGTTGACAATTAGATATATATTTCCTTTTTTTTTAAAGATCTATTTGAGAGGCAGAGTTATAGTGAGAGAGAAGCAGAGAAGCAGAGACAGAGAGGTCTTCCATCCACTGGTTCACTTCCCAAATGGCTGCAATGGCTGGAGCTGGGCCTATCCGAAGTTAGGAGCCAGGAGCTTCCTCCAGATGTCCCACGAGGGTGCAGGGACCCAAGCACTTGGGCCGTCTCCCATGTGGGTGGTAGTGACATAATTACTTGAGCCACTTCTCAGGGTCTGCATTAGCAAGGAGCTGGAATCAGGTGCAGGAGTCAGAAATTGGAGCCAGGTGCTCCAATTTGGAATGCAAACAGTTTAACTGCTCTACTAGCCATTTGCTCCTAGACTAATTGTTTTTATGCATGTAGACTTGTCATTCTGAGATCTGTCTCAGCCTTATTTACCCAGAACTTTGTTTTTCTTCTGTGTTGGAGAGGAAAACATGAAACTATATCAAGTGCAGAAAACCTTTCTAGAAAGATAGAAAACAATTTTTTTTATTAAATAAGCATGTGATCACAGGTAATCAGCTAAGGAGATTTGTAGGGACAGAAGGAAATCTTTGCCGGCACTGTGGCTCACTAGGCTAATCCTCTGTCTGCGGCGCTGGCACCCCAAGTTCTAGGCCCAGTAGGGGCACTGGATTCTGTCTCGGTTACTCCTCTTCCAGTCTAGCTCTCTGCTGTGGCCTGGGAGTGCAGTGGAGGATGGCCCAAGTGCTTGGGCCCTGCACCCACATGGGAAACCAGGAGAAAGCACCCAGCTCCTGGCTTCAGATTGGTGCTGCACGCCTGTCGCAGCGTGCTGGCTGTAGTGGCCACTTGGGGGGTGAACCAACGGAAATAGGAAGACCCTTCTGTTTCTGTCTCTGTCTCTCTCTCTCTCTCTAACTCTGTCAAAAAATAGAAGGAAATCTTAATCTTCTTTATAGGTAAATGATACAACCCATTATATTCATGCTTTCAAGGTATAATTGCTAAACTTACAGGATTTTTATGACTGGAGTAGGGTTGGCAAGTTGGAATCAGCTGACAGTTGAAGTTAGTCCCATATTCTTTCAGGAAACTGGGAGGTGTAGGATGTTATCTTCTTTAATTACATTGCAAAGAAATGGTTCTTGTTCCTTTAGTTGTACAACCATTACGAGGCTTATTTTATTTAGCATCTGACCTTTCTGGGATCTCCAGGTTTAAAAAAAAAAAAAAACAAAAAAGCTCTGTGACCCTCATCTTGTTGAAGCACATACTTCAATAGTTTTCTAAGAAAACGGTATGTGTGAGATAAAATTTTTTGTTGTGAACCTATGTGTATTCTATCTTACTACTTGAGTGATTGAACTTTGAGACAATTTTTTTTATATACTTATTTATTTAAAAAGAGAGAGAAAGGAGGAGAGACAGAGACATCTTCCATTCATTGGTTCATTCCCCACATGGCCAAAATGGCCAGAGATGGGCCAGACCAAAGTCAGGAGCCAGGAACAACTTCTGAGTCTCCCACATGAGTGCAGGAGCCCAAGCACATGGGCTATCATCCAATGCTTTTGAAGGTGCAATAGCAGGGACCTGGATTGGAAGTTGAGTATCTGGGACTGCCTTATGGGTACCTGCTAAGCAGGTGGCAGCTTTACCCAATACAACTAACTGCCAGCCCCCAGAAAGTACTTTATGTCAATTATAAAAGCTTTTTTTTGGTTTAAAATTTAATGTTTGTTAATTTTTTATGCATTTGAAAGGTAGAGCAATAGGCAGAGAGATCTAATGGTGCACTCTTCAAATGCCATGAACAGTCAATAGCCAGAGCTGAGTTGTTCAAAAGCCAGTAGCTCAGAAATCCATCTGGGTCCCAAGCATTTAAGCCATCTTCTGCTTTTCCAGGCACAGTAGCAGGAAGCTGGATTAGAATTGAGTAGCTGTGACTCAAACCTGGACCTTGTTAAGGGATGCCTTCTTCACAAGCAGCAGCTTATCCCATCATGCAACAATACCTCCCCTATTCTGACCATTTGTCATTGTTTCTCTTCCAGGGTCCTAACTTTTTTTTTTTTTTTTTTTTAACAGGCAGAGTGGACAGTGAGAGAGAGAGAGAGACAGAGAGAAAGGTCTTCCTTTGCCGTTGGTTCACCCTCTGATGGCCGCCACGGCTGGCACACCACGCTGATCCGAAGGCAGGAGCCAGGTGCTTCTCCTGGTCTCCCATGGGGTGCAGGGCCCAAGCACTTGGGCCATCCTCCACTGCCTTCCCGGGCCATAGCAGAGAGCTGGCCTGGAAGAGGGGCAACCGGGACAGAATCCGGCGCCCCGACCGGGACTAGAACCCGGTGTGCCGGCACTGCTAGGTGGAGGATTAGCCTATTGAGCCACAGCGCCAGCCAATAGTTAGTTATATAAATAGTTCAATGTGAAATACTGAACATGCTTAGGGTTAAGTCACCTCCTGAGGTACCAGCATTCAATATGGGCAACAGTTTAAGTCCTGGGCTCCACTTTGGATCCAGCTCCCTGCTAATGTGTCTGGGGGAAAGCAGTAGAAGATGGCCCAGTAAATTGGGTCCATTCCCTGAAGTGGGAGAACCAGATGAAGTTCCTGCCTTTGGTATGTCCCAGCCCTACCTTACTTTGTAACAGATTTTCTCAAATTTCTATTTTTAATTTCCAAGAGTCCTTCCAAGGGCTGGCACTATGATGCAGCAGGTTAAAGCTCTGGTCTGCAGCACCAGCATCCCATATGGGCGCTGGTTCAGGTCCTAGCTGCTCCACTTCTGATGCAGCCCTCTGCTATGGTCTGGGAAGGCAGTAGAAGATGGCCCAAATCCTTAGACCCCTGTACCTGCTTGGGAGACTGGGAAGAAGCTCCTGGCTCTTAGCTTTTGGATCAGCTCAGCTCTGGCCCTTGCAGTCATTTGGGGATTGAACCAGCAGATGGAAGACCTCTTTCTTTCTCTCTGGCTCTGCATTTCTCTGTAAATCTCTTTCAAATAAATAAAATCTTTTTTTTTAGAGTCCATCCTAGTTATCGTTTTAAACTTTGTTACTTTTTCCTGTTCCTTTTTTCTGAATGTAGTGTCTTTTTCTCACTGATAAAATAAATGTTAGGAATTTTTATTCTTGTTTTAAAGCTTTATTTTACCTGTATGGGCACACTGTTGTCTCTAAGTTAGTAGCTCTTTGCTTGTTTGTTCTTATTCTCTTTTTGTCAGATATCTGGTAATCATTGGCCGTTTGCTTATGAGTCAGAACTGAAATGTAGATGGAATGAGTCCCTAAATCCCTTTGTCAGGATCTTTATATCTTTTAACCTGAAATAATCTCAGGTTAACCAGTCATTTTCCTATTGTTCTGTCTCCGTATTCTGGCCTTAGAAGAAATATCACTGGGCCGGCGCCGTGGCTCAATAGGCTAATCCTCCACCTTGCGGCGCCGGCACACCGGGTTCTAGTCCCGGTTGGGGCGCCGGATTCTGTCCCGGTTGCCCCTCTTCCAGGCCAGCTCTCTGCTATGGCCAGGGAGTGCAGTGGAGGATGGCCCAGGTGCTTGGGCCCTGCACCCCATGGGAGACCAGGAAAAGCACCTGGATCCTGGCTCCTGCCATCGGATCAGCGCGGTGCGCCGGCTGCAGCGGCGGCCATTGGAGGGTGAACCAACGGCAAAGGAAGACCTTTCTCTCTCTGTCTCTCTCTCTCACTGTCCACTCTGCCTGTCAAAAATAAAAAAAAAAAAATAAAAAAATAAAAAAAAAAAAATAAGAAGAAATATCACTTTAAAATGATCAAATTGTTCACTCTTTGTTTCTGCTTTCTTCAGCCCTTTGCTGTTTATAAAATCAGTCTCTTCTGCTTGGCTTATGGGAAGATTTTTTTTTTCCTCTAGTAATTTCTTTTTTTTTAAACTTTTATTTAATGAATATAAATTTCCAAAGTACAGTTTATGGATTACAATGGCTTCCCCCCACCCCCTTAACTTCCCTCCCACCCGCAACCCTCCCCTCTCCTGCTCCCTCTCCCTTTTATGAGAACATTTATTATGTCTTATGAATGAATTCTTGCCCAATTTCTTTCTTCCTTTTTATTTATTTATTTATTTGAGAGGTAGAGTTATAGACAGAAAAGAGAGAGAGGAAGTTTTCCATCCACTGGTTCAATCCCTAGATGGCTGCAACCATTGCAGCTGCAGCGATTCGAAGCAAGGAACTTTTTTGGGTCTTCCACTCAGGTCCAGAGGCCCAAGCACTTGGGCCATCTTCAGCTGCTTTCTCAGGCCATCGCAGAGAGCTGGTTCAGAAGAGGAGCAGCCAGGACTTGAACCAGCACCTGTATAGTATTCTGGCGCCACAGGTGGAGCTTTAGACCACTGCACCACCACTTGCCCAATTTCTAGACCAAAATTAAGCCAATTAAAGTATTTAAAATACATTTTTTAAAAACTTTTTGTATTTGAAAGGTAGAGTTACAGAGAGAGAGACGAAGAGACAGAGAAATCTTCCATCCTCCGCAAAAGCCAGGCCTGTGCCAGGAGCCATGAGCTTCTTCCTTGTCTCCCATGTTCGTGTATGGAACCAAGTGTTGTGCCATCTTCTGCTGCTTTCTCAGGCACATCAGCAGAGAGCTGGATGAGAAGCGGACTCAAACCACTACCCACATGGGATGCTTGGTGCTACAGGCAACAGCTCAACCCACTGTGCCACAGCACTGGCCCCTTAAGTAAATGGTTGTAAATTTGACCTTTGATAAATTTTATAAATTATTCAGTAAACATTTGTAAACACTTGAATTCCATCCTTTATAAAAATTAGTTTTTTTCCCCATCATGATACTTTTCGTCTTTTTTCCCTTCCTCCTTACCTAGAATAAATGTTACCACTGTTAAAAAAAAAAAAAGCCAACTTAAGAAACAAGTTGCTCATGGCAGTAGATCAGGGGAATCTCAGTCTATGTTCTAAGTAGTTTACACCATCGTAAGGGTTCCTTTCATTGCTTGGACTTTTTCTTTTTTTTTCGGTAGAGAGGCAGAGTGGACAGAGAGAAAGGTCTTCCTTTGCCGTTGGTTCACCTTCCAATGGCCGCCGTGGCCGGCGCGCTGCGGCCGGCGCACCACGCTGATCCAATGGCAGGGGCCAGGTACTTATCCTGGTCTCCCATGGGGTGCAGGGCCCAAGTACTTGGGCCATCCTCCACTGCACTCCCTGGCCACAGCAGAGAGCTGGCCTGGAAGAGGGGCAACTGGGACAGAATCCGGCGCCCCGACCGGAACTAGAACCCGGTGTGCCAGCGCCACAAGGCAGAGGATTAGCCTAGTGAGCTGCGGCGCTGGCCTGTTTGGACTTTTTCAAAAATTGCAATTTCACTTAATAGGTGCTAAAATTTTCTTGAGATTATACCAGGTAAAATATTTGAAAGGTTGAGGACATCCTTAAACCAGACCTGTTTGGTTATTTCCTCTTTAAACCCACCTTTGGATTATTTCCTACCTTGTATATTTACTAATTCAATAAGTGCATTCTAAATTTTATAAATTTTCTGCCTTGTATATCTATCTATGTTTTATTTATTTGAAAGACAGAGTTACAGAGAAAGGTAGAGACAGAAGGTATTCCATCCACTGGTTCACTCCCCAAATGGCCGCATGGCTGGATCTGAGCCAATCTGAATCCAGGAACCAGGAGCTTCTTCCAGGTCTTCCACATGGGTGCAGGGGCCCAAGGACTTGGGCCATCATCTACTGCTTTTCCAGGCCATAGCGGAGAACTGGATCGGAAGTGGAGCAGCCAGGACTTAAATCGGCGCCCAAATGGGTTGCCAGCACCGCAGGCGCAGCTTTACCCCCCACGCCACAGTGCCGGCCCCACATTTTCAGTGTTTATCCCATTAGTGTTGGTGCCAGACAGAGAACACTTGCTGCCTAGTACCCAGGGTCTTGAGTTCATCATGAGAAAGAATTCATGAGCAAGTGAAAAAACAGCAAAAAGCAAGTTGCAAGCATTTTATTAATACAGCAAAAATATACACTCTGTAATCAGATTGCTAGCTCACTTGGTGGAGAGTGGCCCTGTCACTGAACTCAATTTAATATTATATTGTTGTTTAATGAAAATGAGGTACATTCTAATAAATGGAAAAATATTCATGGTTTTTCTGGGAAGTAAGTGGAGGATTCTTCCTTTAGTCCCCAGTCTAGCCACTGCCACTTTTTACTCCTTATGTGGTTTTATGTTTTAGTGTTATGGTAATTGGTAGGCATGATGTTTAGCATTTTAATATATTATGAGGTGTACATAACGAGCTTTGGGTCAACTAGGTCAGGCCTGCTAAACTAGTATCCTGGTCTTGGCAGGAGGTGTATATCATTTGCAGAAACATTAGAGGAATGAAACCTGTGTATCTCACAGGCTTTAAGATAGGAACTATACCCAGGGGGTTCAACTGTTCTTTCTATCTCTCTGAGGATCACTTGTCAATACTTGATGGATCAGTTTTTCTTAAGAAAATTCATGGATATTTGCTTCTCTTTACTTGTTTCTTCCTATTTAAGAAAAAAAGCTTTATTAGAAAAAAGAATTAATGCTAATAGTACGTGAGAAAGTAAAACACATTTATGGCTTTTTTGTACATAACATAATGCAGAGTAAGTTAAAAGATAATTTATTTTTTTCAGTGGTTTATCTTTACATTATGAAGAAATAACCAAAGGGCCAAATTGCGTAATTCGAGGTGTTACAGCAAAGGGATCTGTAAACTCTTGTCAAGGCAAGGTAAGCATAGTGCATAAATGAATACCTGTAGTTTCTTATATGATAAAAGTGAAATTAGAAATTTAAAATTACCTTGTCAACAAGATGATGTAATCAAGTATTGGTTTCTTAGGTCAGACTTAACAGTTACATCTAAGAAATTCTGGCACATTCCCTATTGTTGTTGCTTGTATGTTTATGAATCACATTTTTAAACTGCATTCATTTTTATTCCACATTTCACATTTAAGGCTGTTTTTCAGCTTTAATCCAGTACTATGCTTTTTTTTATGATTTATGTATTTATTTGAAAGGCAGAGTAATAGGCTGGTTCCCTCACCAGATGACTGCATCTGCCGGAGCTACGCTGATCCAAAATCAGGAGCTTCTTCTGGGTCTCCCATGCAGGTTCAGGGGCCCAAGGACATGGGCCATCCTCTATTGCTTTCCCAAGCCATAGCAGAGAACTGGATTGAAAGTGGAGCAGCTAGCTCTCAAACCAGCGCCCATATGGGATGCTGGCACTGCCTGTGGTGGCTTTACCCGACATGCCACAGCCTTGGCTCCATAATAGGCTGTTTGGTATTTTTTCTCTTTCATACTGTTTCATTTGTTTTTAATACTTTTCTTAGAACAAAAGGGTAATTAGATATCTAAGAAATTAAATTTTTCTACTTTGTATCTTTTTAGATTTATTTATTTATTCGAAAGAGTTACATGAAGAGAGAGGCAGAGAGAGAGAGGGGTCTTCCATCTGGTAGTTCACTCCCCAATTGGCTGCAATGGGCAGAGCTGCGCCAGTCAAGCCAGGAGCCAGGAGCTTCTTCTGGGTCTCCCACTCAGGTGCAGGGGCCCAAGGTCTTGGGCCATCTTCTGCTTTCTCAGGCCACAGCAGAGAGCTGGATCGGAAGTGGAGCAGCTGGGTCTCAAACCAGGGCTCCTATGGGATGCTAGTGCTTTGGACTAGGGCGTTAACCTGCTGCACCACAGCACTGGCCCTCTACTTTCTATTTTTTTAAAGGTTTATTTGTTTTTTTGAGAGGCAGAGTTAAAGAGAGAGAGAAAGGGAGAGAGAAAGAGAGAGCTTCCACCTGCTGGTTTAGTCTCCATAGCTGTAACGTCCAGGCCGGAGCCAGTGGCTTCTTCCAGGTCTCACTTGTGGGTTCACGGGCTCAAGGTCTTGGGTCATTCTCCGCTGCTTTCCCAGGCACATTAGTAGGGAGCCAGATCAGAAGTAGAGCAGCTGGGACTCAACAGGCACCTGTATGGGTTGGTGGCACTGTCGGCAGAAGCTTTAACCTGCTGCGCGACAGTGCTGGCCCCAGAAATCTAAGAAACTTTAGCTTGTATCTTTAAAAATACTGATTGTAAGATACAATTAAGCTTTTAGTGAGGGATATCAGGGACATGAAGATACAAACTCCGCTAAGGTATTTATCGTTAGGTCTATAAAACAGCAGATAGACTTAATTAATAAATCACTATTTTTTCACTGTATCATTATCTTCTCTATATACATAAATTTTCTTCCATCTCATTATGTTTAAGGTAGATCATGTGAATTTTTTTTTAAGTACAAGTTGAAAATTCCTAATCTGAAAATCCAAATCCAGTATACTCCAAAACCTGAAACAAGCAGAAGGTTCCATACCTGGTCTCATATGACAGGATCATAGTCAAAATGCAGAAATGATAAAAATCCTATATAAAATTACTGTCAAACTATGCAAATAAGATACATATGAAACATAAATGAGTTTTAGACTTTAGTCTTTCCCTAAGATATTTTGTTATATGTATCCTAATATCCTAGAATCCAAAATCTGAAGCATTTCTGGTCCCAAGCATTTTGGATATGGGATTGTCAACCTGTATACACTGCTTTGTGTAACCAAGTTAAAAGTCAGGTTCTGTACATCTTTTTTAATTCAGACATTTCTGGAATGAGATTGAAGTTTATTGAAAATTTGGCTTCAGTAACATAATCTTACTTAAAAGATACTAGATTTTATAAACTTATTTTTTTTAATGATTTATTTTATTTATTTGAAAAAGAGAGTTAGAGTAAGGTAGAGACAGTGAGAGAGGTCTTCCATCCGATGGTTCACTCCCTAGTTGGCCACAACAGCCGGAGCTGTGCCAATCAGGAGACAGAGCTTCTTCCGGGTCTCCCATGTGGGTGCAGGGGCCCAAGGACTTGGGCCATCTTCTACTGCTTTTCCAGGCCAAAGCAGAGAGCTGGATCGGAAGAGGAACAGCCAGGACCAGAACCAGTGCCCACACGGGATGCCGGCACTTAAGGCCAGGGCTTTAACCCGCTATGCCACAGCACGGGCCCCAATTTTATAAACTTTAAAATAATTTTATAGTTTCAGAGGAATTCAAAGATAGTATAGAAAATTCACATATCAAAATCTGTTAAGCTTTACCCACTATGCCACAGCACAGGCCCCTGTTAAGATTTTATAACACCTCATATACAGGTATTTACACAAGAAGTTAACATTGATAAAATACTGCTAGTAGTACTGTACACTTCATTCCAATGTTTCCGGTTAATTGTTTTTTTAATTCTGGGATTCCATAATATACTACATTATATTTAAAGAATTTAAGACTTCTGGGTTTTTTCCACTTTTCTATTCAGTTTTTATTAAGTAATACCCATTCGGTTCTGGTAATTATTCAGAAGTTAGGTCTTATGTGTCTGAAGAGACTATTGTCTATAAGGAAGCAGTTTAGATCCGTTTTTTCCTGAGTCTCTCACATGTATTATAAATGATAATTTTAGTCAATAAAGTATTAGTAGATTGCTATAATGATATGAAAATGAAAAGCGAAAAAGAGAATTGTGGTAATGAACATGTAATCTGTGATTAGCACTTAGTTTTAATTTTTATGATTTTTTTTTCCCCACAGAATTTTAATCTGAAGGTTATTCTACCAGGTTTAAAAGAAGACTCACAGATTTTGAAAATGAGATTACTGCCTGGTAATACAATTTTAAGAAGTATTCTTGATACTTAACCTGTTCAATAGTATTTTTATGATATATTGATCTATACAAAGTTAGAGAGTCAGTAAGGTATAAGTCTACTTTTTCAAAATAACTTGAATTGTCAAACCTAGCACTGACAGAAATGACCAGAAATCTATTAGTGAAGTTCTGAAAATAATCTTTGGAAAAAATTTTAAGTATTGAAAATGTGTTAAAGACCCTATTCTCAGGTATATACTTATTAGCCTTTTATATATATATATATATATATATATTTTAGGAAGAAAGTTTTTAATTTATAATGGCTTAATTTGAGAAAGTGATATTACTTTTAGGTTAGATAAGATAGAACCTGCTGGATAGTTTGAGAGATGGTCTATTGTAAAGGTTCAAAAAGTCTTTTCTAGAGTTGATCCTTCCTCAGTTTCTTCACATGTAAAATGTGATATTATGTACGCTTTTAGGGTTAATTTGTAAGGATTAAGCGAGTTATAGGTAGTCCTCAATTTGCACAGTCTGTAGTAACTATATTCAATGGAGAATATAGTTCTAATATGCATGAGTTTTCATTATCACAGTACTGTGCAAAGTACTGTGAAAGTGTGTATATCTAGAACAATTAGAATAGTGCTTGGCATATAAGTTTAGCTCTCTGATATTGTCAGTAGTGTGATCATATCTTTGTCCATATGTAATATTTTTATTTGTTTAAGCAAAAAGAAACATTAACTTATGTGCTTTCACAAATTGTTGGGACAGCATTTGGCCTAGTGGTTAAGACTTCTATGGCCCGTATTGGAGTAACTGGATTCATGTCTCAAATCTGGCTCACAATTCAGCTTCCTTCTCCTGAGATTCTTGGATACAACATGCAACAGACAAGTAGCTGGGTTCCTGCCACCCTCTTGAGAGACCTGAATTGTGTTCCTAACTCTGGTTTTGGCCCAGTTCAATCCTAGCTGTTGGAAGTATTAGTGCCCGGCACCACGGCTCAATAGGCTAATCCTCCACCTGCAGTGCTGGCACACCGGGTTCTGTTCCTGTTGCCCCTCTTCCAGGCCAGCTCTCGCTGTGGCCCAGGAGTGCAGTGGAGGACGGCCCAAGTCCTTGGGCCCTGTACCCGCATGGGAGACCAGGAGAAGCACCTGGCTCCTGGCTTGTGGCGGCCATTGGAGGGTGAACCAACATCAAAGGAAGACCTTTCTCTCTGCCTCTCTTTCTCACTGTCCACTCTGCCTGTCAAAAAAAAGGGGGGGGGGATGTATTAGTGGAGTGAGCTTGTTTGCTAGCTCTGTGGCTCTCACTTGCTTTCCTTCTCCTCCCATCATGTCTGTTTCTCAAACAACAAAAGTTTTTAAAAAATTTTTCCATTGTTCGAGGTTTCTCTCTCAAGCGTGAATTAATAAGGAAGTGAAAATTGGCACAGTGGTAGAAATAAAAGAAACAGTTGTATTAATAAACATGGGCTTTTTGTGGATTTGAGAAGTAGAATTCTTAGTAACTAGATTGCTCTGATTTGTTTTAGAATCTGGTAACAAAAATATTAAAGGAGGAGATAATATCAAGTGGTGACAAAAGGCAAAAGGTTTAAAATAACAAAAAAGAATTCTCTGTTGTAAATCTCTCTGGATTAAGTATTTTCCTGAATCCTTGGGATATAATCTCTGCATTAATTACACAGTGGTATTTCATCACTCTTTAAAATTGTGAGGTTTATATGAGAACAATGCTTAATTAAAACAACACAGTGAATGATGAACATTAACATTTTTACAAAGCAAATTAAATGTTTCTGGTAGCCTTTGTTGTAACATCTAAAAATCTTTGAGGGTTTTTTGGAGAAATTTTTATTTAATTGAGAGACAGAAAAAGAAATACTTCCCATCTACTGGTTCTCCCCAAATGGTTAGAAAAGCCAGAGTTGGGCCAGGCAAAAGCCAGGAGCCAGGAATTCAATCTGAGTCTGCTGTAAGGGTGGCAGAAACCCAAGTACTTGAGTCATCAGCTACTGCCACCCAAAGTACATATTTGCTAAAAGCTAGAATCTGAAGAGGAGTGTAACTTGAACCCAGTTTCTCTGATACGGGTTGCTTGGGTTGCTAGTGTCCCAGATGGTGTCTAAACCACTAGGCCAGTCACCTATCCCAGTAACTATATTTGTATGCTTGTGTTAACCAGTGTTTGACATGCTGAATTTTCAAACATTAGTGTTTATAGAGTATACCAGATCAGCCTGCTGCAGAGATACAAACCCTCTTTTATTGATCTTATAGAAAACTTGTGATATTAAACTTATGACATCAGAGGTAATGGGCAATTTCTCAAGTAAATTATCTGATTATAATTTTTTTAACTTTCTTTAAGATTCATTTTATTTGAAAGACAGAGTTGCAGAGGATGGGCAGGGGAGTCTTCTATCCACTGGTTCACTCCCCAGATGGCTATAATGGCTGGAGCTGATCTGATCTGAAGCCAGGAGCTTTTTCCAGGTCTCCACGCGGGTGCAGGGCCCCAAGGACTTGGGACATCTTCTACTGCTTAAGTTTTACATGTTGGAGCCGGCGCTGTGGCACAGTGGGTTAACACCTGGCCTGAAGCGCCGACATCCCATATAGGCGCCGGTTTGAGACCTGGCTGCTCCACTTCCCATCCAGCTCTCTGCTATGGCCTAGGAAAGCAGTAAAAGATGGCCCAAGTCCTTGGACACCTGCACCCATGTTGGAGACCTGGATGAAGCTCCTGGCTCCTGGCGCAGCTCTGGCCTTTGGGCCGACTGGGGAGTAAACCATTGGATGGAAGTCTCTCTCTCTCTCTCTCTCTCTCTCTCTCTCTGCCTTTCCTCTCTCTGTGTAACTCTGACTTTTAAATAAATAAATAAATCTTAAAAAAAAAAAGTTTTGCATGTTTAGTTGATTTCTAATATGAATTAACTCAGTGTCATATCTCAGCATAAACTAATCCTAGGTATTACACATTTTGCTAAAGAATTGAAACTTCTTATGTAGACACAATCTATGCATTTTGAGAATGAAAATGATTCAATGTAGACATTGCTTCGGTTTTTCTTACTTGGCATTATTAATAAAATATTAACTTTTTAAATGATGGTTATTTTTGATGCTTTGGTCTTTGAAACCTGAATATGTATTTCATTGTATGATTTCTTGATAGGTCCCCCTCGTCGATTGAAAGTGAAACCTGATTCTGAAATTTTAGTTATAGAAAATGGAACAGCTTTCCCATTTCAAGTGGAAGTTTTAGATGAATCAGACAACCTAACAGCACAACCAAAGTTGATTGTTCATTGTAAGGTAAGCTTGTTGTAAGATAGGAGTATTTAGATTTTATTTTGAATTCCATTATAATAAATGGCAATGACTATATCTACTTTATATATCTATTTATTCTACATCTATAAAACTAATATAGTGCGGTATTTGTACTGTATAACTACTTCATATCTCAGTCTTTAGTCATTATTAGATAGAGAAATTTGTGGGAAACTCTCATTGTCAGTAGTTTTTCAGTGTCCCCAAGTCAACAGATACCAGCTATACCCAGTTTCATAATGGAATTTATGGATGAAAAGTTTTTTTTCTTACCATCTTTTCCTTTGTCTTCATCTGCCTCATTTTAGATGAAATATTTTACTTATAGATAGAGTGATAAAACTACCTTTCAGGATTATCAGTAGATTTATAAATGAAGGTTGGTAAAAGACCACTAAAAAGGAAAGAAAAATACAAGTAAATAGATTAAAATTTAAAAAAAGTCATAATTAAGTTCTCTTTCTAAAACAGATAATTGTTACTTAGCATTACAAAAAGTTAGTCTTTTTGTTCAGAAATCCTCTAGAACTCTGAGTTTCAGGAAAGTACTTTTAAAAGTTAATTTAGCCGGCGCCGCGGCTCACTAGGCTAATCCTCCGCCTAGCGGCGCCGGCACACCGGGTTCTAGTCCTGGTTGGGGCACCGGATTCTGTCCCGGTTGCCCCTCTTCCAGGCCAGCTCTCTGCTGTGGCCAGGGAGTGCAGTGGAGGATGGCCCAAGTGCTTGGGCCCTGTACCCGATGGGAGACCAGGAAAAAGCACCTGGCTCCTGCCATCGGATCAGCGCGGTGCGCCGGCCGCGGCGGCCATTGGAGGGTGAACCAGCGGCAAAGGAAGACCTTTCTCTCTGTCTCTCTCTCTCACTGTCCACTCTGCCTGCAAAAAAAAAAAAAAGTTAATTTAAAAATGGAATTAAAAGATAAGTTTATTTTGATCTACAAAGTGTTTAAAATCCATGCATATGAAGGACCCTAAAAATATTTGTGAAAACTCATATTATGGTAAACTGTATATGGGTTTAAAAGTTTTTTCACCAAAGATATCTTGCCATTCCATTTTTGCAAACTTTTTTAACTAAACTTGTATTTAGAATTTTCTACTGTGTGACCCAAAATGGTAGTTGTTGTGAATTGTTTGAAAATTTGATCAATTATTGAAAAACAGTAACACTTGATTTGGATATTAATTTTTTTTCAACCTGCCAACAGTTTTCAGGTGCTCCAAACCTTCCAGTCTACACTGTTGATTGCAGTAGTTCTGGAACCAGCATTTTAACAGGATCTGCCATTCAAGTTCAGAATATTAAAAAAGACCAGACACTTAAAGCAAGAATTGAAATACCTGTAAGTTGTTATTAGTATTCATTTATATTATTTTAAGTCTTAATACAAATAGTCTTTGGCAGCCTTGTAGTATTTTACACAAAGTTGTTTGACCTTTAAAAATGAGGTATTTGTGATTATTGACCTTTAAAAACAAGGTATTTGTAATTATTTTAGCCAAAGGGAAAAAGAGGCCACATTAAATGGCGAAATGACTAGTTTAACATTTTTATATCAAATATTAGTATTTATCTTGATAAAGATTCTACAATAGGTATAGCTATTATTGATTTACATTTCCTTAAGATTATTTTTTCCTATGTTAAAATGCATCATTTATTCTTTTGATTTGTACTGTTCCTATTAGTTTCTTAAAATGGTTACAGATTATCTCCACTTAAACCACCACCACAAGACATAGAAACCTTTAATTTATGTATATAACTCTGTAAACACATAGTTTAGTAGTACTGTCACGTGGTGGAATTTCTAGATAATGTGCCAGTATGATGTTTTTCATTTTTAAAGCTTCATTGTAACCTGTGTTTTATTGCAGCTGTTTGTCCCTGATTTTGAGTTCTTAATTCCTTTTATCTTTTTTGTTATTAATAAATGCTAAGTCATTAACTGATGTGATTAAAAATTGACAGTGCTTTTATGTAAATGAAGAAATGAGGAGGCAATCTTTCTAGTCCAAATACATGGTTTTTTGGTTTTTAAAATGTAACCCCTGTCATTTATAACCTGGTGGTATGAAATACAGAATTATTTATAGTACAATGCCTTCTTCATAATAAGTCTTAGTGTAATGGTATAGAAGATACTCTTCCATAGTAGTAAAATTGATTTCTTTAGCAGTGTAAGTCATTCATCAATAAAGTTAAAAAACTTTCAGTACAGGTGTCACTCTGTGTTTCTGCATTTCCCTAGAGTTGTAAGGATGTCACGCCTGTGGAAAAGACAATCAAGTTGCTTCCCAGTAGCCATGTTGCAAGATTACAGATATTCAGTGTAGAAGGGCAGAAGGCAATCCAGATCAAACACCAAGATGAAGTTAATTGGGTAGCAGGCGACATTATGCATAATCTTATTTTCCAAATGTATGATGAAGGAGAAAGAGAAATTAATATAACATCAACTTTAGCAGAAAAAATTAAAGTAAGTATGTTTAACACATTGTTTTTTTCAAGACTTTTTTATGCTTGGAAGGTTGAATAAGAAGTAGTTTCTAAGAAGTCTCTCACAGAAAAATAATAGTGTTATTTAAAATTCTAGACTAAATAAGATTTTTTTCATCAGCTACATTGAAATTTTTGGGTGGTTCATATGTGACAAATTTGATCTTAGAAAAGTGATTTTGAGCCACGGGCACCGTAGCTCACTTGGCTAATCCTCTGCCTTGCGGCACTGGCACACCAGGTTCTAGTCCCGGTCGGGGCGCCGGATTCTGTCCCGGTTGCCCCTCTTCCAGGCCAGCTCTCTGCTGTGGCCAGGGAGTGCAGTGGAGGATGGCCCAAGTGCTTGGGCCCTGCACCCCATGGGAGACCAGGAGGAAGCACCTGGCTCCTGCCTTCGGATCAGTGCGGTGTGCCGGCCTCTGTGGCCATTGGAGGGTGAGCCAACGGCAAAGGAAGACCTTTCCCTCTGTCTCTCTCACATGGGATGCTGGCGCTGCAGGCTGCGGCTTTACCTCCTACACCACAGCGTCAGCCCTTGTATGTTATTTTCAAACTATAATGACCACAGTAATAATTTTGTAGGGAAGCTCTGAATAAATGTCTTCAGAAACTTTGTTGTATTCAAAAATACAGCAGCATTAACAGCCAAAAAGAAGAGGATACTTTTTTTTTAATCATAGTAATATAGGAATCATCATTTCTGTTTATAAAAGGACTTCTCCTTTTTTGGGGTGAGTGAGGAAAATGGTTCACAATTTAGCTTTCAGAATCTTTTTGAAGATACATGATAATCTGAGAGCAGACTGAGCAGTTCTTTCTTAAGTATATTTTTCTCCTAGGTTAACTGGACTCCTGAGATTAACAAAGAACACTTGCTACAAGGTCTGCTGCCTGATGTGCAGGTACCAACTTCTATAAAAGATATGCGTTATTGCCAAGTTTCATTTCAAGATGATCATGTGTCTTTGGAAAGTGCATTTACAGTAAGGTTTGTGAACTTAATATATTTTGAGCTATTTTAAAATTCAATATGTGGCAATGAGAATACTTTTTGCAGTGTACATTTGTGCAAATTGTTTTAATGTGTTTGTATGAAATATGGCAGGTTGTCTTTGCAATAAAATTTCACTGGTGATAGTGAGCTGTTCTTGTAATCAGTATAACCCTGTGTTGAATTGGCTCTGTAGTAGCTAGAGGAACTAGAACTTTCATTAAAGGAAATGTCTCTTAGTGCAAAGAACAGTGAAACACTTGGAAAATCACAAAGCAAGGGGCTAGTGCTGTGGTTCAGCTGGTTGAGCTCAGCCTGCAGCTCCAGCGTCCTATGTAGACTCTGGTTCAAGTACCAGCTGCTCTATTTCCAGTCCAGGTCACTTCTAATGTAACTGGGAAAGCAGTGGAAGATGGCCCAACACCTTGGGCTCCTGTACCTACGTGTAAGACCTAGAAGTTCCTGGCTCCTGGCTTTGGCCTGGCCCAGCCCTCATCATTGTGGCCATTTGGGGACTGAACCAGCAAATGAAAGATCTTTCTGTTTGTCTGTCTGTCTGTCTGTCTCTCTCTCTAACTCTGCCTTTCAAATAAATAAATCTTTCGTTAAAATAATGATAAAGGCTTGAAAACTATGAAGCTACAGGTGGTTAATTAATGTGTTATTTGGAAGGAAAAATTCATTAATTGGTGATTGATGGTTTTCAAAGATGAATCTAAGCAGAATTAATATGTGGAATGCACAGAAAAGAAAGATTTAAGTTAATATGCAAAACAGAAACAAGATACTCTGGCTGTGGCATACAAGTCTTTTATCACTTCTTTTCTAATGACTTCTTGCATTTTAATTTCTCTGGGGCAGGCGTTAGTTCTATCACCTAAGACACCAGTTAAGACGCCAGTTAAGATGCCCATATCCCATATCAGAGTACTGAGGTATGAGTCTCAGCTCTTGATTCCAGCTTCCTGTTAATGAATACCTTTGAGGGCAGTAAATGATGGCTCAAGTTATTTAGTCACTGCCATCCACATGGGAAACTTGGATAGCATTCCCAACTCCTGGTTTCGACCTGGCCCAACCAGAGCCATTGTGAACATTTGGGGAGTATGTCAACAATAGGAACTCTGTCTCATTCTCTCCCCTTCTCAAATAATAGTAATAATAACAATTCCTCTACCCATTTCCATATTGTTCCTAACCCCTACTACAGCTTTTAAATAAACTAAACTAAACTAAAATAAAAAACTAGAAAGGATTTTGAATGTTTTCACCATAAAATGATGTTAAATGTTTGAAGAGAAAGGAACGCTTTCCCTGATTGGGCATTATATAGTGTATCCCATAAATATGTACAATTTTTATGTGTCATTTAAAATTTAAATTTTATCCCAGATATATTATTCTCTGACCTCACCCAGATCTCTTGATGAATTATTCTTACTGACCTGTTTCTTTGGTATTTTCTTGTCAATATGAATACTTTAATTTAACATGCTTATAATATTTTGGTCTGAATTCTTTATTGTTATTGCAAGCTTTCTTATTTTCTTTTGGCCTAATAGCTATGTTTTACAAATTGAAGAAATAATTGGAGAAATGTTATTGTGTATAAGTTTTAGAACATGGTGTATCTATCTGTGTATTATTCTATAACATGTTAGAACTGTTTTAATTTTATTCTACAGTAAATGGTGTAACTGAAGCTTTTTAACTTGTTAACCAATTTCAGACCACTCCCTGATGAACCTAAACATTTAAAATGTGAATTAAAAGGAGGAAAAACAGTACAGATGGGCCAAGAGCTTCTTGGAGAAATAGGTTAGTGTGGCCTCCTTTCTTTAAAACTAGCGGTTTAGCATACATAATCCAAAAGGAAAGCTTTGGAGTTATATGATATTATTGGTTTAAAGTCTATTTTTGGAGGTGGGTGTTTGGCTTAGCAGTTAAGATGCTGGTTGGGACCTGTGCCCATTGAAACCAGAGTACTTGGTTTCAATCTCTTTGGCTCTGCCTGCAGATTCCAGCTTCCTACTAATATGAACCTTGGGAGACAGTAGTGATGGCTCAAGTAACTGGGTTCCTGCCATCCACATGAGAGACCTGGATTGAATTCTGGCTCTTGGCCACCTGGCCATTGTGTGTGTTTGGGGAGTGAGTCAACAAATAGAGGGAGCTCACTATCTCTGCCTCTCTGGCTTGCTTGCTGTCTCTCTAATAAATAATAATTAATTACTTTTTTAAAACAAGGAAAATCAGTGACATAAGGAAACCAATTTTGGGGGGAAAATCTGATGTTGGATAAAATTAAAGTATTTTGGCTATTTTTATCTAATTTGACATACCTTTGAAATCAGTTTGGCAAAGTAGTTTGTGAAAGACATCTCACTTTTTGTTAGAGTTAACAATAGTTAATATTAAAAGTATAAATTAAATGTATGAATGGATTCCTGTGTAGCCTTCATTGTTTTCAAACGTATAGCATTCCATATTGTTAAAATGTTTCCTTTAAATTTTCACACTAAAATTTGCTTTATATATTAAATACATAGTTAAATATATAAACTTGTTATCTTGATTCTGGATTTTTTGTCATGATTATAAATATTATGATAATTTTACACAGAAGTTAGTGTGTAAGGGAACAGAGATAATGTTTCTAATCATAGTTTTAACTGTGTCGTAGATACTTGTATCTTTAAAGAAAAGATAATATTTTTATTTTTTTCTTCAGTTATTATAATTACAGATCAGTATGGAAATCAAATTCCAGCATTTTCACCAAATTCTTTATCTGCTTTGTCAATTGCTGGAGTTGGACTTGATAGTTCAAATTTGAAAACTACTTTTCAGGTATGCTACTTTCTGTTAAAACGGGGTTTTATACCATTGTTTTATGTGTAACAAGAAGTTTGGAAAAACAAATAATTAAAAGATGTTTGATTGTAGTTTTAAAAATAAGAAGTCATGAAAGGTATTAAAACTTTTATAATGAGGCCGGCGCCATGGCTCACTAGGCTAATCCTCCACCTGTGGCGCCGGCACACTGGGTTCTACTCCTGGTGGGGGCGCTGGATTCTGTCCCAGCTGCTCCTCTTCCAGTCCAGCTCTCTGCTGTGACCCAGGAAGGCAGTGGAGGATGGCCTAGGTCCTTGGGCCCTGTACCCACATGGGAGACCTGGAGAAGTTCCTGGCTCCTGGCTTTGGATCATCGCGGTGCGCCAGCTGCAGCAGCCATTGGGGGGTGAACCAACGGCAAAGGAAGACCTTTCTGTCTCTCTCTCACTGTCCACTCTGCCTGTCAAAAAACAAACAAACAAACAAAAACAAAAAAACAAAAAAAACTATAATGAAAGGTTTCGAACATATGCAAAATTAGACAAGACAACATGAGTAGGGGTAGCTCCTGTGTTCCCATCATCCAACTTCAACTTGCCATTTCTTATTGTCCAACTTACCATTTCTCCCCTTACATATCATCTTGAAGAAAATTATAGATGTAATATTGTTGTATTCATAAATATGTTGGTATCTTTATTTATAAAGTTGTTTTTAAAAGTAGTTAATTAAATAAAATTTCTTGGTGGTCATGCCCTACAAAGTTTGGTCAGGTTAGCTTAAAAAATAAAAACTCTGGTAGAATTCTTTGACTTTAAAAAAAACTGTTCTGCATAGAACAGGGACAGGTTTAGGGAGAAGGTCCTCTCCTTATTGCCTTTCAAGTAGTTTCTGTTTCCATTAAGCTGTTTTGCTATTGTTTTCTAATTTTTATAACACTGCTTTCACTCTATCAGAGCTCTGCTGAGGAACTTTTAATGTTTTGTTTGGTGATAAAGTCTGTTTAGTGATTTTAAGGAACTTCCATTGTTCAACTTCACCATATATGTGGATGAAATGAAAATAAATGTGCTCCTGTTATGCGTGAACAGTCCCTGCTTCCTATCACTCTGTCCACAGACTTCTGTCCTCTTTCTCTTCATTTCTCCTAAATTGTGACCTGTCTTCCTACATCTTCACTTCTCCGTGTATTGAATAGATCATTGCCATTCACATAATTAAACATGTTGCAAATAAGCACATTGCAATATCTTAGGTTAAACCTGTTCACTTCTATTCTACACCCAAAAACCACCGAAACTTTCTTTAGTCTTATATTCCTTTCTGCCCCCCCCCTCCCTTTTTTTTTTAATTTGACAGGTAGAGTTATAGACAGTGAGAGAGAGAGAGAAAGGTCTTCCTTTCTTTGGTTCAATCCCCTAATGGCTACTCCGGCCAGTGCTGTGCTGATACGAAGCCAGGAGCCTGGTGCTTCTTCTCAGTCTCCCATGCGGGTGCAGGGACCCAAGCACATGGGCCATCCTCCGCTGCCCTCCTGGGCCACAGCAGTGAGCTAGACTGGAAGAGGAGCAACCGCGACTAGTACCCGGCGCCCTGACCAGGACTAGAACCCGAAGTGCCAGCGCCGCAGGCGGAGGATTAGCCAAGTGAGCCATGGCGCCGGCCTGCTCTCCTCCTTTTTATAGCAAAAGTCCTCCTTTTGTTAGTAAAACTCTTGGAAGAGTTGTATGTGCTATTTTCACATCTTTTCTGTCATTTTATAGCATGATGCTCTGATCATAATTTGTGCTGTGTTCTACCTGACCAAATTTACTAATCAGTTTTTGCCACTCATGCCATTTGTCATGGCTGTCAGCATTTTACACTATTACCACACTTAAAATAAATTGCCAAAGTATGGCCTGTAATGCCTTGTCTGTAATCTCACATCTTTCACTCCCCAGAGCTCATTACTTTGCAGCCAAATGAACTTTTTTCTGCTGCTGTCCCTTTTGCAGCTGACATACTATCTTGGCTCATTTTCAGAATTTTGTATTTAGTAGTATTTGTACTCATCTAGAGTTCGTAAATGCAAGTTCATTTTTAAGATTTGAAATAAAAGTAGAACAATTTCTAACATGACACTTGAGAAACCACAACTTCAGTGAAGTTTTGGTGATTTTTCAATTGTTTCCATAAAGTATTCTACAGACAGTTGTTTCAGTCTATAAAATCTGAAGTGTCGTCTGATTTTTAAGTCTTGATAAAATAACCCACACTCAGGGATTTAAGATGATTAAATCATTAAAGGACTCTTTGGTGTGTGAATGCCCATGGTGCTCATGCTAATGTAGAATCAACTAATGTCATTATGTCACATTGCAAAGATTATAGGCTAGGTTCATTGATTCCCATTAATATGATATGTTAAGCATTATTCTACAAGAGGTGACAAATCAAAGCCCTTGCCCTTGTGCAGATCACCTCACAGTCAGAATGGATGCCTTAGATAAGTGATAAGGAAGAAAGCACAGAAGGGAATAATGTGCTGTTATGTAGTGTGATCAGGGAAGACCCTTTTTATTAAGGCCTCAGGTATGCCGAAAACTAAAAGGCCGTGAAGATATCTGGTAAATAATACTCCAAACAGAGGGAAAGAACAAATTAAAAGTTAATTAGACAGGCATGTGCTTTGCTAATTGGTGACAGAAAAGAGACAACACAGAGTAAGAATTTCTGATCTGAAATCCAACTTTTTGAGGGCTAACATGATGTTCAGATAGTTTTGGAAATGATGACATTTAAGATTTTTGGAGGGGCCAGTACTGTGGCACAGCAGGTTAATGCCCTGGCCTGCAGTGCCGGCATCCCATATGGGCACCGGTTCAAGACCCGGCTGCTCCACTTCTGATCCAGCTCTCTGCTATGGTCTGGGAAGGCAGTGGAAGATAGCCCAAGTCCTTGGGCCACTGCACCTGTGTGGGAGACCTGGAAGAAGCTCCTGGCTTCTGGCTTTGGATCAGCACAGTTCTGGCCATTGCAGCCAATTGGGGTGTGAACCAGTGGATGGAAGGCTTCTCTCTCTCTCTTTCTCTCTTTCTCTCTTTCTCTCTTTCTCTCTTTCTCTCTTTCTCTCTTTCTCTCTTTCTCTCTGCCTGTCCTCTCTCTTTGTAACTCTGACTTTCAAATAAATAAATGAATCTTTAAAAAATAAAAGATTTTTGGATTAGGTATACTTAACTGATAAAGTCTGTGCAAACAATCCAAATCTGAAATTTCAGAAAACTGAAATATTTCTGGCCCCAAGCATTTCAGATTAAGTATACATAATTCGTATGTGGAAAAGAGAAATTAGGAAAAGATTAGGGTAAAAAGAAATTGCCAAAGGCCAGCGCTGTGGTATAGTGGGTGACGCTGGTTCAAGACCCAGCAGCTCCAGTTCTGATGCAGCTCTCTGCTATGGCTTGTGAAAGCAGTGGAAGATGGCCGAAGTCCTTGGGCCTGTTCACTCACATGGGAAACCTGGAAGAAGCTGCTGGCTCCTGGTTTTGGATTGGCCCAGCTCTGGCTGTTGCAGCCATTTGGGGAGTGAACCAGTAGATGGAAGATCTCTTCCTGCCTCTGCCTCTAACTCTGCCTTCCGAATAAATAAATTTTTTTTAAAAAAAGAAAAACAGCCAGAAAAAAAAAAGAAGTTTCTCCTTTTCTGGAAACAAAATTCATTGTAAGCTAATATTGGCATGGGTGCATTTGTTTGGCATTATATTGCCTAGAAATACATGCAAATGCCCATGTTGATAAATAATTTTATTTCAAAACTAAACTGTATCCTCCTGTCTTTTCTCAATGTATGTTCCCTCAACAGGAAAGCACACAAAGTATAAGTGTAAGAGGCATCAGATTCATTCCAGGTCCTCCTGGAAATAAGGATCTTTGTTTTACTTGGCGTGAGTTTTCTGACTTTATTCGAGTACAGCTAATTTCTGGACCGCCAGCTAAACTTCTCCTTATCGACTGGCCAGAACTAAAGGAGGTAACTACTTCATGTCTTCACAGAAAAATTTAATATCACATGGCTTACTACCTTCCGATTGTCAGTGGATCAGAATAGATACATTTTTGTTGTTGAAGTAGCTGCTACTCACAATCACAAAAGTAACAATGACAAAAGAGCAAGGTGATAAGAATTTTATTACTTCATTATTTAAGTCATCATTGTGTCCTGGTTTGTTAAAAATAAGTGTAGTAATTTAAATTTATTTTTATCTGAGCACTTATACTTGCATATTGATACCATTAAAATATGTATAGGTACAATCAGTTTAGGAGAAATTACATATTTCTGAAATGGAAATAAATCTTGACATGCTCATCTTTTTGGATGATTTTTGGGAGTGGAATATAAAAGTAGCTTGCTAAATGAATAATTTATTTGAGGATTTATTTGCAGGTACCAGAGTAACACAGAAGCTAGAAAAACAAAATTTTATTTTATTGGTCATTAACACTTCAGTTATATGTAGATAAAGCTAGAAAAGTATTTATAATATTTGATTTTCCTAGTTTCCTGATTTACTTATTTTATGAATGAGAAAAGTATAATTCGGAAATGTTAAATATAAGTGCCAAAATTTCAAAATGATAGAGATCAGATTTGTATTCATGAACATTTGATTTTAGAAATTTTTTTCCCACTGTTTTCCAGAAAACTTTGATACTAGCAGTTTGGGTTAAAGTCAGTTACTAGGGGCTGGTGTTTTGTCCTAGCAGGTAAAGCCACTGCCTACCAATGCCTGTATCTTATATGGGTGCTGGTTCATGTCCTGGCTGCTCTGCTTCCAATCCAACTCTCTGCTGATGGCCTGAGTACTTTGACCCCTACGACCCATGTTGGAGGCGCAAATGAAGCTCTGGGTTCCTGGCTTCAGCCTAGGCCAGTTTTGGCCATTGTGGTCATCTGAGGAACCAGCAGACAGAAGATTTTTCTGTCTCTCCCTTTATCTCTGTAACTTTGACTTTCAAATAAGCAAATCTTTTAAAAAAGAACAGTCAGTTACTAAAAGATACCATTTAAAAATAGGACAGACATAAGGAGTAATGTACTGTGTGTTGACATTTGGTGACTACCAGCACTTCTTAAAAAGTCAAGTTTTTTGTAAACTTTACATGGACCAAAGTCAGCTATGGCCATTTAAAAACTTCATGGACGCAGACATTGTAACTGAGTTAGTTTGAAGTTTTTCTTTAATGTCCTACCCATGACATCATGTTTATTTTTCTCCCATATATAGCAACTTCTCAGCATAATTTGATAACTGCCTTGTTAGGAGATGGAGGAAACAGAAATAACATTATCAGGGAACAGATGATAAATAAACTTTTTTTCTCTTTAGTTCTCTCATCTTTTTTTGTTGTTGTTTTTAAATCTGGCACAGGAGTATCTTGTTTGACAATGTGTTTCCTTTGACACATCTAATATTAATAGGTCAGAAAGTAAATTTCAAGAATTACACAGCATCACACATTCACTAGGGGAAAAGGCAAAAAACATTTAAAGTCAAGACAATATAGATTGCCAGGCCTAAAAAGCTGAGTTATTGCTTAATGGATGGTAGCAGAGAGCTGAAAATTGCCAGAGGAGCTAAAATACAGATTACTAATGCCAAATCTGAAAGCCACAGATCCAGTTTTGTTTCCATTGAAGCATTCTAATATTTAACTTTTAGGAATTTGTGTTAGAAACCAGTAATGTCAAATGCTATTTTCATTTTTGTCAAATTACTAGTCATTTATTTATGATAATTAACTGGCTTTCAAAATATTATTTTCATTGATAAAAGTCATTTGTAGATAGAAATAAATGATCATTTTAAAGTCCTTATATTGTTTGTTTCATATGTGTTAGTGCTTCTTAAAATATTATTGTCCATTTCAGTCCATTCCAGTGATTAATGGAAGAGAATTACAGAACCCCCTTACTGTTCAACTTTGTGATCAGTGGGATAATCCAGCACCTGTACCACAGGTTAAAATAAGTCTCATAAAACCGAACAACTTAAAGGTAAGTTTTAACTTCCTTATGTAATTTTCACTTCCTTAAGATTCTGGATGTAAATCTCCTAATAATATCTTTAGGTGTCACATTTCCCTCTCTTTTTTAATACAGGCTTAAATAGCCTTCATTTCTGTCTAGTATGAATCAACCTAAATATTATTGTATTTACTTGTTGAAGTAAACATTATCTCTTACAGTGTAACAAAACGTCAACATTCTCCAGTTAAGCCTACTTAAGTGTTTATATAGTACTAGTAATACTTGCATTTTAGGTTAAGATTAATAGATAAAATTAAGAAAGTAAATGAAGACAGAAACCACATGACCTACATTGTTGGGTTAAGGAACAGATGTTAACAGAGAAACGTTTACACTGAGGCCAGGCAAAAAGGTATGCATGTACTCATCCTCAAACCTACCTTATGGATAGCTACAAGAGTCTGGGTGAGATTGCTGGGCCTGTATTGGGTTGTCTTCAAGAGTAAGGCAATGCCCGGCATCCCATATAGGCACCAGTTTGGTCCCAGCTGTTCTGCTTCTGATCTAGTTCCCTGCCAATGGCCTGGGAAAAGCAGTGGAAGATAGCCTGTGTTTTGTCCTCTGCCACCCACACAGGAGACCTGGAAGAAGTTCTCACCTTCTTGGCTTCAATGTGACCCAGCAGTGGCGATTGCAGCCCTCTGGGGAGTGAACCAGTGGGTGGAAGAAGTCTCTGTAACTCTAATTTTAAAATAAATTAATTAAAAAAATAGAAATAGAGGAAAATAATATTGTAGCTCAACAAAACTTGAATGCTTTCTAGTTTTTTTTTTATTAACCATTTTATTTTGTTTTGATTTTAGCTCATGCCTTCAAACCAACAGCATAAAACAGATGAGAAGGGCAGGGCTAATTTGGGAGTATTCACTGTTCTTGCTCCTCGGTAAGAATCAGTTTACTAGATATTGGTGGTATAGATTGATTTTTCTTATAACTTACTGAATTTGAGATTAATAACCATTCCTCTGTTTAATGTCAGGCAGGAGTTGCGAATGAGTGGGAGAAGAAAGATTTCCTAAATAGAGTTAAACTATGTATAATTTGAATCCTCCTTCCCCTGTGTTTTTATTTGTTTGTTTTTGTTTTTTTGGTTAGGGGAGAACATATTATGCAGATTAAAGCTGTCTATAACAAATGTACCATAGAAGGACCTACAATTAAGTTAATGATTCTTCCAGACCCTGAAAAACCAATTCGTCTCAATGTTAAATATGACAGAGATGCTTCCTTTTTAGCAGGGGGTGTTTTCACTGGTGAGTAATTCACAATATTTTAAAAATCTATAATGATACTTGCCTTTTATTAGTGGAATAAACTATGTATCCTAGGTGTGCAGCATAATGAAAATGCATGCATGTCACTTTCTTTTAAATAGCAAAGAAAATGCATTTGACTTAGTGATTGCTCTCCTCCTCAAGTCTTTTAGTCATTTAGTGTGAAGAACAAACTGCAAGTTCATATATAGACTGATAGGCTGAGGTACTGAGTTAGTTGGTGTTTTTACATTCATTTCATTGTGCAATTCAAAAAAAGGAATCTGAATGAGGTGAGATGCTATACTAAAGATATTTTGTTATTTTAACTCCTTCAGAACCAAGACTGCTTACCTTGATTTGGATAGAAATATACCACATAAGCATTTATGGTTAAAGATGTTTCAGTACAATAAACATTTACTGAATTCCAGGTTGTATGCTAGACTCCTAGTTACAATAATGAATATGACAGTTTTCAATGAATTCAGGTTAATATAGCAGGTAAGCAGTAAACAAATTTCAGTGCAGTATGACAGATACTAGTTCAATGGAAATTAATAATTGCTTTGCACAGGGAATTTTCTGGAAGACTTCTGTTTCCTTAAAGGGATAAATTCTTGTACATGGTTATAAGTTGTGAAAGAAGCACACGAAAAATTCTTGATTTGAAATTTTTAGTAATTAAGTTACATTTGTATACAAAAAAGAGCCTATGATTTTTGCTTACATGCATTGCCTTTTTTTTTTTTTAAGATTTATTTATTTATTTGAAAGTCAGAGTCACAGAGAGAAGGAGAGGCAGAAAGAGAGGTCTTCCATCCTCTGGTTCACTCCCAATTGGCTGCAACGGCCAGAGCTGCGCCAATCCAAAGTCAGGAGCCAGGAGCTTCTTCCCGGTCTCCCACGTGGGTGCTGGGGCAGAAGCACTTGGGCCATTTTCTACTGCTTTTCCAGGCCATAGCAGAGAGCTGGATCAGAAGTAGAGCAGCCAAGTCTCCAACTGGTGCCCATATGGAATGTCGGCACTGCGGGTGACAACTTCACCTGCTACGCCACAGTGCCAGTCCCCGTGCATTGCCTTATATACTTCATCAGACTGTATTCTTTGATTATGTTGTAAATCTGAGAGAGATAAGATCTATTTCCTATAATTAAAAACTATAACAGTTAAAAATGAATGTTACATGATGGTAAATATAGTGAGAATTTATATGCAATAATACTTCAGCTACTACATGCTATTGAAAATCATACAAGAAAGTAGGCATTCTTTTGTGGAATATATAAAGGAGATGGTGTTTTGGTGACTTGCCTTAATTCTAAATTGCTGGATACATACAGTTACCCTTTCTGGCCTTGCATGCTAGGATTTATAGCATGGCAGACAGAAAATAAGACATGAGGGTCCCAGTGCTGTGGCATAGAGCCATATGGGCACCAGTTTGATTCCCAACTGCTCTACTTCCAGTCCAGCTCCCTGCTAATGTGCCTAGGAAAGCAGTGAAATGAACCAAATGCTTTGGCCCCTGCATCCACATGGGAGACCTGGAAGAAGGTCCTGGTTGCTGGCTTCAGTGTTGCCCAGTTCTTGCTGTTGCAGTCATCTGGGGGATGAACCAGCAGATGGAAGATTCTCTCTCTCTCTCTCTCTCTCTCTTTCAACTAAAATAAATAAATCTTAAAACAGAAAAAAACATGAGGATGTTAGGATCAGTATGTATTTGTTCTGGGACTGAACTTTGATGTCCATATGTGGCATTAGAGACCCATCTGTCATGATTAGTTTTATAATTGGGGCATGTGGGTAGAGAATAGTTTTAATTTCTTGTTTAGAATTTTATTAACATTGGGATAAGTTATAGGTCTTAAGGCATATAACTATTTAACCACATGCATTAATTGAACTAGAAAGAAAATAATTTTTCTGTTTACTATGGCAGATTTTATGATTACTGTTATTTCTGAAGATGACAGTATTATTAAAAATATTAATCCAGCACGAATTTCCATGAAAATGTGGAAGTTATCAAACAGTGGCAACCGACCACCAGCAAATGTAAGTTAAAAATATCTCTCACATTTTGTGAAATTTAATGTTAAAATACACTATGTGCATGGTTGAGAAATGGAAATTAATCTATAACTTTCCTTAGAATTAAAATGAATATATTGATAAATGTTTTAAAATTAAGTGCTGTGCTGTTCAAAAAGAGCAGCCTACATTGTGATTTTTCTTAACATTTTGAGGTACCTTACACTTTAAAGTTGTGCCGTCTAAAGGACAGGTGCACAAAGCAGTAGCTGTTAAATATCATGAAGGGATACTTACACAAAATGAGATAGAGCAATCATGAAGGGATACTTATACAAAATGAGATAGAGCAATCATGAAGGGATACTTACACAAAATAAGATATCTTGACAGACTATAAAGCAGAGTTTGAGTTCACAACATTTTCCAAGAGAATGTCATACCATTTGTTTAAACTTTCTGGTGGTCATGTTGAGAAAGTAAAAATAAAAAATAAAGCTATTTAATCTTTTTAAGCTATTAATAGGTACCATTCTCACATGTTCCCTATACTTCCAAAATTATTCATGGGATTTTGTTTTTTACAGCATTACCTTCATTCAGACCAGCCACATTTCAAGTCATTAATAGCAATATATGCTACTGGTCACCATTCTGGAAAGCATAAATCCAAAATTGGAAACTAAATCTTAAAGTTTTTCAGAGCATTTTGATTCAGTAACCCACTTCAGCATTTATGGTTCATTTTAATCATCTAGCTTGCTTAATTTAGCAATAGCCTGAAAGTTTTCAGCTGAGCTCCCCTAATCTTGGCTCACTTGATTTTGATGAGCAATCCAGTCAAGCTGTTGTTACTTTAAAATAATACCACCATCCTAGAGATCTATTAGTTGCCATTTAAAAATGGGATATTTTTCTGCTGTGACTAATCTCACCACATATCTTAACATGTATTATTAAGATATATGTGTATATGTGTGTGTACTTATATATTAATAAATTCAAATGTGATCTGGATTCACATTCAATTCAGGTATGTACGTTTTCATCTTAAATATAGTATGTTAAAGATTGTCATTTCCCACTTATCTCCTTCTGTTTTTAGGCAGAAACATTTAGTTGTAATAAAATAAAAGATAATGACAAGGAAGAAGGCTGCTTCTATTTCAGGTATTATTCAAATTATTTAATGTTTTAATGCATATTTTGTTACAGTGTAATTCAGACTTGGAGATGCTTGCCTGCTTACCTAGGGAAAAGTATTTTGTGATCAAATAGAAAATGTTAATATCTCTAATTTTTTATTGTGATGTTGTTTGGGAAAGATGTGGGTTTGTTTTTAAACTTTATGAAATGGTTTAAGGGAAGGTTTTTTTGATGGATGTATTAGCTTAGAAGCCATCAAAGTCATCAGAAGAGTCCATTTATGGTCAGTTGGAGCTATTTGTAATTTTCAGTTATTATAAGACATTTCCTGAATTCTGAGATTATTGAATGAGCACTTGTTGAAGAAATGTCAAATTGCTGTAAAAGCTTCTGAGCACTCTGAATTTTATATTTTGTGTGTGTGTGTGATAGACCAGTAGCAAAATGTTCAGACCAGACTCTGTCCTTGGACTGCACTTTGAATAACATTACCTTTGGTCTCTTAGGTGCTCTCAAATTATTGCACAGAGCTGACTTAGACCTTTTAGATTTATTTCATTTATTTGAAAGGCAGAGTTGGAGAGAGAGAGAGACAGAGAAAGATCTTCTATCCATTGATTGACACAGGGCCACAGTAGCCAAGGCTGGTCAGATCAAAGCCAGGAGCCTGGATCTCCATATGGATCTCCCACATGGGTGGCAGGGGCCCAAGCAGTTTGGCCATCATCCTCTGCATTCCTATGCGTATTACAGGGAGCTAGATAGGAAATGAAGCAGTTGGAACTTGAACCTGCACCCATTTGGGATATTAGTGGTGCAAGCAGCTGGATAATCTGCTGTGCCTCAACCCTGCGTATATGGCTTTCTTTTCAGTCTGTTAAATTATCTTTCAGTGCTTGAAGTCTACCAATATGTTTGAGAATTAGACTCTTCAATTTTAGCATAAAATATTTATGTAGTGTGTTTCAGTTGAATTTTAGCATTAGTTTGAAGGATTTTTTTTTTTTTTTTTTTTTTTTTTTTTTTACAGAGTGGACAGTGAGAGAGAGAGAGACAGAGAGAAAGGTCTTCCTTTGCCGTTGGTTCACCCTCCAATGGCCGCCGCGGCCTGCGTGCTGTGGCCAGCGTACTGCGCTGATCCGATGGCAGGAGCCAGGTACTTATCCTGGTCTCCCATGGGGTGCAGGGCCCAAGGACTTGGGCCATCCTCCACTGCGCTCCCGGGCCACAGCAGAGAGCTGGCCTGGAAGAGGGGCAACCGGGACAGAATCCGGTGCCCCGACCGCGACTAGAACCCGGTGTGCCGGCGCCGCAAGGCGGAGGATTAGCCTGTTGAGCCGCGGTGCCGGCTTTGAAGGAATATTTTAATCTTTTGAAAAGAATCATGTTTTAGAACTAAAATAATCACATATGTTTTGGAATTAAGTAGAGTGGTAATTTCACAACAGTGTGAATGTAGTGAATACTGATGACTTGTACTTTAAAATGTACATGTCAAAAATAATCATACACTGTCAGTTTGGATAATACACTCAGTATTTTAACTTGTTTCAATATACGGTATTGAGTATGTTTGAATAAATGAAAGTAATATTTGCTTTTCTGGTATATAACAGTCACTAGTTTAGGGGTTCTACATCTAATCTCTTAATCTTTTTCAGCGAGTTACAAAACTTGTAAGATAGTGCACAAAACAACAAGATGTAGAACATTGTGATTTCCCCAAAGTGAATGTCTGTGCAGTCACTGTCAAAGTCCTTTACATCTGAAACCCTACCTTATGCCCCTCCCAATGGTTACCTCCTTCCTTCCTGTTGTGTATGCTTTGTGCACACACAAATAGACATGCACAAACCACAAACACAGTTCTGACTTGATTTGCTTTAGATTTTTGTTATCCAAGCACACATCTTAAAGTTTCTGAGTTAGCTGTGCTCATTTTTTAATTTAATACATACACTATGGTCTTTATGGCTTCTTTCACTCAGCGGTGTGAGATGAGTCTATTGTGTGGCATATAACTGGAAATGCATTCATTTTCATTGCTATTCATCCATCCATACAATTATCCAATCTACTATTAGTGACTATTTGCATTGTCTACAGCCTGGGGCTATTTCAAATAAACATTGGTACACATGTGAAGTGAAATTACTGGGTCAAATAATCAGTGAAACTAATATGGATGTGTATGTTTTTCAGTAACTGTTACCAAAGATTTTTCGAAGTATTTATACCAATTTCTCTTCCCCCCAGCAATGTATGGAGATCTTACTGTTCTGTATGTTTACTAACATTTTGCTTTGTCAGTTTTTAGACTTCTGGTGAATGTAGTGACATCAGATTCCCTTTTTTAAAGTTTGAGAGAATGAGCTTCTATCTGCTGTTTAACCCCTAAATGCCCACAATGGTAGGTCTGGACTGAGCCAGGCCAGGCCAGAAGCCAAGAACTGAGAATTCAGTCCAGGTCTCCTACCCTGATAGTGTGAACCTAATTACTTGAGCCATCACTGCTGCCTCCTAGGGTCTGGAGCTGGAGCCAGATATCAAACCTAGTTCCTAATGCAAGCATTTAACACAAAACATATTTTTTTTTATAAAAGATTTATTTATTTGAAAGAGTTACAGAGAGGGGTAGAGACAGAGAGAGGTCTAACATCCGCTGGTTCACTCCCCAGATGGCCACAACGGCCAGAGCTGCGCTGATCAGGAGCCAGGAGTCCCTTCCGGTCTCCCATGCCGGTGCAGGGGTCCAAGGACTTGGGCCATCTTCTAATGCTATCCCAAGCCATAGCAGAGAGTTAGATCGGAAGAGGAGCAGCCGGAACTAGAACCGGCACCCATGTGGGATGCCTATGCTTCAGGCCAGCGCTTTAACCCACTGTGCCACAGCACCAGCCCCAACACAAAACATATTAATACAAATGTTTCAGGAATTGTGTGCCACTTTTATCAGTTCAAGGTGGGAACCCTTCTGAAATTTAAGCTCACAGATGGCAGCCAAGGGCCTATCTGGCTAGCAAACTTTTTTAAAGATAGCACTCTGGGTCTTCTCAGTTAACTCTTTGTGTGAAGTTGATGGTCAAGTTTTGTTTTTTTTTTCTACACATATATGCTGTATTATTTATTGGAAGGAATTATGTACTCATACATATGTGGCATTATTTCTGGACTCTATTTGGTTTATTGGTCTGTTTGTCTATATTTTACTAATACTACTCTGTCTTGATAACTGTCCTGTGGGACAAGTCCTGTATACTTGTTCTTCATACACATCTTGGATCTTTGTTTTTCCATATAAATTTTAGAGTTGGTATATCTAGTTGAGATAACAAAAACACAATTTCAGTAATAACCTATTGGAAATTTGTTTGGGTAGAAATTTAAGGACATCTTAATCCATAAATAAGGTGTATCTTTCCATTTGAGTTTTTTTTTTTTTTTTTTTGCATTCCTCTTAAAATTTTGTCAAAGTAATGTACATTTTTCTTAGATATATTCCTAGATAGTTGATTTTTATGATATTTTTGTAAATTGTATCTTTTAAAACATTTTTGTTTGTGGCATGTAACTGACATGTAGAAATATATAGAAACATTTTTGTTTGTGGCATATATAGAAATCCAGTTGATTTGTGTATATCGATCTTGTAGCAAATGTCTTTGTTAACCTCCTTTATTTCTAATTTTATTTGTAAGTCCTTTGGGATTAAAAAATGTTAGTTCCAATAGATTTGTTTACTTTCTAAACCTTGTGAATTTCCTTTCTTTGCCTTGCATTACTGCTTTGGTGTGGAGAATGTTACATGGATATGATAAGAGTGATCTTCCTATTTTCATTCCCAATCTCAAAGGGAACCTTTCAACATTTCACCCCTGGTTACTGTGTTTATTTAGGGTTTTTCTTTGCTTAGCCCTTATCAGACTGTTTTTTTCTGATTCTCTTTTTTAAAATATTTATTTATTTATTTGAAAGTCAGAGTTACACAGAGAGCAGAGACAGAGAGAGAGAGAGGTCTTCATCCACTGGTTCACTCCCTGATTGGCTGCAATAGCCAGAGCTGCACAGATTCAAAGCCAGGAGCTTCTTCCGGGTCTTCCACGCGGGTGCAAGGGCACAAGGACTTGGGCCATCTTCTGCTGCTTTCCCAGGCCATAACAGAGAGTTGGATGGGAAGCGGAGCAGCCAGGACTTGAACCGGCTCCCATATGGGATGCCGGTGCTTCAGGCCAGGGCTGGCCCCTTTTCTGATTCTGAGAAGAGTTCTTATTGTGAACTGACATTAGAGTTTATCATCCATTAAGTCAATATATGATATTTTGCCAGTTTTTTATTATGAATTATAGTATATTAATTTTCTGAATGTTCTGCCAACCTTGGAATTACTGGAACAAATCTACTTTTATCATTTTTCTATATTAATGGATTTTTTAAAAAGATTTATTTATTTATTTGAAAAAGTTAGAGATCTTCCATCTGTTGGTTCACTCCCCAGATGCCCACAACAGCCAGGGCTGGGCTAGGACAGAAACTGAGCCAGCAACTCAATGCAGGTCTCCATATGAGTAGCAGAAATTCAGCCATCATTGCTGTCTCCAAGGATCCTGCACTAATAGGAAGCTAGAATCAGATATTAGAACTGCAAACCAAATCTAGGCATTCTGATATAAGATGCAGATGTCCTATCCATTGGCTTTACCACTGGGCCAATGATCACTCCTCAAGAAGTTTTTGTTCTTTGCTTTTAAAACTTTGAGAGACCCCTCCTATCAGCTGGCCCCACCCCAAAGGCCCAAATGGGCAGAGGCAGGGCTGAAGCCAGGAGGCAGGAGGGAAATGTTTGATCCCAGGTGGGTGGCATAGGGAGGGTGTGGGGCAGGTAGGCCGCAGTAGCACAAGGCTGGAACCTAGAAGTAACAACTAACTTACACAAGCCACTCAAGAAGTTCCACCTTCAGCTTGTAGTTCTGTGTGGATCAACTCATTCCATTGAGAGACTACTGCCAAGGAGTGACTGGGTTCGATTCCCACCTCTTTCCAACTACCCATAGTAGGACCCAAGCTTTCGGATTCTAAACGGAAACACCTGTGTGGGGCTTGGGATTAGGACTGCTGAGTCCACCCTCCCAGGACCCAGGAAAACATCTACCAGGTTACGATGGCCCCTACAGCACAGCAGGGCCCCCTGCCCAACCTAACCCAGACGTTGGCATTACTCGGTAAGCTCTACGAGGCGCCCTCCCGGCAAAGACAGGGCCAGGGAGCTGCCGCCCCGTCAGTACACTCCACTCAGCGGAGCAGCCGGCGAGGCAATGGGACATCCCGACAAGGCTTCCTCGGCAGTGAAGAAGTTTTTAAAAATAACAAATCATGGGCACCGGTTCTAGTCCTGGCTGCTCCTCTTGTGATCCAGCTCTCTGCTATGGCCTGGGAAAGCAGAAGATGCCCCAAGTCCTCGGACCCTTGCACCCATGTAGGAGACCCTGGAAGAAGATCCTGGCTCCTGACTTCAGAACCACCAGATGGAAAACCTCTCTCTCTGTCTCTACCTCTCTCTGTAACCCTGTCTTTCAAATAAATAAATCTTCAAAATAACAAATCAAAACCAAAGGAAGTAAATGAAATTTAACAGTAAAATAAATATAGAGTACCCTTGAACTTAAGTTTAAATTTTTTTTTAAAAGGATCAGTTCTATGTTGGAATTTTTAATCCTGTCTTTTTCATCATGAGTGATTAAAGTATTTAGAATTCCTCTAGGTCTGGTTTAATTGTCTCTTGTTGCTGTTTTCATTCAGGTTTTCTTTGACTCTTCATGCAACTACATATCTTGTTATTTTATTTATGGAAATAATTAGATGTCTAAGTAGTATCTTTCCCCATTGAGTATTCCCTTTTATCCGTTTTTGAGGCTATTACCAGATTTAGTCCAGTTTTAGAGACTGAAATGATTCAAAATTGAATTGTACTTTCTTTGGGAACGTGTCTACTTTAGGTCTACCTGTTGTCGTGAATGTGCTACCAGAAATAAATAACTAACTTGTTTCCTGGCACCCTCCATCCTGTCCTGCTGAATTACTTTATTTTAGCTTATTAGTTCTTGAACATTTTTAAGCAATTTTTTTTTCACATGGCTGTTTTAATCAGTAAGAGTTGGTCTGCCATTTAGAAGAAGGTGATTTGGGTCGGTGCCATGGCTCACTTGGCTAATCCTCTACCTATAGTGCCGGCACCCCAGGTTCTAGTCCCGTTGCTCCTCTTCCAGTCCAGCTCTCTGCTGTGGCCCGGGAGGGCAGTGGAGGATGGCCCAAGTGCTTGGGTCCCTGCACCCGCATGGGAGACCAGGAGGAAACACCTGGCTCCTTGCTTTGAATCAGCACAGCGCTGGCCATAGCAGCCATTAGGGGAGTGGACCAAAGGAAGGAAGGCCTTTCTCTCTGTCTCTCTCTCTCACTGTCTAACTCTGCCTGTCAAAAAAATTTTCAAAAGTTAAAAAAAAAAAAAAAAGAAGAAGCAGATGATTTGTTTAATTCTTACTGCAACTCCTGGAGTTATTTCTTAGGGAAAACATGGGTTCAGTTCAGATATGTATTTAAACCCCATGTGCTTTTTAGTGCTACGTTATGCCAGTACTTCATTAATATGAGTGACATGTAAAACCTACCTTAGGGATCATGGAGCACATTGTGTCAGACAAAATATATTATTGAATGTCATTCATCTTTTCATTGTGGGTAAAATATGACCAAAGAAAGTTAGTAAGCGTACCACTTAATAGGTGCTTTTTCTTATTTATAATTAGATCACAATGAATACCTTGTGATTATGGAGTAAAAAAATAAAGGAATGTAGATCAGCAGATTGTCTATAAGATTGAAATATAGAACTGTCAGACATTCATGATAATAGAAATAAAGCAAAATTCATTTGACACATAATTTATCAGTTTTTGTCTGATCACTGCTTTCTCAACGTTACATTCATATTTCATTTTATCATACCCAGAGCCTTTGTTCTCAATATGTTGTAAAAGAAATGTACAGGTAAGAGAGACCTGATTAACCTTAATAGTCAAAAAGTATTTGTTGAGTGAATGAAAATGAATGTAAAATTTCTGTTTAATTTAGGGATAAAGCAATTCCTAACAAAGTGGGGACATACTGTATCCAGTTTGGTTTTATGATGGATAAAGCAAATACTCTCAACAGTGAACAGGTTTGCATACCTTCGTTGTATACCATGGTTACCTTTACATTTTCTTGTAGTCTAGGAAGGAAATATCTTGTTTAAAACTGAATTAATTTCTGGATGCAAATATAGAGGCAGTAGACCTCCAGTTGTCTATGGGGGTGAGCACATTCCAAGAAACCCAGTGGATGCCTGAAAGTACAAATGTGACCATAGCATAATCTGTTTTCCCTGCATGTACATGTCTGAGATAAATTTTAATGTGCAAGTTAGGCACAGTAAGAGATTAATACAATAATAACTAATAAAAATGGAACAATTAAGATAGTATACTGGAACAAAAATAATTTAAATGTATGAACTGTTTATTTCTATGATTTTTCCATAAATTTTTGGAACGTAGCTGATCATAGTAACTGCATCCATGGACAAGTAGGGACTATTATAATGAGATTTTTCCAGAAAATAGAATATACTTAAATTATGTTCAGCAATTTGATCTGGTACAGAAGGCACCTTTCACTTCCTCTTTATAGTAAAGACTCATTTAGTAAGAATTTCAGTGTATATCATGTTAGAGTTGTTTATAACTGTACAAGAAAAAATATCAATAATGCTTCAATTATTAGAATTCTCTGTAATAAAGCTTAAGGTAATTTTATGTTTATTTACTATTGTCAGTATTTAAAAGTTAATCTGATTTGCCTTTTATCTTGAATTTTAAATGTCAATTGATTTCTTTCAAGAGATTAATGAAAATAAATTTTAGAAGGTAGTGTTTTATTTCATTTACTGTATGCCATCCTTATATCTTCTCCCTCATAAATACTAAAGCTTCAATATGTTTTTAATCGGAATGCTTTTGTTTTGTTAGGTTATTATTGAGGTTCTACCTAATCAACCTGTGAAGTTAGTTCCCGAAAATCAACCAGCTACACCAGCTGTTTCTAATGTTCGCTCAGTTCTCAGTAGGACCTTGGTCAGAGATTTATGTCTCAATGTCACGGTAATGTTTATTTCCTTCCAAAGCTACAGAGGGTAATAAGAAAAATTGTTTTTGATATTAGAGTACAAAATGTTACTACAGAGTCCAGGTTGATCATTCCATTTAATGTTATTGGGAAAGCTCATGCTAGTGAATTAAATTTTTGGGTATGAATAGAGACTTTATAACATAATACATAAAATAAGTATAGATACACTAAAACCTGGCTTAAAATGCAAAAGTCTGCCTGCCTTTCCTAATACTTTTATTCTCCTATTTCATGTTTGCATTGTGAATGTAAGTTGTATTTCAGTTAACTGAAGGGACAGAGGAGATGGGTAAGTATTTTTAAGAGATTTGCTCTAATGACTGAACATGGTTAAGGAAGAAGGCTCCTCAAGAATATTGGCAAATAAGCAGCAAACAAAGCTGCCAAAAAAATATTAACAGAAACAGATATAATAAAGTAGTGGGAGTTAAACTTTATGGAAAATTTGACTGGTGAGATGCTTGACTCTTTTTTTAAACTTTTACTTTCCTATTTTAGACAGTGAATGGTTTTTTTAATTTTTAGATTAATAGTAATTGTACATATTCACAGGCTACAGTGTGATATTTCAGTACATGTATACAATGCATACTGATCAAAACAGGATAATCAACATTTCCCCTTCTTTGCCATTATTTTTGATTGGAGGTTACAATGTATACTGGGTTCATGTGAACTGTAGTCTCTCCATTATGCTGCATAACACTAAGCACTTACTCCTCAATCTAGTTCTGATTTGGTAATTGTTATTCAGACTAACTGCTCTGTCCTCCCCGCCACTCCCAGTCTCTAGTAATTTTGTGTTTGGATTTAGTTTTCTTAGCTGTCACATATGAGGAAGAACTTTTACTTGTCTTTCTGAATTTCACTTATGTCACTAATATTGTATCTTCCAGTTTCAAGCATTTTGCTACAGATGACAGGATTTCATTTTTTTTTTATGACTGGATAGTGTTCCATTGTGTTCCCCTTCAGTCCCCCCAAACCTTGAATCCATCATCTCATTCTCTTCTGGCCTATAGGGCTTCTGCTAAGAAGTCTGTTGTTAGTCCAATGGGTTTTTCCTTTGTGTATAATTTGACATCTGTTTTAGGATTCTCTCATTGTCCTTAAGTTTTGACAGTTTGACTGTAACATGCCTTGCAGAAGGTCTTTTTTGTTTGAGTCTGGTTGTGGTCCTTTAAGATTCCTGTATGTAAATGTATATTTTTCTTATAAGACTTGGATAGCTTTCAACTATTATTTCATTCAATAGGTTCTCAATATTTTTCCTTCTCTTCTCCTTCAAATATCCCTATAATATGACTATTTGCTTAAAGGCATCCCCTATATCTAATGGGCTTTCTTCATTCTTTTTTAATGTTTCCTCTTAATTTTTATGACTGAGTTATTTCAGAAGTCTTGTCCTGAGGATCAGAAATTCCTTTTTTCTCCTTGGTCTAATTTGTTGAAACTTTTCAATTGTATTTTTTATGTCATTGATTAAAGTCTTATGTTTTCTGTCTCTGTTGAATTTCTCATTCATATGCATTGTTTTTCTCATTTCTTTGAGTTACTTATCTGCAACCTCTTGAATGTCATTGATTTTTTTAAGGTGATTTACAATTACTTATTCTTTAGGCATTTCATGGATTTCCTTTAAATCAGGATCTCTTTCTCGACGACTTTTTTTTTTTTTTAAGTTTCATGTTTCCTGTGTCCTTTAGTTGATTTCTGTGCATCTAGTATAATAACAGTTCTTTCTTCTTTATGGATTAACTCTCATTGGAAAAGACTTTCTTGTTTAGGTAGAATGTTGTATGCAAAGTTTGGCTTTGATTCTAGGTAGCCCAGAAGTATAATCTCAGAGATTTCTTTAGCTGTAATCAGTGTCGGCAGTGTCTGTGAGTGCCACAGTTGTCTGGTCTGCAGTAGTTCATGGAAGTAACATGACTTTGAAGTGAACATGGACTTAAAAAGGTGTGTGTCTTTAGGCTCCAGAGAATTGGGTATCAATCACAATAGGATGTGTGATGGCAGTAGCCACTTTCTTGGTGCTGTGGGATACAGGATCCCATCCCCTTGTTCTACCAGGCAAGCCCGCGTGCCGCATCTTTGGCACCAATGGCAGTGGTGCAGGAACTGTGTAATGGGGATTGAACCTTCCCCAGGTCCTGTGGGTGGGAATAGGTGATATTGGAGCTTATAGCACCAAAGCTCTACTCCCAGCACTAGAGGATGTGAAGGGGACCTTGCCCTTCTCCCATGGGTTGAGTGCAGACCATACTGGGGATTGAGCACTGGCGGGTATGGACCTGGAGCAGTGGTATGTGGGTAGGATCTATTTTAGGTCCCATAGGATGGGTTCTGGTGACATTAAAGAATGAAGTACTGATAGCATCCTGGAGCTTCTGTGTGGGAAGGGTACCTTGTCCAGGTCCCACGGGAAAAGAGCCAGCATCAACAGTTAAAATCCTAGAGCTGTAAAACTCGCAGGTATCTTGCCCACAGTTTGATCACAGGTTATGCTGGGGATTGTGCACTACTTAGTGTAAACCTGGATCATGGAATGCAGATATGACCTTTCCCAGGTTTAATGGACAAGCTCAGATAACTGGGATTTATAGAATAAACAGTCATGGATGCAGAGCTGCAGAATGTCCTTACCCTGTGCCTTGATGTGAACTCTGGTGACTGTGGAAATAACTCCAACAGTCACAGTCCCAGAACTACAGGACTTGGAAGGCAGCTTACTCCGGTCCCATTTGGTGATCACATGTTGTACTGGGGATATGCACTAGCAAGTACAGACCAGGAGCGGAGGAATGCAGATAGGGCTATCCCCAGGTTCCATAGGAGAGTGCAGGTGTCCCTGAAACTTAGAAAACCAGCAGTCCCAGAGCTGCAGGATGTAGCAGTGCATTATACAGGTCTCACAGGTTGGGTGCTAGTTATAATGAAGATCGTGGACTGACAGGCACCAGTCTGAAGACAAAGTCCCAAGAAGCAGAGGGGAGCTTCCCTAGATTGTACAGAGCAAGCAGGTAAACGTGGCTCTGGGGCTTTTGCCAAGCAGTGCTGCAGCTGCTGGATGCAGAGATGCCTGATCTCTGCCCAGTGAAGCAGTCTGGTTTGGGCCAATAGTGCTTCTGGTGGTGACAGGGCCGCCTGTTGTTTTCTAATACAGAATGGAATTTAGCAATGGCTGATTTTCATTTAGTTTTTTCAGATTTATTTATTTATTTGAAAGGCAGCATGACAGAGAGAGAATGAGAGGGGGAGAGATTTTTCCATCTGTTGTTTCATTCCCCAAAAGGCTGCAATGGGATGAGCTGGGCCAGGCTGAAGCCAGGAGCCAGGAGCTTCTTCTGGGTCTCCCACATGGGTGTAGGGGCCCAACTACTTGGGCCATCTTCCACTGCTTTTCCCAAGCCATTAACAGAGAACTGGATTGGAAGTGAAGCAGCCAGGACTTGAACTGGTGTCCATATGGGATGCTGCCACTGCAGATGGAGGCTTAACTGTCTATACTACCCTGCTGGCCCCAGTAATGGCTGTTAAGCAGCTTGGATCTGGGGCTTTAGGCACAGAGAGAGGTAATGTTGTTTTCTTTTTGGGAACAATGCAGTCGTTTGGACCTCAGTTTTCTAGACTGGATTTAAAGCCAATGAAGACTGTGGGATTTTCCTGCGGTTAAGGCTGTTGGACTATGGTGATAGCTGGGGGTTGCAGACATGTGCAATCAGTACCTTTTCCGTGGAAGACAGAGTCTCCCTGGCCCAGTCACCTGGTTATGAGCTGTGATATGCTTTGTTCTTTCTGCTAGCTTTCCAAATTTCAGTGCAGTTTAAATTTGCTGGTACTTCTTTACTGATGTTTTCCTTCAGTCAGTCTCTTGGAAACATGTCCTCACATTATTCTGATTCTTTGTGGTGGAGGTTAGGTGCAGAGTCTCTTTACTTGCCCTGAGATTTAGGACAGTTAAATAAAGAGACTTCTCTTTGCCAGACATCATATTGGAAATTACTACAAGGGTCTTGGAGTCCTTGTAAGCATCAAATATTGTCTGAAGAGTGTAGAATATTTCATACATACAGGTCTGTTGCTTTTCAAATGTATACAAATGTTGTTAAAATTAGTAAAATAATTAAAAAGCATAAGTTCAGAACATGTTTTTGTTAAGCATTTTTTTTACATGAATGGGTGCTTAAAGTACATAAAAAGATGAAATTTAAAAATGGGAAATCCCTATGTGGTTTACAAAGTTAGGAGCCATTGAATTAAATGGAAGTCTGATTCTCCTGTGATTTTTGGAACTGGTTTCTGCCTGTGTGAGACACATAAATTTAAAACTGAATGCAGTGTTTGGATCGAGAAGGATCAGAATAATGATTGGGAATCTATAAATATATTTCTTATGTCTCATTTGTATGTGCCCTTTTTGGGTTTTAATTTTCTACACAGTTCTTCTAATTATTTATTTCCCATTTTTTATTTTTAAGGATGAGTATAGCAACCATACTGGACTTGATTTGGTTGGTACTGTAATAGCTACCATTAAAGGTTCTAATGAAGAAGATAATGATACCCCACTCTTTATTGGAAAAGTTAGAACACTTGAATTTCCTTTTGTGAATGGTTCAGCTGAAATCACAGTAAGTTTTTATATCTGTTGGTGAATAAGATTTCTGTTTTTAAGTTTTAACTATATTATGATGCCTGTTCTTTTGTATGTATAGGTATGAACATATTTCTAATTACTGCAGGAATACTTTGTGATTTTGCCCTCAGTTACTACAAATTTAACCCAGGATTATTACTAAGACCTTTTTATTTATGGATGGCAGACACTTCTCTGATTCTAGTGATTTTTTCATGTTAGTTTCAATGTGATTTTCATGATCCATTGAAAAGCTAACATTGTATGATAGAAACTGATCAAAATGTGTAGCTCGGGTAAAATTTAATAAACAGGGGCCAGCGCTGTGGCACAGCAAGTTAAGCCACCGTCTACAGTGCTGCATCCCATATGGGTGCCGGTTCGAGTCCCAGCTGCTACACTTCTGATCCAGCTCCCCCTGCAAATGTACTTGGGAAAGCAGTGGAGGATGGCCCAATACCTTGGGCCCCTGCACCCACACTGGGGAGACCCAGATGAAGCTCCTGGCTTTGGCCTGGCCCAGCCCCAGCTGGTCGCAGCCATTTGGGGAGAGAACCAGCGGGTAGAAGATTTCCCTCTGTCTCTTTTCTCTCTCTCAGACTTTCAAATAAATAAATAAGTCTTTAAAATATTTTAGTAAACCAGTTTATTTTAATAATTTTTTCAGATATATGTTTCATTTCTGTATTAAAAAATACACAATGATGGGGCCAGCGCTGTGGTGCAGCAGGTTAACACCCTGGCCTGAAGTGCTGGCATCCCATATGGGTGCTGGTTCAAGACCAGGCTGCTCCACTTCTGGATCAGCTCTCTGCTACGGCCTGGGAAAGCAGTGGGAGATGGCCCAAGTCCTTTGGGCCCCTGCACCCGCGTGGGAGACCCGGAGGAGGCTCCTGGCTCCTGGCTTTGGATTGGCACAGCTCCGGCCATTGCGGCCAGTTGGGGAGTAAACCATCAGATGGAAGACCTCTCTCTCTCTCTCTCTCTCTGCCTCTCCTTTCTCTGTGTAACTCTGACTTTCAAATAAATAAATAAATTAAAAAAAAATACACAATGCATGAATCTTCATCAGTAATCATAAAGATCTCTTCTATGTATATCTTCTGTTTTTTTTGTTTTGTTTTGTTTTTAACTGTCTACTTATTTATTTGAAAGGCAGTGTTAGAGGGAGAGGCAGAGAGAGAGAAGTCTTCCAACTGCTGGTTCCCTCCCCAGATGGCTGCAGCAGCCAGGGCTTGGCTGAACTGAAGCCAGGAGCTGGAAGCTTCATCCAGGTCTCCCACGTGGGTGCAGGGGCTCAAGGACATTTCTGTTGATTTCTCATTTTCTGTCACTTTCCCAGGCACATTTTCAGGGAGCCGGTTGAAAATTGAAGCAGAGCAGCTGGGACTCAAACCTGCACCCAGCCATACGTGGGGCGGCTTAACCTGCTACACCATAGCACTGGCCCCATGTATATCTTTTTAAATATATTATTTCCCAAAATTACTGGTAGTAAAGATTGATTTGAAATAGAATAAATGCATTTTAATCCTTTTGTTAGTTATTGGCAGTTACTGTTCATAGTTTCGCCAAAATTATATATTTATATTCTTCATGTTAACAACATTATACATTAACAGTTCTTTAAATTCTAAGCCATTTCTTAAAATTTTTTTCTTTGTTGCTGATAAGGTTGAACAATTTTTGTTTTTAATTTGAGAGAGAGAGAGAGAAAGCACTCCCATCTGCTGGTTTACTTCCCAAATGGCCGCAGTGGCCAGGATAGGGCCAGGGCTGAAGCCAGCTGCCAGGACAGGAACTCAACTCCCATGCAGGTGTCAGAAACCCAGTTACTTGAAGTCATCACCACTGCTAGCAGGAACCTGGAGTCAGGAGCCAAAGCTGGGTATCCAATCCAGGTACTCCAGTGTGGCATGCAGGCACGTTAACTGGTGTCTTAACCACTAGGCTTAAACACCTGCCCCAACAGTTTTTGGTGTTGATCACTATAGGATTGTCTGTTGACTTTTTTTCTTTTGGAATGTTTATCGTTTTCTTCTTAGTTATGTATTAAACATATTAATGGTCTTTTATATGCAAGAACCTGTTTCTGCATTTGTTTTTTAAAATTTTACGTTTGTATAGAGGATAACAGATTATTTTCCTAGTACTATTGCTAATGATTGTGTGCCTTTAATCTTCTGTGAACCTGGATTTTATTTTGGCCCTTTTTCAAATTCATTAATTATCTTGGCATAGTTGGTAAATCTTTCTGTACCAATAAATTTTTGTACCAAGAATTTTGTTATTGTATCTAATCTATCACTAATATCAGAGGTTTAATTACATAAGGCTTTTAAGCTGTGTACATGCTAGGTGTACCTAGCCTAAAGTTTGACTTATTGTCTAGCAACAACTAACCAGTATAGCATTTTTATAAATTAAAATGTTCTCAACATTTAACATTCTGGAATTTTTACATTAAGATCCGAAATTCTGAACTTACTTGGAAAAATCTAAAGACCTGACAGCGTTAGATAAATTCTCTTAATTACAGTCCTTTGTGGGGCCTGAATAGTGGCTGTTCCTCTCAGTGCAGCTGTGTTCTAGTCATCCACATCCGTGGCACATTTATTTATTAAGTTATTTGAGAGGAAGAGAAAAAGCTCCCATCTGCTGATTCATTCCTCACATGTCTGTAATAACCCAGTTACTGTAGCTGTATCCAGTCAGCTATATCCGTGCTACTTCTTTTAATCTCTAATTTATGTATATCTGTACATATTTGTTTTAGACAGAGAGATCTCCCATCTGCTTGTTCAATCTTCATATGCCTACTACAATAACCCAGACTGAAGCTGGGAGCCAGAAACCCAGTCCAGGTCTCCCATAATGGCAGATACTCAACCACCAACCACTTGAGCTATCACTCGATGCTTCACAGAGTCAGCATATGCAAAACGCTGGAATCAGGAGCCGAGCTAGGACTTGAACCTAGACACTCCATTATGGGGTCCAGACATTCCAACCACTAGACCAAATACCAAGTACATATCCCTCTTTTTTTTGTTTTAAATAAAGATTTGTTTATTTATTTGAAAGAGTTATTGAGAGGGAGGGAGAGACAGAGAGAAATCCCCACCTGCTGGTTCATCCCTCAATGGCCAGGGCTGAGTCAGACTGAAGCCAGGAGCTGGGTTTAAGAGCCCAGACACTTGGACCATCTTCCACTGCTTTTCCCAGGCCATTAGCAGGGAGCTGGATCTGAAAAGGAGCAGCTAGGACAGGAACCGGCACCCATAAGGATACCAGAATACCAGGCAGTAGTTTTACCCACTGCTTCACAATGCCAGCCCTACATGTTCCTCTTTTCATCTCTTGATATTAAGAACAATTTTATTTGCCACTTATATTTACACTTGTTCTATTGGTTTTACTAATTAATTAATTTATTTGAAAGAGAAAGACAATTCCCATCCACTGGTTCACTCTCAAAATGCATGCAATAGCTGAGGCTGATGCCTGGAGCCTGGAACTCAATCTGAGTCTCTCATGTGGATGGCAGGGACACAAGCACTTAGGCCATTATCTGCTGCCTGCCAGGGTGCACGTCATCAGGAAGCTGGGATCCGAAGCAGAGTTGAGAATCAAACCCATTTTCCCTATTTACCTGTGTCCTTTTTTCTTGAGCCCTCTGTAACCATTCAAAGTTGCAAACCCTGCTGTTCCCCAGCAGCTGCAACTAAAATACAAGCTTCATGCCACATGTATTAATTACCTCTTACCACTAGAGGTCCCTAATATCTCACCAAACAAGCCGAAAACTCAAGTCCTGTTTGGCTCCTGCCTGGTGTGTTGTCTATGTCTGAGCAGAGCTGGATTTAGGAATCTAATTTTTAACAGTATGGTTTCTTTTTGTTTTTCTGTTTGTTTGTTTTTGTCCTTGGGAAGCTCAGAACACCACCAATATTTGTAAATGTTCCACATTTTCTTGAAGAGAATGTGTTTTGCCTTTTGGAAGTTATCTAAATTTGTAATTTTTCAAGTTTTTACTTGTGTTATTCAAATTCTCTATATATAATTTGTATACTTGAATTAGAAATTTCTGACAGTTTTCTTAAGTTTAATTGGGATGTAATTTGTTTGTTTGAAAGGCAGAGTTAGTGACAGGCAGAGAGAGAAAGAGAGAGGTCTTCTATCTGCTGGTTTACTCTCCAAATGGCCTCAAGGCTGGAGCTGTGCCCATTGAAGCCAGGATCCTGGAGCTTCTTCCCCGTCTCCCACGTGGGTACAAGGGCCCAACAACTTGGCCCTTCCTCTACCACTTTCCCAGCCAAGTAGAGAGCTGGATCTGAAGTGAAACAGCTGGGACTCGAACTGGCGCCCACATGGGATGCCAACATTGCAGGTGACAGCGTTACCCACTACACCACAGCACCAGCCCCTTGTTTGTTTCTAATATGCATAATTTCCATTTATACTTGGGTCTAGTTTTAGACTCCAGTTCTCTTCATTTCTATTATGTGTATCCTTTAAAGAAGAGAGGTTGGGGCTGGTGACGTAGTCAGGCTACCACCTAGACACTAGGATCCCGTATGGGCGTTAGTTCAAGTCCTGGCTGCTCCATTTGTGATCTAGCTTCCTGCTAGTGTGCCTGGGAAAGCAGTGGAAAATGGCCCAAGTGCTTGGGCCCTTGCATCAGTTTGAGAGACCTAGAAGAAGTTCCTGGCTCCTGGCTTCAGTCTGGCCCATACAGGCCAATGTAGCCATTTGAGAGATGAACTAGCCGATGGAAGATATCTCTCTCTTTCTCTCTCTCTCCCCACCCATGTAACTACCTTTCAAATAAAATAAATAAATCTTTAAATAAAGTGTTTTTAAAATAGAGACTTCTTTAAAAAATACATTTAACATTAAAAGTTAAATTTTATGTATCAAGCATATTTTAAGATAGATCGATTGATTTGAAAGTCAGAGTTAGAGATAGGGACAGACCATCTGCTGGCTCTCTCCCCAGATAGCCACAACCACTGGGGCTGGGCCAGGCCAGAGCCAGGAGCCAGGAGCTTCATCCAGGTCTCTCATGAGGGTGCAGGGTCCCAAGGACTTGGGCCATCCTTCTGCTTTCCCAGTCACATTAGCAAGGAGCAGCTGGGTCTCAAACCAGTGCCCATGTGAGTTGTCAGCATTGCAGGCAGCAGCTTAACCAGTTAGGCCACACAGAAGTCCCATATAAGCATATCTTAAACAGAATTAAAAGAACAGTGACAGTGTGTTGATAATTGTTGATTCTGAGTGATGAATATGTAGAAGTTCATTACCTGCTTCTGTAATAGAAAAATATGAGCAAACAATGAAAGAGAAGTTATAAATGATCAGTAAATATACAAATTATGACCTCCATATCACTCAGAGATGCTAGTTCATTAAAACGATAATAATTGGTTGATTTATAAACACTTTTTAATAAAACAAAACAAAAAAAAAATGACTGCTGTACTCTCATCTTACCATTGGTGAGAGCATAAATTGATACAGCCTTTTTAAGAGAAATTTGATACCTACCTATTAAAATAAACTTTTAACTAATCATTGTGTTTTTCATTATCCACCCTAGAAAGCACTTTTCAGAGACAGATTTTCTGCTGCATAATTGTTAAAATTTTTAAATGAACTAAATGTACATTAACTGATGAAAATATTATATATATTTATATCATGAATAAAATTTTAAAATTGGTATTAATATGTATCACATGAAGTTAATAAATAAAATTGAGTGCTGAAAGAAAACTGCTAGAGTATTTTCTTTAAATAGAAACTTTTAAAAATATGTTTATATTCTTGTAAATAAATTGAAAGCAGCTTTCAGAAACTATATGAAATTGGTAGTTTGTTTAGTGGTAGGCTTATAAACTATTCTTTGGTAAAGAATGTTATGTTGTACATTTTTAAAAAATTTTTATATCTTCGTGTGTAAATTGTATTATAGTCTAAGAAATAAAGCAGTAAGTATCTAATTTCCTGTAGAACTGTAAAAATTCACTTGGGATAAAAATATTTATATTTTAATCTTTTACTAGTCATATACTGTGATCTTATGTTAAAGTATATCAAAAAGTTCTTTGTGCATTCATGAAAAAAATACCATTCTTAGAAAACTGATCTTCAAAGCTTTTGAGGCCCTCTTTGACACTTGGGACTGGTGGGTCTGCTTCCATGGTAACACTGTAACCTAAACTCAGCATTGGGCTTTGGATATTTCTTTGTGATTGTTTTTATAACTTTCACAGCAACAGCTATTTCATACTGCTTCAACTTAAAATTTAGAATCCAAGAAAAAATATCTTAATCAAGATATATGGTTTGAAAGAAAAGATACTTCTTAAAGTTTTGTTATATGTAATTTTTTGTGTGCCTCCAAACCAATAACTGAAAGGTAAAAAGTTTTATTTATGTCTTGGGTGGTGATGATGGTTTAATGTAAATATCAGTCAATCCTTTGCCTTTAAAATGTAGCACTTAATTGAAAAAATGATGAGGTATGTAACATTTATGCATTGAAAATATAATTTTTAATTTGGGTTATTCCTTACTGCTTTTTTATTTATATAGAGTCTAGTGCTGGCAGAAAATAGCCCCGGAAGAGATAGTACTGAGTATTTCATTGTATTTGAGCCTCGCCTGTCACGTTTATCAAGAACTTTAGAACCATATATCCTACCATTTATGTTTTACAACGGTAAGTTTCTAGGAAAACAAGTGGTTAGTGGTATTTTAGATAATCCTGTTTTGCTTTCCATTAACATGTCTAGTGATCTAATCATGCTGGTGAAGTCAAAATTTTTTGTTTATTTTTTGCTATAGATGTTAAGAAACAGCAACAAATGGCTGCACTTACAAAAGAAAAGGATCAATTATCTAAGTCTATTATTATGTATCGAAATTTATTTGACGCCAGCAAACAGCTTCTTGATGAAATGAAATGTGAGTCATCTTGTATTCAATGACAATAAAAATTATACTTTACAGGCTGGTGGAGCAGCAGATGGAGGCCCTGTAGAAAGACAGTAAAGATGCTTTATGTTATTTTGTCATTTGGTGCTTTTTAAGATGAAGTATTCCTCATTTTAAATGAATGTGTATCCTGCGTATAATTTATGAAAATTTGATATTTTGTTAGGACTCTGAAATCTGGAAAACTGAAGGCTATTAACATAATAATACTGTTAATATCTAGTTTCAGTTTTTGGAAAAAGATACTGGATCACATTATGACTGAGAGAATGATGTGTAATTTAGTTTTTAGTATGGGCCATGGGCTGTATGTGTTTAGTTAAAATACCTTTAGTATGTTACACCTTGGAAATGTACCAGGCAACCCACACTGGTTCTGAAATAGGTAACTTCTTTTTTAATCAATCCACAGAATGTTTGCTACAGTTTTCAATAATGTTTCTGTACAGTTAAGACAAACATTTACCAAGTTGTGCTCTATTTTATCTTATCCTTTGTCAAATTTTTTGCTATAGTTTTTGGGTTAGTGTTAGTTGCAAAGTTAGACTATAATAGGCATTAAGTTGAGTAATGAGATACAGTACTAAAAATTAGTTCTATAAAGTCTTAGTTGGCTCTTGAGAGCAATGTTGTACAATTAATATGTAATCATGTGAATAAAATAACTTTCCAAGAGCACTAGGAATTTGCAGTGTATCTCCCTTACCTGCATTAATTTTGTTTCTCAGTTTTGCATATTAGAAGTGAACCTAAAGACTTTGAATTTCTGAGCTATTGCATGTCAGTTTTCATTTTAGTATAAAGCATTAAAAGGAATTTAAGTTGACATATATTTAAAACCTGTTTTGGACCTTTCAGAAATTGATTCTTTTTCTTTGTTTTTTGATTTTAGGCCAAGTTGAAGAAGCAAAGTTAAAGGAGGCTCAGTTGCGAAATGAACTAAAAATTCATAATATTGATATTCCTGCAGCACAGCAGGTACAGTTTTTAAGTATACATCAATTTTTTTGAAATTACATTCTGTTATTACATTTTGTAAAAAGCCACTCCCATTTTATTGGAAATGCTGTAAGCACTATTGTTTTAGGGTACAAAGACATAAGTGCACCATATTCATTTACTAAACATTAAAAGTGGCTAATAAAATGATAACGTGCTCTTTTCAAAGAAGTTTTTAATGTGATGACGCCAATAAATGCAGTCAATAAGACTCCAACTTGAGTAATACATTGAAAAGACTATAAAGAAAAACTAATATATACATGATTTAAACAAAATAAAAGTAACAAAAAGCAATACAGAGTTTTACAAAACATTCTTTTGCATGATAATTCGGTCTCAAATAGTATAGGTAGTATATTTCTTAAGTAAGAAAAAATATTCAATGAAGTAGGAGCCTAACCATGGGCAGTAGGTGGTGGTGTTTCTTAGGTTATGCCTACTAATTACTATTTCTGAGTTATCCAAATTGTCGATTTTCCTCTACTATCACTATAATAAGCTACCTGATACAATAGCAGTTGGCTCTGTAGTTAATTTTTCTTTATGAATTACAGATACCACACATTGAAGCACTTTTGAAAAAAAAGATGTCAGAACAGGAAGAACTAAAAAAAAAACCCAGAAGATCATGTACTCTTCCAAACTATACAAAAGGCAGTGGAGATGTTTTAGGAAAGGTTTGTGCTTAAGCCTTTTAAGAAGCAGTATATATTATCTTTTGTGTTGTTTAAAAGAGATACTATAAAAGATTTTTTTTTTTTTTTTGTAATTAAATTCCCTGCTCTCATTACCACAACAGAGATTTGGCTGTTTAAAACTGAAATCTGTGAGGAGTAGTAGTATTGAGAGCTGTGATAGAAGTTGTTAATGTTATTTTCTACTTAGAGATACTTTCATGTCATGGGGCTTTAGAGGTAGCCAAGACTGTAAAAGTGGCTGAAACTTAAGGAAGACTATAGAAGAAAGAAATGTCAGACTTTTTCTGAATTCTGACTCTAATGTTTTTAGAGAGTGAGTTATGGGCTGCTCCTCAAAATTAAGAAACAGCAATAACAAACAAAACTTTATGTGTATTTGCTACCAAGTGAAAGAGTACCAATCTTTCTGTTTTCTTTTCTATTTGGTTTTGCCTGGTACATGAATTTGTTTTCATTTTTACCCTATCATTATTCAGCCATGAGCATTCTATTTTATGTTTTTGAATCAGAATTTCTATTTGCACTTATTAGGAAGTTCTTTAGCTAAGTTTATTTTTTCTTACATCTTTTATCATCCCCTGCAGTTTCCCTAACACTTGCAGTTTTTAATGCTCTTAATATTTGATTTCCACATTTCAGTGATTCATCCAAAATTCTTGCTCAGTATGTTAAGATTTTTACCAACATATAAATAAGTTTTCTGAATAGAAATGTATTTTAAGGTCTTTTGTTAAGGTATTTCTCGTTATATATCTTGAAAGTCTAGGAGAAATCTATAAAATTTAATTTTATGTAGTTTCCCCTGTCCTCTCAGAAGTATAAACCCTACCCTAATCAATAAGAGAAAACTGCATTCTCTCCAAATCTTTCTTAATCATCATCCTTGCTTCCCTTTAAAAAATCATTTATTGTAAAACTAGAATAAATTATCATGTAACTATAGTAGGGAAAAAGTGGAGAATTGCCCCTAACCTTATATATAGTTTTAGCATGGTGACTACCACCGTTAACATGGATGTTTTAGTCTTTTTTGCCCCGATTCCAAATTCTTGAAACTCCATTCCTAAATGAGGAAGAAATAGTGGTAGTCGTAAGGTTTAGAAAGCTATATTAACTTTAACTATTTTGAATTAAATGCTAAAACTGCATTATTTTATCTATATAGTATTTAAATAAATAAACTGTTTTATCAACAAGGAAATCCCAATTATAAGGATATTATTAAAGTGTGAAAAAGTATATATTTAGTTAGCTGATAAGAGTAATAATTTTATTTGCTTAATTGCTAATTTACTGAAGTTTAGTCTATGGAAAAACTTCCAGAATTTAACAGCAGAATGAACAGCTATATATATATTCAAGCCAGTACATTTTTGTATCTTAAGAATTTAATCCATGTGAGTGCTGAAGAAAGGTGTTCTTTGCTATTTAGGTTTGAGCTTTTAAAATATTTATGATCCAATTTTTATATACTACTTTTTAAAATTTTTACTTGATTTTATTAAAATGGGTTGTAGATTGCACATCTAGCACAAATTGAAGATGATAGAGCTGCAATGGTTATTTCTTGGCATCTGGCAAGTGACATGGACTGTGTAGTTACTCTAACCACTGATGCTGCACGTCGGATCTATGATGAAACCCAAGGTCGTCAGCAGGTGTTGCCCCTTGATTCTATTTATAAGAAGAATATTCCAGATTGGAAAAGGTTAGAAAAAACTTGGACATCATAATTTTTTCTGAAATATATTTTAATCAAAACCCTGAATTTAAAAAGATTTCTCTAAACTATACCTAAAACAAACTTAGAAGTGACTCAAATTACCTCTATCAATTTTGTGTTCACAAATGAACACAATTTAATCACATGTACTGATATGTTTATTTGCCAGCTAAATATTATTTATATATGTGGTATATTCACACACAAACATAGGTACACACAAACCCAGAGTAAGTTTTTGGCCTTTGGAACAGGATGTTACTATTATTAATAGAATGTGGAGTACCTTTATTTGGAGTAAGCCTGGAGATTTAAGAAGTCTTCTAAAAGTTCGTGGAAAATGCATGTTGTGATAAAACTGCATGGGTTTCAAAAAATGTCTGTGACAAAATAAACAACATCTTTTAATTTCATTTTCCATTAACTTTTGAAGTATTCTCATGCATGTCTTTTGTCCTTTTTATGTCCTGTGAAAATAAGCCATCATTTAACGTAAAGAAGGTCTGCTATTATAATCATCCATAAATGTTGGAACTACCAATAGCAGTTAAAATGTAAGAGATGATGTAGCTAAATATTTCATCCTTATTTTAATATGTCCAGTTTGTTTAAATAATTGTTTCTTGATTTATTTTTCATAATGCTTGTTTTTAAACAATAACCTTGGAAAATAATTTAGTGTTTTTGCTCTAATTCTTTTTTAATATTTATGTGTATTCTGCCTGTTTTTTAAAATTCACCCAAAAAGACTAGAAGGCTATCCTAACAAAACAAAAATAAGAATATGTAAGTTTCAGCCAATAATTTTCTCAAATTCTCATTTTTTTGAAGATTTATTTATTTATTTATTTGAAAGAGTTACACAGAGAGAGGAGGAGAGGCAGAGAGAGAGAGGTCTTCCATCTGTTGGTTCACTCCCCAGTTGGCCACAATGGGCTGGTGCTGTGCTGATCCAAAGCCAGGAGCCAGGAGCCTCCTCCAGGTCTCCCACGCGGGTGCAGGGGCCCACGGAATTGGGCCATCTCCCACTGCTTTCCCAGGCCATAGCAGAGAGCTGGATCGGAAGTGGAGCAGCCAGGACTCAAACCTTTGCCCATATGGGATGCCATGCTACACCACAGTGCTGGCCCCTCTCAGATTCATAGCCAAAGTTTTGCAAGACGCATATTTGGGTAGGAGTGAAAACTTGAAGAAAAATAGGAACTCATATGCAGAGTCTGCCGCATCAGTAAATTTAAATGTCTTTTGTTCGTGTAATCTGAAGACAGATTGAGGAAATAGTTGGGACTTGAACTTAAATGTTTCAGATTCTAAAATCTCACTCCATGTTCACATCATGGGAAGTCGTGAGGGGTCATAATTATATCATTGATAAAAGTATATTTTGTGAAAAAATATGCCCACTAGGATGGCCCCTTTTCTTTAAGATTTTTTTATTTGCTTGTTTGAAAGAGTGACAGAGAGAAAGAAATCTTCCATCCACTGATTCACCCCCCAAATGGTCGCAACAGCCAGAGCTGACTCAGGCTACAGCCAGGAGCCAGGAACTCCATCCTGGTCTCCCACATGGGTGGCAGAGGCTCAAGCACTTGTGTCGCCTTCTGCCTTCCCAGGCATGGTAATAGGAGGCTGGATCGCAAGTGGAACTCAAAGCAGCACTCTGATATGGGATGCTGGAATTAGATTCAATGGCTTAACCTACTGGCTTACCCCTACTGTCCCTGGGGTAGGGATAGGATGGCTTTTCACCTTAATCTCTGTAGACCATGTTAAGAATCCTTGATGTAGAAAAGATACGCATTTGTAACTTAGGGCTGAAGTTTGCTCTCAAAATGAGTTTTTGTCTCTGTTTCTAGTATTTTGCTTTATTGGGATGGAGTTATTTCCTGGTGCCCCTGCTCCACTGTGTGGAAGGGAAAATCTCTGTCACCCTAATCAATCAGGCACGCCAACAACACTGTCTCTAAAATTCCATTATTATCCATGGCTTCAATTGCTCTTTCTGTTCTGTGAGAGAGACAAGGTGTAAGGTATTTAGAGGTGTCTCCCTCACAGGTATCTCAAATTTAGGCCTTGCTCTTTGCCCTCCACGTTATGTGGCCGTTCTCTTCATGAAATAGTTTTATTGTTGGCATCCTCATTTGACACCAGCTTCAGAGGCTGCTTTTCAAACTAAATTACAGTTAGCTTATATTTTAATAGAAACTAATTGAGGGAAAGAATACAAATGAAACCAAAGTGTTTTTGTACAAAAATTGTTTTCATTTCTAAGGGTAAAATAGCTGATCATTTAGGAGTATCACTTGTGGTTAATTGGGAGTTGATTTTATGATCGAGTTGATGTATAATATTTTTGTATATTTTTCATATTTTTAAAAAAGTTGTGTGTACTCTAATACCTGTTTAAAATTTATTTTCATTTAGACCTCTACCTCATTTCAGAAATGGGAAATTGTATTTTAAACCCATTGGAAATCCCGTCTTTGCCCGAGATTTGTTAACTTTTCCAGATAATGTAGAACATTGTGAAACAGGTAAAGGACACCATGGTAGTTTTATTTTATGAAGATTTGTGATACAGTTCTAAATACTAATAATTTATTTTCGTTCATAAGTGATGGGTTTTTTTAATAATTTTTTAAATTTTTAAGTGATAACATTTTTAAGGTTCAATATGATGTTTCAATATACATATATGTCGTGTAATGAATCAGATCAGGGAAATCAACATATCCAACCCTCAGACATTTATCATTTCTTTAAATGCACATCCTCTCTACCAGCTGTTTTGAAATATTTAATTAATTATTGTTAACTATATCCTACTGAGTTGTAGAACATCCAAAGTTATCTCTCCTATCCAGCTGCACCCCTAATAGGGGTACCTATTAACCATCCTTTCTATGTCCCCCATCACTTAAGTGATAGTTTAATGTTTTAAAAGAATTTCAGTGAGTATTATATTTTAAATGGACCCCAAAATCATAATTTTCAAAATTCATTTATTGATTTTTTTTTTTTTTTTTTTTTAGTATTTGGTATGCTGTTAGGAGACACCATCATTTTGGACAATCTGGATGCAGCCAATCATTATAGAAAAGAGGTATGTATTTGATTGCTTTTCAGATTTATAGCTACAACTTTTTTTTTTGACAGGCAGAGTGGACAGTGAGAGAGAGAGACAGAGAGAAAGGTCTTCCTTTGCCGTTGGTTCACCCTCCAATGGCCGGTGCAGGAGGCAGGAGCCAGGTGCTTTTCCTGGTCTCCCATGGGGTGCAGGGCCCAAGGACTTGGGCCATCCTCCACTGCACTCCCGGGCCACAGCAGAGAGCTGGCCTGGAAGAGGGGCAACCAGGATAGAATCCGGCGCCCCGACCGGGACTAGAACCCGGTGTGCCGGCGCCGCTAGGCAGAGGATTAGCCTACTGAGCCACGGCGCCGGCCTGTAGCTACAACTTTTAACTTGTATTTTTAAAATATAATATCGTATAACTATGTATAAACCATCCCATTGGATGATGCATATACAAATAACCAAATAGCCTTGTCAAGACCAATTTAAATCCTGCAGATTTAAGCAACATAAAGTTGTACAAAATATTTGAATGAGCTAAGATGCAAATTAAAATGAAACATGATTTTGGGCTACAAAATTGAAACTGAGCACTGTCCCTAATGCCTTTGATGTAGACTCTCTCTCCCTTTAGCTTATAGTTCCTCTGTTACCACTTCAATGATCGCAAGTCAACTGCTTGCTAAACATGAACTTAATAAATTAAGGTACTAGTTGATGGGTCAGGCTGGCCCCATAAGACCCAAGGGTCATGATCAATGAAAGTGATACCCATATAGCTATAGACCCCAGACTGACTGAGACCCCCTTTGCCATCACAGCAGTTTCAGAAAAACACACCAATACCCTATTTCTTAAAAATTAAAGGAAGGTCACCAGCCATGTGGACCAACCAATGACTGCACATGAACTGACCTCACACTGCTCAACAGCTTTAATTGCCTAAGACTCAAAGCAGTGTTATTGATGACAGTATTAGAAAAAGAACATACTCTTAAATGACCATGAAGTACCAGTTTGCTAGAGCTGTCATAACCAAATACCACAGATTGGATGGCTGAAGCAGCAGAATTTATTGCCTTATAGGTCTGACGACTAGAAGTACAGTTTCAAGGTATCAGTGGGGTTAGGTTTTCTTAGGAATACAAGTGAGGGAATCTATTCCAGGCCTGTCTCCCTGTCTTGTAAGTGGCTGTCTTTTCCTTGTGTCTTTTCACTCACCCCAATGACCTCATTTTAATTTTTTTCCTCATTTTAATTTTTTTAGAGATTTATATCATTCATTTGAAAGAGTTATAGAGAGAGGTAGAGACAGAGAAAGGTCCCGCATCCACTGGTTTACTCCTCAAATGGCCAAAATAGCCAGAGCTGAGCCAATCCGTCCAAAGCCAGGAGCCAGGAGCTTCCTCTAGGTCTCCCAGATTGGTGCAGGGGCCCAAGTACTTGGGCCATTCTCTGCTACTTTTCCAGGTGCACTAGCAGGGAGCTGGATAGGAAGTGGTACAGCCACTTGCATGTGCCATAGGGATGCCGACACCCCAGCCTGGGACTTTAACCTGCTGCACCTTAGCGCCAGCCCCCCTCATTTTAATTTTATTACTTCTGTAACAACCCTATATCCAGGCTGGGGCTGCGGCTCACCTGGCTAATCCTCTACCTGCAGCGCCAGCACCCCAGGTTCTAGTCCCAGTTGAGGTGCCCAGTGCTGTCCCGGTTGCTACTCTTCCAGTCCAGCTCTCTGCTGTGGCCCGGGAAGGCAGTGGAGGATGGCCCAAGTGCTTGGGCCCTGCATCCGCATGGGAGACCAGGAGGAAGCACCTGGCTCCTGGCTTCGGATCGGTGTAGTGGCCATTTGGGGGGGGGGGGGGGTGAACCAACAGAAGGAACACCTTTCTCTCTGTCTCTGTCTCTCTCACTGTCTAACTCTGCCTGTCAAAAAAAAAAAAAGACCCTATATCCAGATAAGGTCAGATTCTAAGGTACTGGAAGTTAGGACTTCATGTGGATTTGGGGGGAATGCAGTTAAGCCATAGTACCTTTCAAGAGTAGTGTGGCAAAATAAATATTTTTCTTTCCCAATCCAGCAGTTCTATTTTGAAATTAATTTTCAAAACTAATTAATTCTTACTTCATTTCCCACTTATCCTAGCTAGTTATCCTGGTGATTGGCAAGGCACGCAGCTGAGAGTTTATGTTGGCAGCCTTGGATTTGTTCATAGGAGCCCTTTCCTTGTGGCTGCTTGAGCTTTTTTAACAGCATGGCATCTGGCTTCCAAGAAAAAGTGTGAAGCAGTGAAGGTAGAAGCTGCAAGTCTGTCAATTCCCAGCCTCATAAAGTACATAGTCGGATTCAGTTGGTCAAAATCTGGCCAGTTCAGATTCAAAAAGAAGTAGAGGGTAGTAGGGTACAGTGGGAATAGACTCTGCATTTGCCATGGGAGAAGTAGCAAAGAATTTGGAGCTATCTTTAAACTAAAATAGGATAGGGGCCGGCGCTGTGGCGTAGCAGATTAACGCCTTGGCCTGAAGCGCCAGCATCCCATATGGACACCTGTTCGAGTCCCGGCTGCTCCACTTCCCATTCAGCTGTCTGCTATGTCCTGGGAAAGCAGTGGAAGATGGCCCATGTGCTTGGGTCCCTGCACCCATGTGGGAGACCCGGAAGAAGCTCCTGGCTCCTGGCTTTGGATTGGCACAGCTCCAGCCGTTGTGGCCAATTGGGGAGTGAAGTCAACCAGCAGAAGGAATATCTCTGCCTCTCCTCTCTGTGTAACTCTGACTTTAAAATAAACAAATAAATCTTTAAAAAAAAAACTAAAACGGATATTAAAGCAGAGTATCTTATATGCACGTTCCCAAGAATACTGAGACATATACAAGAATATTTATTAGAATATAAGAATTAAAAAAAAAGGATTTATTTATTTATTTGAAAGTCAGAGTTACGCAGAGAGAGAAGGAGAGGCAGAGAGAGAGAAAGGTCTTCCATCCACTGGTTCACTCCCCAGTTGGCCACAACGGCCAGAGCTGCGCCAATCTGGAGCCAGGAGCTTCTTCCGGGTCTCCCACACAGGTGCAGGGGCCCAAGGACTTGGGCCATCTTCTACTGCTTTCCCAGGCCATAGCAGAGAGCTGGATTGGAAGTGGAGCAGCTGAGACTTGAACTGGCACCCATATAGAATGCTGGCACTGCAGGCGGCGCCCTTACCCACTACGCCACAGCGCCGGCCCCAGAATATAAAGGATTTTTGATAGGAAACTTTAGAAACAGTCTAAATGTCCATCGACTAAGACTGAACCATTTTGTTACAGTAATTTATACAATAGAGTGGGGTATAGCTATTTAAAAGGAATAGAAAAGATTTTATATGTCCTAACAAAGATTGTGTGCAAAATATTTTTTGTTGTTAAGTTATACAAAAAACCTTGTGTACTTTTAAAAAACTATTAGACTATATTCTTTTAAAGGATTTAGCAAAGAACATGGAATATGGTAAGATTTCAGTCAGGGAAAAGTCCCTTTGGAGCTGTGATTCTCAGAGTCTTAAATCCTTTGATACACAGTAAGTATTCAGTATAATATGTATGGCTTTTAGGGTGTCTGGAAGTGCCAGGTAATGATTATGTATTGAAATCATTACAAACTTACAAACTATTCCATTTGAAAATGAGCAAGAATGTTTGTAGTTACATAAGAAAAAAATAGACTAGGAACCTTGGAGATAAACTAGTCTTATTTTATAGATGGAAAATCTTCAGCTTAAAACAAATAATAGATTTGTCCCAAGTCACCCCACTGACTCATGTCAGAACTAGTATTAGTCAAGGCGATTTTTCCTTGGGCCTAGTTAAGAAGCACTAATAAATGTATCTTCTTAAATTTAAGAATGCTTAGAGCCAACATTGTGATACAGCAGGTTAAACTACTGCTTGTAGTGCCAGCATCTCATATAAGAGTGCTGTTTTGAGTTCTTGCTACTCCACTTCCAATCCAGCTTCCCTCTAATGTGCCTGGGGAAGGCAATAGAAGGTGGCCCTTGAGTCCTTACTACCCATGTGGGAGACCAGGCTGGAGTTCCTGGCTCCTGGCCAGATCTGGTTATTGCAGTCTGTCTGTCATTTGCCATTCAAATTAACAATTTTTCTTTTATTTAGGAAGGTTAAATTTGTGAGATTATTTATAATTACACAGCTAATTGGGTGTAGTTGTTTTCTTCACATTTCCTTGTGAAAATAATAATGGGTATATATACTGTATCAGTGACTGTAGAGAGGAGGACTACTATATATATATATTCTATTGGTGATTAGCATTTCTATATGTCTGGAATTATGGAATAGAAACCATACCAAATTTAGCAGACTTACATATTTATTTACTTGAGTCACAGAGAAAGAGGTAAATCTTCTGTCCACTGGTTCACTTTCCAAATGGCCGTCACAACCAGGGCTGGTCCAGGCCAAAGCCAGGAGACTAGAGCTCCTTCTGGGTCTTCCTTGCGAGTGGCAGAGGCCCAAGCACTTGCCATCTTACTCTGTTTTTTCAGGTACATTGACAGGGAGCTGCATTAGATCAGAGCAATAAAGCTCACTGGCTCTCCAGTACAGAAGATATATAGCACGCGACCACATTGTAACATTTAGTGAGTATGATTAGTTCAAGTCCAGGCTGCACTATATGCTATCCAGTTCCCTGCTAATGTACCGGGAAAGCATAGAAAGATGGCCCAGGAGGAATTCTGAGCCTCTGACCTAACTCTGGTTGTTACTGTCATTTTGGGAGTGAACCAGCAGTTGGAAGATTTTTCTCCCTCTCCTTCTCCTTCTTCCCTTTCCTTCCTTTCACCCCTCCCCACTCTAAATAAAATAAATTTTTTTAAAAAAGGTGTTATAATAACATGGATTCTGGGAAAGATGAGAAGCTTACCACTGAAGAAAGAATTAAGTACAATAGCAGCTAGAAGGTTCTAATTAATTGACACTTGTATATGAAACACAGTGATTCACTATTAAATGCTAAAAAATAATCAGCTCTGAGAGAGAAACCCAGTGCCCACAATGGCCAGGGGAGCCAAAACTGGAAGCCTAGGATCAGTCCTGGTCTCCCACACGTGTTGTAGGAACCCAATCACTTGAGCTGTTTCTACTGCCTCCTAGGTTGTGTTGGTGGAAAGCTGGAATCAAGAGCCAGAACCAGGTATTAAGCCCAGGCACTCAACTGCGAGATGTGGACATCTAAACTGCTGAGATAAACATCTGCCCCAATTTTTTTTTTTATTAAAACAGTATTTCACTGGATGTTGTTCACATCTGTGGTTATGTTTTCAAATTCTTAAAAGAGGAATAGCTGGGTCATGGAGATTATTAAACTTTTTAACACTTGGCACATTTTTTTTGAGAAGAACTATTCAAGAGTAGTGAAATACAAAAGGGCCTGTTGTCCATAGTTCCCTCAACATTGTGTGTTTTAAAGGTTAAGTGAAAATATTTCATTTGAATTCCACATCTCTGGTTGCCAATGAAGTTTTACTTTAAATATATATGTTTCCTGTACCTTTTCTATAAAAACATTCATTTTTTTTAGAGATTTTATTTATTTATTTATTTATTTGAGAGGTAGAGTTACAGATGAAGAGAGGGAAAGACAGAAATGTCCTCCATCCGCTGGTTTGCTCCCCAAATGGCCACAGTGGCTGTAGCTGAGCCGATCTGAAGCCAGGAGCTAGGAGCTTCTTCCAGGTCTCCCACAAGGTTGCAGGGGCCCAAGCACTTGGCCCATCTTACTGCTTTCCTAGGCCATAGTGGAGAGCTGTATAGGTAGTGGAGCATCTGGGACATGAACTGACACCCATATGGGATGCTGGCGCTGTGGACTGAGGCTTAGCCTATTATGCTGGTCCCTATAAAAATATTCTTAGAGATCTTGAGATAATAAATTCATTGTTTTTCTTTTATTCTGACTTCTCTGAAGAATGTAATTCTTGACAAACTCTTTCCTTCCCCTGTCTAACAGAGGAAACTGTGCTGCTGATGGCTACCTTGATACCACCTTGGGTTTCAGAAGCACAGAGCTGTCTGGCTTGTCCCCCTGTTCCTTCCTCTTATCAATTCAGCCATCAATTTTGATTTTTTCCTTTTGGAATTTGTTATTCTAGTTTAAGCTAACACTTGGAAGGTGATCTAATTCATCTGCGAATTTTCTCCTCCGATTTACCTTAACACGTCATTAGCTTATTAATTTTATAAAAATGTCATTTCTATACTCAGAAGCCTTAAATGATTTTTCCCTTAGGGCAGTTGAAATAAGCTGCTTACTAATTAAAATTTATTTATTTACAATAGGTTGTTAAAAATACACATTGTCCTACACTGCTGACCAGAGATGGAGATCGAATTCGAAGTAATGGAAAGTTTGGAGGCCTGCAGAATAAAGCTCCTCCAATGGATAAACTTCGGGGAATGGTATTTGGAGCTCCAGTACCAAAACAATGCCTAATCATAGGGGAACAAATAGGTAAATTGAATAAGTATTTAAGTAACAATTTATTTTTTTATTTTAATCTGTTATTTAAGTGTTTATATAGAAATTCTAGCATGAAAAATCAACTAGTAAAAAATATAGATGATATGTAAGGTACTTTCAGCTTTCTTACATCAGGTAGAGTTACTAACAGTAGGTTTTCCCCTTATATTTTCATTCTCCTTAATTCTGAAATAATTTTCTCAGATAATTGTATTACTTTATCTAGAAATTCTTACCTATCTAAAATATAATTAAGAATTTTCTTGAAAGTATATGACGTGTAATATTCCTTCTCTCCGATTTTCCCTTTTTTTTCTGTTAAGATTTATTTATTTATTTATTTGAAAGATGGGGTCTAGCACTGTGGTGTAGCAGGTCCGCCTCCAGTGCTGGCATCCCATATGGGCGCTGGTTCAAGTCCCGGCTGCTCCACTTCTGATCCAGCTCTCTGCTATAGCCTGGTAAAGCAGTAGAAGATGGCCCAAGTTCTTTGGCCCCTGCACCTGTATGGGAGACCGGGAAGAAGTTCCTGGCTCCTGGCTTCGGATTGGCGCAGCTCTGGCCATTGCGGCCAGTTAGGGAGTTAACGTGGCTCAATAGGCTAATCCTCCACCTTGCGGCGCTGGCACACAGGGTTCTAGTCCCAGTCGGGGCTCCAGATTCTGTCCCGGTTGCTCCTCTTCTGGGCCAGCTCTCCACTGTGGCCCGCATGTCTCCGCATGGGAGACCAGGAGAAGCACCTGGCTCCTGCCTTCGGATCAGCACGCTGCACTGGCTGCAGCGTGGCAGCCGCGGCGGCCGTTGGAGGATGAACCAACGGCGAAAAGGAAGACCTTTCTCTCTCTCTCTCTCACTGTCCACTCTGCCAGTCCAAAAAAAAAAAAAACAGCAAATGGAAGACTTCTCTCTCTGCCTCCTCTTCTCTCTCTGTGTAACTCTGACTTTCAAATAGATAAATAAGTCTTTAAAATTAAAAAAAAAAAAAAAAAAAAGATGAAGTTTTAGAGAGGTTAGAGTCAGAGAAAGAGAAATCTTCCATCCACTATTTCACTCCCCAAATGGCCACAACAGATGAAGCTGGGCCAGACTGAAGCCAGGAGCCAGGAGCTTCTTCTGAGTCTCTCACATGGGTGCAGGGGCCCAAGGAATTGAGTCATCCTCCGCTGCTTTTCCAGGCACATTAGCAGGGAGCAGGGATCCAAAGTGGAGCAGCCAGGACTCAAACCCATACCCATATGGGATTCTAGCATTATAGGCAGCAGCTTAACCTGCTATACCACATTACCCTCTTTCCCTCCCTTTTTTAAAAGATTTACTTTGTTTTAAAGTCAGAGTTAAGGGAAAGACAGAGGTCTTCTAGCCACTGGTTGACTCCCCAAATGAGTACAATGGCTGAAGCTGGACTGGTCCGAAGCCAGGAGCCAGGAGCTTCTTCTGGGTCTTCCACAGGGGTGCAGTGGCCCAAGGACTTGAGCCATCATCTGCTGCCTTCCCAGGCACATCAGCAAGGAACTGGATCGGAAGCATAGCAGCTGGAACTCAAACCAGCACCTGTATGGGATACTGGTGTCAAAGGTGGTAGTACTTATCTGAAGTGCCACAATGCCACTGCCCCTCCTCCCGCCATTTTCTCTTCAAAGGCTTGTTTCTCTTGCTTCTGATCAGCCTATAAAATTATCTCCCTTCTGTGCTCCGAAGTAATTTACATTAACAGAAAGTCCCCTTTAGAATATTACCTTAGAACCTATTTATTTTTAATTAATACACTTGTCTATTGACTTTCTCAACACTCAGCAGTTTTGTTATCTTTCAGTTAGACGCATAACAAAACTTATCATTTTAACTTTTTCCCATCATTTTGTTTGAGAAGACAGAGATAGATTTTTCCACTCAATGGTTTACTCCTCAAATGCCTGCAGCAGCCATGGCTGGGCCAGGCTAAAGCCAGGAATCCAGAATTCATTCCAGGTCTACCACGTGGGTAGCAGACCCAACTACTTGAGCCATCACCTGTTGCCTCCCAGGGTTCAAGTTAGCAGGAATCTGGAATCAGAAGTGGAGCTGGGACTCAAACCCAGGCACTCCAGTGTGGGCTGCAGGTATCTCAAGCAGCATTTCAAACCTCTGTGCTAAGTTCTCACACCTTTACTGTTTTTAAGTGTACATTTCAGTAGTGTTCAGTACATTCACATTTTTGCACAACCTATCACCAAAATTCTTTTCATTTTGTGAGGTTGAAATTTTGTACCCATTAAACAGTATCTTTCTATTCCTCACTCCTGGTAGTCACCATTCTACATTCTCTCTTTGAATATTACTGCTGTAGGTACATTAGATAAATGAAATCATACAGAATTTTCCTTTTATGACTGGCTAATTTCATTTGACATAATGTCCTCAAGATTTTAGTATATGTGCTGCCGAAGCGAGCACAATGTCCTCAAGATTTATCCGTGTAGTGTCAAGAATTTACTTCCTTTATAAGGTTGAATAATATTCCATTATATGTGTATACCACATTTGTTTTTAACTTTGTTGAAGTATAATAGGAAAGTGCACATTCCATAAACAGTCACATTGATACATTTTCACAAAATGAACACTGTAGCTAAATTAGGTAATAGAATATTACCAGTACCACAGACAACTAATCATTTCACTGCTAGTCAGTGTCCAACACCCCAACCCCAAAGGATAACTTTCTTGAATTAAAACAGCATAGATTAGTTTTGCCCATTTTTGTACATTGTGTGAACAGAATCATGCAGATGCATATTTTTTTGTTTCTGTCTTTGTTCACTTAACACTGTGTATATAATTGCTAATTTTTATTGCTGGATAATATTTCATTGTTTAAATAAAACATTATTTACTGTACTGTTGAGGAATTTGGATAGTTTCCAGTTTTTAATTAGTGCCTAAGTCTCAGCCATTTAAAAATTTTATATATATATATATATTTTTTTTTTTTGACAGGCAGAGTTATTTATTTGAAAGAGTTAGAGAAAGGGAGAGAGAGACCAGAGAGCTCTTCCACTGGTTCCCCAGATGGCTGCAATGGTCGAGGCTAGGCCAGGTTGAGGCCAGGAGCTTCTTCCAAGTCTCCCACATGGGTAGCAGGGGCCCAAGTACTTGAACCAACTTCTGCAGCTTTTCTCAGGCCATTAGCAGGGAGCTGGATTGAAAGTGTGGCAGCTGGGACTCGAACTGGGACCCATATGGGATACTGGAATCACAGGCAATGGCTTTAACTGCTACATCACAACACCAGCCCTAGTATGATTTTTAAAGCAGTAGTTGATAAAGGTGGTGGGAATAGGGTTCACACTTCTGTTTATGATGATAGCACATACATAATCTCTGCATGCAATGAACATCTTAAAGAAACTGGTAAGAAATCAGAGAAAACAAGTTATTCAGGGCATTGAATCAGTATAGAAGCCTCAATTATAATCACTCTAGCACTACATTTTTTGACAGTGGTTTCCAAAACCATGAAGAATTATCTTTGCAACTTTTTTTTTTTTTAAGATTTATATTATTTATTTGAAAGACAGAGTTGCAGAGAGAGGTAGAGACAGAGAGAGAGTGGTCTTCCATCTGCTGGTTCACTCCCTAGATGGCTGCAACAGAGCTGATCTGATCCAAAGCCAGGAGCCAGGAGCTTCTTCCAGGTCTCCCACATGGGTGCAGGGGCCCAAAGACTTGGGCCATCTTCTATTGCTTTTGCAGGAGCATTAGCAGGGAGCTGGCTCAGAAGTGGAGCAGCCGGGACTGGAACCAACACTCATGGGATGCTGGTGCCACAGGCCCAGGGCTTTAAAACCTGCTGTGCCAGAGCGCCAGCCCCCTGTGCAACTTTAAAGCATAACATATTTACAGAATTTCTGGAAGTTTACCTAAGAATCTAAATATCAGTATAATAGTAAAGCAATGTCTAAAAATCTTTGAGAACAAAAAAATTTTACAGTCATTCACCACATAATGACATTTCAGTCAACAACAGATGACAACATATACAGTAGTATTCGCATAAGATTATATTGCTTATCAACAGCATGGCTGTTTTAATTTGTATAAATATACATACAACGAACTTGCCTAATGATGCACTTAACAGTTAATTACTCTTACTAAATATCTTTAAAGGTTACACTCCCATACACCGCACAGACTAATGATTTAACAATAGGAATTCACATCAAAAGAGTCAATTTAAGGTAATGATACATATAAAGTACTTTTGGTTGTAAGCAATCACAACTATCCCTCACTTCTTTAAGACCAGCAGGATTTTGTTGGAAGAAAATGTGAAGAAATCACAAATTCAAAGGAAACAGCCAAGATTTAAAAACAAAACTGGATGTCAGCAGCCTGATTTCCATGTACCTTTACCCTGAAACACATCTTCTAATATGATTCAGATCCCACCACTCTTAGGACTGAAAAATCCCTTCCTGAGTCAGCCAGCCTTAGTAAGAATCAAATAGAACAAACATCTCTGGGGAACCTCCCTCTCTATGTATATCAAGACTGTTCTCACAGCAAAAGCAATTTTGAGCTGGGCCACCACTGCAGAAATTGTCTACCACTAGCACAATGCCAAGCAGAGTGTTTGCTAAATAATTAGTCTACACATTATCTCTCACTGTAGTGCTGGATGTAAGGAAATGAGGTAAGGGGCCTGCACTGTAGCTTAATAGTAAAGCCGCTGCCTGCGATGCTCGCATCCCATATGGTTGCCAGTTCAAGACCTGGCTGCTCCACTTCCAGTCCAGCTCCCTGCTAATATACATGCAAAAGCACTGGTAGGTGGCCCAAGTACTCAATATCCATGCAGGAGATACAGAAGAAGCTCTTTGGCCGGCGCTGTGGCTCACTAGGCTAATCCTCCGCCTGCGGCGCCGGCACACTGGGTTCTAGTCCCGGTCGGGGCACCGGATTCTGTCCCAGTTGCTCCTCTTCCAGGCCAGCTCTCTGCTGTGGCCCAG